CAGTTTTTCATGAGAAAATCTCTGACAAGGAGTGGCATCTGAGGGTAATATACCCCAATGACATCTTTTCCCATTACAAAACACTAAATAAATCACTGCAAGGTCAATCCACGATGTTGACTGATGTTAATAATGATCATGAAGTCGAGCTGTGGGAAGATGTTAAATTAGGAAAATTTCACTTTAAAAATTATGACAGCAGTGTTTGAGGATGGAGAAGCTGGATTTAGTGACATCAGCTTATTAGAGACAATCTGTCTACTCTACAGTATGAGTTCCAGTTATACAGTACAGCACTTGCCAGATCAAAGCAAAGTGGGTGCAAATAGTATTGGTAACCCATTCACCCATGCAAGAGGAATTTACTGAGTTTTTAAAGACTCAATGACTTTCAAATGCTTTTAAAATCCTTCCTTTGACCACATACTGTTCCTAAATGAGCCAGTCTTACTCTGCTGTTGCCAATTTGGCCACAGAAAAGCCCTCTTGAACTTTCCTACAATGATTTATGGGGGAAAATGGGATGCATTCCAGGCAACAATTTTCTGCTCCCTTGCCCAATAATTTTAATAACAAATGAACCCAAACTACTACATTATGCTAAGGGCTTTGAGCTTCCAATCAATGTAATGTTTACATTTTTATTTAAATATAAATCAATATCTAAACTAAAAACTTCCACATCTTGGATAAAGCCAAAAAAGCTTAGTGTGAGTGCAGCAGAGCCTTTGTTTATGTAGTTAGCCTTTTTTTTTTTACTGTGTCTTGTGTTAGCATGGCTCTCTCATGCACTCAAAGCACTTCAGTAAACTTTTCCCAGGTTTGTACTGTGATACCACAATAAGTCTCCATTTTTATTTAATCTGTTCTGTAAAATAATGTGTGAGAAGTACAGTAATGTAACAAAAGCTTTTCCTAGTGGAGTAAAACCATCACTTCAACACACACTATATCAGTGAAAGAGACAATCAGGAGACTGGGATGAACCTGGCATGACCAATAATGATGCACAGGGGCCCATCCCCACCAATGTGACTTAGGAATAAAGAAAACATAATATATAACTATAAAATAAGAAAAATGAAAAGTAGTAAGTGAACTGTTTGTGGGAGGCGGACTGAGAGTCCTCTCCCCCAAACTGAATGCACCCATCCGACCTCATAAATACAACATTATGCAATTTCACCATAATCCTCAGATTATTTCAGTTAATTTGGTGCAGTCACAGCCAGCTAGTCACTTGTCTGTCTCAATGTTGGTGTAATGGCATAAATCACAAATTATGAGATGGGAAGGAGCTGATTATGTAATTTATAACTACTTTTTGTACAATATCTATGGACTGTATTTTCTATGTATTACAGCATGCCCTTACAATTCACGGATGACACCCTGGATGTACTCAAGAATGTCTGCGGGTAGTTTTAAAGTTGATGGCATTTTTGCCGCCAGAAGGGAACCCGCGAGTTTTATGGCTTCCCGCAAGGTGTCTCTCTTGTCCCAGGTGTGTGTGTGTGTGTTTGTGTTATGAGCCTCATAAGTGGGGTATGCTATAACGAATCTAATTGGTTCTAGAACCTTGTTCGTTATAGCATTTGTTCGTTATAGGATTAATCCGTTCCAGGCCCCCAAATACAACCACTTAACACTGAAAAATATAATATAAAATTGTAAAAAAGTGCATAAATATGCATCTAAACCCCTGAAATAAAGAATATCATTAATACTTGTAATAAAAAAACAATAAATTAGTAAAAAAAAAAAAAAAGATGATAATAATAATAATAATGTTTGTTGTAGGAGTTTCGTTCGTTATAGCATTCTCAATTTTATAGGTAAAACCATTTGTTATATGAATATTCGTAGTAGAATCCATTCGTTATAGCATACCCCACTGTACTCCTTCCCATCACATCATTGCCAAACATTTCCTCAACCTCTCTTCCCACATCATTCAACCATCAACTGAAAAATTTATGCATTTGGCCTTTTACTAGATACTGTACAGTATTGAATTCCCATTGTGAAATAAAACTAAAAACAAGAAGAGTTGTGAAATCTATCTGCTGACTGCATGAAGACTTAAACAGGTGTTCTTGTGTTCACTCATGGTTAGTGCTATAGCAGGAAATACAGTCAGTCCTCAACTTATGACTGGGTTAGGGGCCGACGACCAGGTCGTAAGTCAAAAATGCGAAAATAATACATAGAAAATCTAAAATGGGTGTCTCTTTTTCTATTACGCTTGCCAGCCATTTTAAAGGGAATTACAAATGAAAAAATTTTTTGTCAGTACACAGCGTGATCACTAACGTTGAGACTCGAAAATGCGTAATTTAAAAATATTTTATATGACTGAGGCGGTCATATGTCCGGGTGGTCGTAAGTCGAGTAGGTCGTATGGCGAGAGTACCTTATAAAATGTGGGTTCTACTATGCAAGTACTGTAATTTGTATTATTATTTTCTAATCAAATGCATATACAGGGTATATGAATAAAGATTTTAATGTTATTTCCCCAACTGACCAGCAAGGAATGTAGCTTCTTCTTTCTTATAATTTACACTGATAAATTATATGCAGAAGTAATTATACACATGTTATACACAAATATATCTTTGAATATACCATAATCTGAATTCTACTGTAAATACAGTACAAGTGAAATACAAATGTAAAAAGGATTACAGTTATACAGTACTTATTTTTTTAAACTGGAACTCATGTTAGTCCTTATATTTGTGGGAATTTTCATTCATATCATCATATTACTGGTCACACGCATGCACACACACATGCACATGTTCTGTTACACTGTACAGTATTTACCTATATATCTTTTAAACAGTATGTCAAGAACCAGACATAAGTCAGCAGGACTAAGCCCACCATTCATTTTGAAATAAAAAAGAAGTATATACAGTACTATATATACAGCTAGCATATAGTATTAAGGTAGGATTCTCGGTAAAGGATATGCAGATAGTGTCTGTATTACTGCATCTATGAACATAACCCTCCTCCCTATGTAGTGAAGCACCATAATTTGTTTTTATAACATAACTTGAAACATACCAATGGATAAGTTTAATTAAAAACATCAGTTAAAAACAGCAGTTAAGCATGGGTGTGTGGATAATACAGCATGTGAAACAAAGCCTGGGAATGACCATTCAAATGCCTGAACGATTGTATAACCAAATACTTTAATTCCTTTCACTGGATTCGTATTGAGAGTAATTAGAATCTATTAAGTAACATTCACAAATTTACTGTAGGTACATTTTTAGTGATAACCATCAACAAAATCCATTTTTTTTTGGTTGTCTATGTACTTAGTTAGTTTTTTCCTTCAATTAAGTATTTACGGCAGTTGCCTCAGTTAAATATTGAGATTAAGTTAATATTCATATTTCTGTTTATTACTAAAACAGTAAAGCGAATATTATTTCTTTGCACCAATTACGATATTCTTTGTCTTTTTCTTCTTCCCAGTCCCTGTAACAATCTTCAACTGTTTCTCTGGTTCACAGGGTGTTTTGGGAGGGGTTGTCCATACTGGCCTAAATCGGAGTTGTGAAGCATCTCTCCGCATATATGGCTGCTCAGTCAGAGCATCCCTCTGTAGGTTATCAGTGCTTCTACTGTTACCAGCATCCACTGTTGTAATTTCACCTTGGCTTATATCAGATTTATCACTAGACTTATTGATACCATTATTAGTGTTTATGGGCCACTTGGAGTTCAAGTGATCTAATTCTTCAGCTGTCTCATTATTTTCTGGACTTAATTTTACTTCTATTTCAACTTTGGTTTTCTGGCCTACCTTAGTGTTTGCTTCCTCTCCAGGTCTTCTCCAAGGACTATCAATATTTCTTGCCTCTGGTAATTTGTATTGAGGTTCAAAGGTATTACATGGTTTGCGAACAACCCAGAGAGTGGAAGTTTCTTCCTCATTTTCTCTTGCATTAGTGGTTTTTGTGGGTCCTCGCTGTAACACTGAGTCTAACACAGCAAGATAAGATATTTCTTGGCCCTCTAATGAAGTTCCTGCTCTAGGCCCATGAGCACTCATCCACTGCATGTTGTTTGGAGCAAATACATGATTTTCATGCAGAAAGTCCTGAAACAAAGGGAGCTCCTCAGTATAAAAATACTAAATTCATGTGTATATATATAAAAAGAAAAGAAAAAAAGAGGATACCCCCTTAGTAATGTCCTCACATCTAATAATATTCCTCCTTTTATTTTTTTCAGTTAAATCAAACTCCTGTAGGGGATCTTCACTATATGTTGGGATGCATTCCAGAGAAAAGGATTGAGTTAGCAAGTGTGCTTTCTAAATTTAAATGAGACCAATAAGGAAAAAACTGTAGCAAGACAATGAATGGATCAAGTTCATGCACCCAGTGTTTTGTCACCAGTTAAAGGTGACAAAATGTACTGTATATAATAAATAATGACTGTAATAATCAATGTAAGAAATAACTAATGTAAATAATAATTTATATACAGTAGAACCTCAATAAATTGGACTAATTGGGGCAGATCCGAGTCCAAAAAATGGGAGTCCGAAAAAAGCGAATCAATGTGGGTCTAGACATAACCTTTACTTTTTCTTTTTTTACGGGGATTAGCACACCCTGACACAGGTCACTGACCGACATTAGGGCCTGGGGGGTGAAAATGTAATAATTATTCATAATAAATAAAATTTATAATAAAAAGTAAAATAAAATAATAATGATAACAATAATAATAACACCACTGTAATAATAATAATAATAATAATAATAATAATAATAATAATAAAGAACTATAAAGAAAAAAAAATAGTGAGAAACAATATATGTATGTTGTGTTGTCAAGTAAGAGAAACAATTGAGACCCTGCAATTGTGTGTAATTGAGGCAGAAAGACAGATCAGCAACCTGGGACTTGGTCACAATTTTCGTGATACCATATGGCAGCAGGGTCTACCATTAAACAACACATTATGTTTCCAATATCTTCCCAGGCGGTTGTATCTCCCTGTTTGATAGCTGCCTACTACCTACTACCTACCTTATCTAGACTGTTTCTGGAAAATCAGACATAAGTCTGGCTGTTGATAACTGTTTTCAGTGATATGACTGCTTTATACTGTAAAGCATTTACCCATAGTATAAATAGTAGAAGTGCTTCTCCATGTTTAGTGGGTAGGCATGTACCACCAACAGAGGCTGCCCAATCATACTTGCCCGTGGAGAGTGAAAAATCCTTGTGGCGAGTCAGATTAAAAACTCACATTTCTGTCAGGCGAGTGATAATTTTGTGTGATGCAAAAGTGAAGGAGACCCAGTAAGTAGATGCTATGATTTTGAAAGGTAAAATATTGAACAGCTCTTCAATCTGCATGAGAATGCATAAATAATGATTAATGCCCGTCAGCTGACTCATTGAGGCACTACCAACACAGGAAAAGATAGTGAGTGGACGTGTAGTAATTATTTTTGTACACTAGCAATGAATAAATTCAGGTTATTATAAAAAACTGTCAACCCAGGCTTTAATTTCAACACACATTCAACCACAGAAAAATGGTGAGATTTTAAGTAAAATAATTTAAACAAAGGTTATGGTAATCCTCCTGGGAAGAGAGCAGAAGAAGAGGGCACATTGCATCATCCATGTCACACACACACACACACACAACCTGCCACACTCCATCACCACCAGATTTATCCATTTTATGGACCACTGTTTTTGCAATTAAGAATTTTAAAAGATATCCCCACACATTTAGAAAACAATTATGGGCAAGTGAAAATTTCTTTGGGCTAACTGAAAATATTTCGATTCAGCAGGCCTGCCAACATGTGCACAAGGTGTTCTTCAAATTTTTGTTTGTGCTATATGTTTACTGGAGAAAACAACCATCTGCGGACACCTGTATTTGGGAGGTCATGATTCAAACCCTCACTCCTCGTAAAACAAGCTCTATAAAGTGTGAGTCTCCATTACGGTATTTTAAAATAAAAATAACAAAGTACAGTATACAGTTTAGTAAATAACTTCATCCTGATACCTTGTATTTATTTTACTTCTCACCATAATAAATGGCTTCTCTCATAATGAATTCTTTTGTTAGGTTACTGTGATGTGGGAGGGAGGAGAGAGAGAAGATAAAGTGAGACGTCACCTTCGATACAACGTATCCTTTTATTCTCAAGTCAAAATACAAATTATATATTATATTTTATCTGTTATTGAAGACTTTATATTATTCATAATGAATCGTATGTCATAAGAGGCTGATCATAGTAGAATATAATAATAAAGAATGAAAAATAGGTAGAAAGCTAACCTTGATGTCAGTTGGCAGGAGAGGAAGAGTTATCAGGGAAGAGATTAGCTTCTGATACAGCTTGTACTTTTATTTTCAAGTCAAATTACAATTACAGAAAGTCCCTGTTGAATGAAAATTTAGGTTCCACTAAAACACTTTTGTTAGGTGGATTACGTTCATCAAAACCAATTTTCCCATATAAATTAATGTAAAAAGGGGGTTGTGTTCCTGTACTAAGCTCTGTGATAGAATAATATACTGCATAGGCAAACCCCATTATTCATAGCCTCGGTATTCGTAACACCGTTTATCCACAAACAATTTATTGTTACTCATTTCCACTATTCGCAATGGTTGCCCCGATTATTCGCAAATTCTTACGAGCAAAAATTTTGATCCGCACCTCCACCGTAGATTAGGACAGCGTGTGTACGTATTCCTCCGCCATACGCTCCCGCTCGCCTCAGTCTGAGATGTGCTGGCGTGTGTTTTGTGTGATCTCGCAATGCCTAAGCAACCATCTAATAAAACTCCCAGTAATGTTGCCAAGAGATCAAGTGTGGCAGTTACGTTGGACGTGAAATTGGATATCGTAAAAAGACATGAACACGGAGAAGGAACGTCAGTGATTGGGCGTGTGCACGGCTTGGCTCCTTCTACGGTGCACAAGATCAAGGAGATGGCTGGGTCTGCAACACCACTGATGGCTACGAAGGTGACGAGGTTCCTTGATGCTGAGATGGAGAGTATGGAGCGGATGTTGAGCACGTGGGTTGACGACCAGACCCAGCGCCTTAAACCACCTTTATCGCAACGCATGATTCAACAGAAGGTAAGACCGCTGTGAAAAGATATAACTAAAGATAAACCCAATGTACCCGAGTTCAGTGCCAGCCGTGGATGGTTTGATAGATTTAGGAAACATATATCAATCCACAACCTAAAAATACGAGGAGAATCAGCTAGAGCCGACCATGAAGCAGCAGAGAAGTTCCCACCGTTTCTCGCAACCATAATTAAGGAGGGTGGGTACAGTCCTAAGCAAGTCATCAACTTGGACGAGACCGGACTCTTCTGGAAGAAAATGCCTTCAAGGAGGAAAAGACCGCACTGGGATTCAAAGTTGCCAAGGACCGCCTCACTGTATTGATTGGTGGAAATGCTGAGGGTGACCTGAAGTTAAAGCCTCTCCTTGTGTACTGGTCTGTACTGTAAAATAAATTTCAAAATGACCAATAATTTGCTTGGAAACACAGAAAAATGCATTTAGTTGAAGAGAGTCTCAAGCAAGATGTTACCACCACTGAAAACAGAGAGACTAACGCCTGTTTGGTGTGTTAACAGGCTGGGTGGCACGCCAGAAACTGGTTTCTTTACCTTCAATTATGTTCAATAATTGTTAAAATGACTAAAAAAGTTAATATTAAACTTTTAAAATTATTGAATAGTATAAACTTCTTGATATTTACTAAAATAGTAAGGAATTTAAGCCCTAAAACCGATTACTGTATTGGCGGACTAATACTACAGCTGGTGGACCGCCAAATGCAAGCGAAAACATGTGGAGGTCGGCTCGTAAAAAACTCGTTAATCGAGGGATTGCTCGTTAACTGAAGTTAAGAATCTTATGGAAGGTAAATCGTTAACCGAGGGATCACTGTGTGTGTGTGTGTGTGTGTGTGTGTGTGTGTGTGTGTGTGTGTGTGTGTGTGTGTGTGTATATATATATATATATATATATATATATATATATATATATATATATATATATATATATATATATATATATATATATATATATATATATATATATATATATATATATATATATATATGTATATATGTATGTATGTATATATATATATATTTATTTATTTTTTTAACATATCTGTAACACAAGACACATAAAATATCTGTGGTTTAAAAGATTCACTGACTGTGACCAATGTTAAGGTTCAAGTTGATACAAATAGTTTAATCTAAAAGTGTAATATGCAACTAACCTGACTGAAGTTGTAGTAATCGTCATAGTACTTATTGAAGATTGGCTCATTCTTGACACATTGCATTGCACACCATGAGTGAAGCAAAAGTTTTGGGAAGCGATCAGTCCAGTAATGAACAAACTCCTCTGGGATGCGACCAAAGACCTGTCGAGCCTCCTCTTTTAACTCCCGGTAATGATTCCTCTGAAAATAATTAGGCAAATTACAGTAGGGGTCAGGATATATAATTAAATGTAATCAATAGGGGAAATAGGGTTAGGTTCTGGAGGCCAATAAAAGTGACAAAACTTGACATAAAATGGCAGTCTAAAGTTAGCAGAATATAAATTACATTGCTAGAATCCTTGCAAGACAGTGAATAATTTTAATATAAACGTCATGTATTTTGCACAAGAGATAAAAATTAATCACCTGTAACACATTACAGTAGTGATTTAAGAGTAAAAGTGTATATGTACGTATATATTATTCCACATACACGTAAGTATAAATAAAAAGTTTATGTGATGATCGGACAACGTCCATTTCGGTTAACGTCACGTTTCCAAGAACGTATCGAGGACGTTAACCTGTGCATGACTGTATTTGAATGATCCTCTGACTTAACGCACTGAAGAAGAAGAAGAAGAAGAAGAACTTTGACTTTCTGGCCCGATATTGAAAGAGAAACAGCCACTCTAAAATAGCTATATCCAAGGGATGGGGTGATGAGACACTAGCTAAGGCCTGGAGAGCACTGCAAGAATTGCTAAAAATGGTAAAATTGCTATGAGGTTGGGTAAAAATAATCTTGAAAGCAAGTAAAGTACCTGCAAAAATAGATGACATAGCAGGGAGACTACAATCATGACAGAAATCGAGAAAGATTACCCCTAAAACCATCCCCTGCATCCGATTTAGAGCTGTCAGTGTAAACAGGGATAGTCCCTCTGTGAGAGGAGGTGTGCTCTTTAAAAAAAATCACACAGGGAAAGAGTAAATCCTCCCTTTCATTAAAATACTAACAAACTTGAACTTCAGGGAGAATCCATAGAGTGGCATGAGGGAACTGCATGGGGCATATATGAATTGGAGAAAGACATAGAATACTCACAACCTCCCTTACTCTGAAGCCAAAAGGTCACGGGAGGCCTGGATGCTGAGTTTAGTGTGGGGACATGATTTTGCCAACTACACAAATGTTGGTTAGAGACTGCAGAAGGCGATGGAGGCGAAACCAACACTGAACCTGGAGATACTGACGTCAACGATCAAGGGGTGGCTCTTCAGCATCAACCAGCAGGCTTGGGATTAGAAAGGACCCGAAGGCACTGGTTGCCAGACACACCCCAGCATGATGAATAGAGTTCAGTGTATTGAGTCTAGCCTCAGTGGCTGAGGAGTACACCTCACACCTATAATCCAGTTTGGGTCTAACTAGCATGTGGTAAAGGTGAAGCAGAGTTCGACTCAGTCAGCACCCCAAAAAATGTAACCCAAGACTCTCATTAACTTTAGAGCGTGAGGAAATGAATATGTGGCTGCCACATAAGCCAGTACCTTAAAGCAAATAAATAACATGATAAATCCCATGTTTGATAAAAAAAATTGTCTTTTACCTTGTTTCTGAGGGCCCGGAGTAGATCTCTGACGGAACGTCCTTTGTAGTCTCTAAACCTACGTAGGTCTTCTGCAATGGTGGGATGCATGTGCTGTCTCCAGTCTCCACGTACGACCTCAACACCACCACGTTCTAAGTTCATCACAACCATGCTGTCTCCACCTTCCTTTTCTACACGGTCACTTGCATCCTGAAACACCAATGAAAAATTCAAGTGACTTTAAGACAATTTTTATGAACAATTGACAATTATTCTTTCAGACTGTCCATCAAGTTAGACATGGCAAAAGTGTCATATCATTAATGTCCCTGCTAAATAAAACATACAATACTGTACACAAATTTGAAAATAATGAAACCCGTGGCTTATTAAAAATAAAATACTCTTGGCTAATAATGCTCTAAAAAAGACACAAAAGTCACTTGGATTATTATAGCACTGCAACCACTGACAAAAACTATATAGTAATACCTGGATGAAACGAGGTTTTGATATAAAGCCAAAAATTAATTACTGTACGTACTCAAGGCAATGTAGTACAGCAAGGTACTAACAAGCAAAATGCATTCTTGAAAAAGTGCTCATTAGACGAATTATTGTTATACGGAACCCATTTATCCATAGGATCCATTGTTCAATGCTGAGATGTGTTCTGGCCTAAAATTCTTTTATCGAAAATCCCATTGGAACAAACTTCGATGTGCTCCAGCCCAGAGCATCACTGGTGTGGTATGCACACATGAACACCACTATAAATGGCAATACTGTATAACATCTGTGGTGCTGGAAACATTTTAAAGTAGCAGCTACAATGACAAGAACCTATCACACTCCATCTATATTAGAGTCTTAATACACTTGGCTAATCGGGGCAGAGCCCAGTCAGCAAAATGCAAAAGCCCAAAAATGAACAAAATCTCTGGAGGGAAAGGGATGGTCTGGACATAACCCTGATTGTTTGGACTGTATCCTGAAAATCAAACATAAATCTGATAATCGATAACTGCTTTCAGTGATACAGATGAACGTCAAAAACTTTCAAACCTCCAAAATTTGGAGATTTGATCCCTCAGGACCATAATTCCAAAAATTTGAAAAATTTCCAAAATTTGGATTGAGTGAAAAAATTTTCTCCATGAGACTTAATAAAAGTACAGTTGAGTCTGGATTTAAGCGGTTTTTGTTTACGCGTTTGGTCATTTACGCGGCACCTTGCCAGAATGAAATGTTTTAATTACGCGGTAAATTTCATTATTTACGCGGGTGAAGTATAATTTGTTTATTTACTGAAGATATATGTGTTTTTAGCTCATAAAATATATAATATACATTGCTGGAATGCTTACAAGATGGTGATCATTTTAAATATAAACATTTTAACATTTGCATTAGACATACAAATTTTAGATGTAATGTAAGGAGATGATGAAAATTAGCAAACATTTTATCTTTTGTGCAAAATATATGACGTTTACATTTAAAATATTCCCTGTCCTGCAAGGAATCCAGCAATGTCAATTATACAGTGAACCCTCACTTTACGCGGTTAATTGAACCCACGGCGGCCCGCATAAAGTGAGAAACGCGTAAAGTGAACAACATAACATATGGGATTAACTAAAATAGAGACCGGGCCGACCCCCAAACTGCACTTTTCCCAACACAATACGTACATTTTACTAAAAATAACATCTTAACTTTATGATGGTATTCACACACACATAATATAGAAGGGAACAATCAATAAGAGAATAATATACTGAAGGTTAGGTTAGAAAAAACAAGGTTGGGTTTAACACTCACGTTAGTAGAAGAGATGGGTCAGCGTAGGGGAATGGAGGCTGGTTCTGAGGCAGAGGGCAGGCTACTGGCCCTCAGGTGAGTCTTCATCGCTGTCATCCACACTTACTAGTGCCTCCCTGACAAATCCCTCAAAGTCACCATCACTGTCTCTGTCACTATCACTGGCTTGGGCTGGCTGTGGTGGGTTGCGGGCGAAGAACTCGGTTATGCTTTGCTGACGGCTGGTGTTTATGTTATCGTGATAAACCTTGATGTAGGGCTCCATAGTCTGCAACAGCTGGGTAGTGAAGATTTCATACCTGTTAGCGTCAGGGTCGTCGGAAAGGAGGAGCTTGACTTTCTCAATACACTCGATGGCACCCCTTACATTACTATGGGATAACTGGCGTTCTTCTTGGGATGAAGCACCACCTGCCTGTTCACTGACGTCGTCATCATCATCTACCATCTCGTCGGTAGTCACATCAGGATCCCTTATCACCTCCAGGATGTCGTCGTTGGTGATCTCGGAGAAGCCTGCAGCTGTAACACTCTGCGCAGGTTCTCTGGCAAGGTCCACTGCTACTGCAACAGTCTGAACCTCACCAGTCACAGATTTACTCTGCCTAACACCCGGAATACCTTGCAACACATGTCTCCATGCGTGACGAACAGTTGCTACAGACAGCTGATCCCATGTCTCCACCAAGAAGTCCACAGCTTTCTTGACGTTGAATGTTCTCCAAAATTGTCTCACAAGTACTTCTTGCTCTGCCAACTGTTGATCCTCGTCGTCTTCGCTCTTGCTATCGGTGTTGGTGTCACTCAGGTTACGCAACTCTTCCTTGGTGTTGGTGTAGTCGTTCAGGAGCTTGAATTTCTTGGCAGAGAATACAGCTTTTACATTACAGATCAATTCTTGGTCCATGGGCTGTATTTTAGACGTAGTGTTGGGAGGAAGGAAGACCACTTTTACGTTTGGGTGACGATCTAACAGTAGGGGCGAGTGTCCTGGTGCGTTGTCAAGCAGCAACAAAATCTTGAATGGATCATTGTGTTGCTCACAGAATTTCTTCACGTCAGGAACGAAACAGTCATCAAACCAGGAGAGGGACAGAGTAGAGAACATCCACGCCTTACGTACGGTCAGCCAGTGGACATTTAGCTTGGTCATGTCCATGCTCTTGTAGGCGTGCGGCTTGCATGCTGTGTCGATCCCCAATAACTTGAGCTTACAGGTACCGGAGGCATTGGTGGTAAACAGGACGGTGATGCGCTCCTTCTGCAACTTCCCGCCCCGACACTTGCTGGCATTCTTCACAACGAAGGTCTTGGAAGGTAGCTTTTTCCAAAAAAGACCAGATTCGTCCATGTTAAACACCTGGTCGTCGGTATACTGTCCTTCCTCCATAATCTCACGTAAAAACGGAGGAAATTCCCTAGCCGCAAAACGGTCAGCACTAGCTTCTTCACCACCAATGTCGATATTGGTGATCTTGTTCCTCTTCTTAAACCTCTGTAACCACCCAGAGGAAGTATTAAAGGGTTTGGGCTCTGCAATTCCCATCTTTTGTGACACTGCAGCATACAGTTCACGTGCGTACTCCTTAACTGAGCGTGTGTCCACCGCCATGTTCCGTCGCGCCTTACGAATCTAGTAGCTCACAAGTAATTTCTCCGTCTTGAGAAGCACCTGGTTGTGGCAATACTTGATCGTAGAAGCACCTGTAGACTTTGTGATGTTCATGTGCTCCTTTATCTTGGCTGCATCCTTCTTAATTGTCCGGATCGTCGATTCGTTAACACCATGCTGGCGCGGTCCAGGTAATGCAAGGTTTCTTTGTGGTGGTGGTGGCGATCCGGTGGAAGCCATTCTTATGGAACAATGGATACCGATATACACGGTGCAGCCAGGAGGGGTCTAACTGACGCGGGTAGGTCTAGGGGCTTGAACGCTCCCGCGGCGGGGCACGTCATAGTACATTAAACCAATCACAGCTAGCAGGGGAGGGAGGTAAGGATGCTTGGCCCAATCACAGTCCGATACGTCATATGACGTCACCGATAATGCAACAAAGACATACACTGTGCAACCTACTCACGCCGCTTACCCAACATGGCGGGAGAGGGCGGGAGAGATGGCGGGAGGTTTGAATCCAAAAATGGCGCGGCGCGAGAGGACCGCCAGCCGCTCTCCGCGTAAAAGAGTACACGCACCGCGTAAAGTGAGCATTCCGTGTTCGGCAAGGTACCGCGTAAACGTGGAAACGCATAAAGTGAAACCGCGAAAAGCGGGGTAATACTGTATTTATAATCTATATTTTCAACTTTCTAACATCCTCTCTGAAGTGCTAATGCCTTGAAATGATTTGCATTTTGATAGTCCATTTATTTGACATTATTTTAGATAATAACAGGTCTGCTTACCAATTGTGAACACATTTAGTTTGAATTTTCTATGAACCAATCAGCTATTAGTATAGAAGAGGGGCATTGCCTATTGGCCAGGTTAGTGTGGAAAGGGTATAGTTGACACATGACTTTTGGGGTACTTTAGGGTTGTTTTGCCCAAACAAAAAAGAATGTGGAAGTCTTTGACCACCTGGGCTTGACTTGTTTTAAATTAATTTACCATCTATGGGTTAAAACAAAAAGATGGTCCTCCTGCAGTCATTAAAGGCAAAAGCTCCCTAAATTTCTTCAAGCCATTTCTAATTTTTGCACATGAGTTACCTTCAGCACTGATCATGTCACTCAGGTAGCAGAATTTAACAACATAGTCCAGATATATGATATTGGAATTTTAAATAATACAAGAAAATAATAATCTAATTCTCACCTGAAAGAAGCCCAGCACTTTCTCTGGGCTCCAATAAAATGGATGCCTAAGAACAGCTGATGTTGGAGGGCGTTCAGAGGGTTTGCTGCTCACCATTCTCTCAATAAGCGTTCTACAACTGACATCATTTTCTTCATTTAGGTCATCAAGTCTAAAACATACACATAAAGATAATTAGAAATTCTTTCAAATAGTTAATCTATCAACAACATACAGTAGAACCTCGATAAATTGGACTAATTTGTTCAGACCACAATCTGCAAAATGCAAAAGTCCGAAAAAAGCGAATATATGGGGGCGGGGATTGGTGGGGTTGGGGTTGGTGATAACACTGCTTATCTGAACTGTTTAAAGAAAACTTTATTACTGCACTTCAACAACTAAGGTTTTTAAATGAATAACAATGTTTTTAAAAGAATATTACATGAACAAGAAAAAAAATGAAACAACTCTCTGGGTTGAAAATTAGACATACAAGTCTGGTTGTCACTGAGATGATTGTTATTTACTGTAAAGTGTTATATGAAAGTAACCACAGAATTTGTCATAAGAATAAAGTGAAAACTGTATACTGTACCGTGCTATAAAGATAAAAATAAGAACAAATAAGTGTAGGAGTATATTATATGTGGAAGACGAATGTTTATCTGGGAGCAGCTGGCAGAGGGAAGGGGAGGTGGGGTAACATGGGTAAGTGGCTCCCTCCCACAAGATTCCTTAAACACTTCTTTATGCAATTTCACCACAATTCTCACATAATTTAGGATCATTTGGTGCCAGGTTGTTAAAATATTATCCCAAAAGATTCAGCTTTCCTGAAAAAAGAATTCCACACTAAACACCACGAGTCATTGTTTACAAAGAACAAACAGCTGATTAGCTTACCACAATGTCTGTCTTCAACACTTAGTAAATTATACAGTGAACCCTCGCTTTACGCAGTCAATTGAACCCATGGCGGCCTGCGTAAAGCGAGAAACTCGTAAAGTGAATAACATAACATAAGGGATTAATTGAAATACAGACCGGGCCGACCCCCAAACTCCACTTTTTCCCGACACAATACGTAAACTTTAGTAAAAATAACATCTTAACTTTATGATGGTATGCACACACACATAATATTGAAGTGAATAATCAATAAGAGAATAATATACTGTAGGTTAGGTTAGAAAAAAACAAGGTTAGGTTTAACACTTACGTTAGTAGAAGAGATGGGTCGGCGTACGGGTATGGAGGCTGGTTCCGAGGCAGAGGGCAGGCTACTGGCCCTCAGGTGAGTCTTCATCACTGTCATCCACACTTGTTAGTGCCTCCCTGACAAATCCCTCAAAGTCACCATCACTGTCTCTGTCACTATCACTGGCTTGGGCTGGCTGTGGTGGGTTGCGGGCGAAGAACTCGGTAATGCTTTGTTGACGGCTGGTGTTGATGTTGTCGTGATACCTAAATGTAGAGCTTCATAGTCAGCAACAGATGGGTAGTGAAGACTTCATACCGGTTATCGTCAGGGTCGTCGGAAAGGAGGAGCTTGAGTTTCTCTACACACTCGATGGCACCCCTTACATTACTATGCAATAACATGCGTTCTTCTTGGGATGACGCACCACCTGCCTCTTCACTGACGTCCTCATCATCTAACATCTCGTCGGCAGTCACATCAGGATCCCTTATCACCTCCAGGATGTCGTCGTTGGTGATCTCGGAGAAGCCTGCAGCTGTAACACTCTGCGCAGCTTCTCTGGCAAGGTCCACTGCTACTGCAACAGTCTGAACCTCACCAGTCACTGATTGACTCTGCCTCCCACCTGGAATACCTTGCAACACATGTCTCCATGCGTGACGAACCGTTGCTCAGACAGCTGATCCCATGCCTCCACATAGAGAAGTCCACAGCTTTCTTGACGTTGAATTTTCTCCAAAATTTTTTCACAAGTTCTTCTTACTCTGCCAACTGTTGTTCCTCATCGTCTTCGCTCTTGCTATCGGTGTCAACCAGGTTGCGCAACTCATCCTTGGTGTTGGTGTAGTCGTTCAGGAGCTTAAACTTCTTTGCAGAGAATGCAGCTTTCGCATTACAGATCAATTCTTGGTCCATGGGCTGTATTAATGACGTAGTGTTGGGAGGAAGGAAGACCACTTTTACGTTGGGGTGACGATCCAACAGTAGGGGCGAGTGTCCTGGTGCGTTGTCAAGCAGCAACAAAATCTTGAATGGAACATTCTGTTGCTCACAGAATTTCTTCACGTCGGGAATGAAACAGTCATCAAACCAGGAGAGGGACAGAGTAGAGAACATCCACGCCTTACGTATGGTCAGCCAGTGGACATTTAGCTTGGTTATGTCCATGCTCTTGTAGGCTTGCGGCTTGCGTGCTGTGTGGATCACCGATAACTTGAGCTTACAGGTACCGGAGGCATTGGTGGTAAACAGGACGGTGATGCGCTCCTTCTGAAACTTCCGGCCCCGACACTTGCTGGCATTCTTCACAACGAAGGTCTTGGAAGGTAGCTTTTTCCAAAAAAGACCAGATTCGTCCATGTTAAACACCTGGTCGTCGGTATACTGTCCTTCCTCCATAATCTCATGTAAAAATGGAGGAAATTCCCTAGCCGCAACACGGTCAGCACTAGCTTCTTCACCACCAATGTTAATGTTGGTGATCTTGTTCCTCTTCTTAAACCTCTGCAACCACCCAGAGGAAGCATTGAAGGGTTTGGGTTCTGCAATTCCCATCTTACTTGACACTGCAGCATACAGTTCACGTGCGTACTCCTTAACTGAGCGCGTGTCCACCACCATGTTCTGTCGCACCTGACGAATCAAGTAGCTCACAAGTAATTTCTCCGTCTTGAGAAGCACCTGGTTGTGGAAATACTTGATCATAGAAGCACCTGTAGACTTTGTGATGTTGATGTGCTCCTTTATCTTGGCCGCATCCTTCTTAATTGTCCGGATCGTAGATTCGTTAACACCATGCTGGCGCGTGAGATCAGCCTGTCTTGTTCCTTTCTCCAACTCTTGGATGATCTTGTATTTAATTTCATAGCTTAGGGAACGTCATATCTTCTTTGGCTTAAGGCGGCTGGGTCCAGGTAATCCAGGTAATGCAAGGTTTCTTTGTGGTGGTGGTGGTGGTGGTCCGGTGTAAGCCATTCTTATGGAACAATAGATACCGATATACACGGTGTAGCCTGAAGGGGTGCAACTGGCGCGGGTAGGTCAAGGGGCTTGGACACTCCCGCGGCGGGGCACGTCATAGTACATTAAACCAATCACAGCTAACGGGGGAGGGAGGTAAGGATGCTTGGCCCAATCAAAGTCCGATACGTCATATGACGTCACTGATAACGCAACAAAGACATACACTGCGCAACCTACTCGCGCCGCTTACTCAACATGGCGGGAGAAGGCGTGAGGTTTGAACCCAAAAATGGCGCAGCGAGAGAGGACCGCCAGTAGCTCTCCGCGTAAAAGAGTACACGCACCGCGTAAAGTGAGCATTCCATGTTCGGCAGGGTACCGCGTAACCGTGGAAACGCGTAAAAAAAAAAACCCGTAAAGCAGGGTAATAATGTATATATATAAGAAATTATTGTCTCTAGAACGGATGGCTCCTTGTCACGGTCACGAAAATGCCAGCAACTTTAAAACTACCCTCAGACATTCTTGGGTACATCCAGGATGTCATCTGCGAATTGTCAGGGCATGCTGTATTAATAAGCAAAGAAATTACTAATTATTGAATAGCAAACAAACAATATCATATCAAGAATTATAGTAGGAGTGAAAGAGGCTGGGGTGGGAAATGGGTGGCGAACCTTTTTGGGGGGTAAAGGGGAGGGGGGTCATGGTCAGTTTCTCTCAGTAGCTTTCCTTCTTACCTCAACCTTCACACCACTATGTCCAATACACTAACATCTGATATTTGTGATAGGGAGATGAATTTGATGCCATAATCATCCTGAATAAATTCTCTGTCAGATATTTCCAATATAGACCATGGGGTGACAATAACCCCCTCCCTTCGTTTGCCTATTTTGCTAATGACATATTTTTTGTAACTTAAGCATATACAAATGGAATTCCACTTGTTAACACCTCTAAAAGTGGTGAGGAAGTCACGGGCACATGTTTAATATGGCTAACGATGAAAAAATAAAAATTAAGAAGCAATCTATCATTCCCGAAATAATTCGTACCCTTCATTATTTTTGCATTTAGTTTACCTTCAACAAGTCATTTGTGCAATAAATATGAGTTTCAGGAAAAATATTCATATTCAAATGGGCAGCCATGCAGCAGGAGCATACAAAATATATCAATCACATCATAAAACTACAGTATAGTCTGGATTTAAGCGGTTTTTGTTTATGCGTTTGGTCATTTACGCGGCACCTTGCTAGAATGAAATGTTTTAATTACTCGGTAAATTTCATCATTTATGCGGGAAGCGGCGCGGGCAGGGTGCGCACAAGGTCGCCCAGTCATCAAAACATTACCGAGTTCTTCACCCACCACCCACCACAGCCGGCCCAAGTCAGTGATAGTGAGGATATGGACTTTGAGGGGTTTGACAAAGAGGCCCTGCAAGCCTCTGTGGTGGATAGTGATACAATTGATACAAGTGATACAGGTGAGGGCCAATAATCTGCCTTCTGCCTTGGAACCAACCCCCCATCCCTGTGTGCCCAGCCATCTTTTCTACTAACTTAAGTGTTAAAAAACCTAATATTATTGATATTTCTCTTAAATGTTAATTGGGTGTGCATACCATCATAAAATTAAGATGTTATTTTTACTACAACGTACGTATTGTGTCGGAAAAAGTGAAGTTTGGGGGGTCGGCCCAGTCTCTATTTCAATTAATCCCATATGTTCTGTTATTTCGTTTACGCGTTTCTCGTTCTACGCGGACCTCCACGGGTTCAATTGACTGCATAAATGCAGACTATACTGTATTGTAAAATCGTATTTCTGAATATCACAACAATAACAGGTCCATTTCTAATGTCAATAACTATAATCATAGAAACTACTAAACTATATTCAAAATTATGTACATCCATTATGGCTGCCATTATTAAATAATAAATAAATAATAATAAAAAATTCTTTAAAATAGCCAGTTTATTCATGAATAATGTGCTTTGGTAATTACATGCTAATTGCAATTTTTAAAACAGCTTCTGTATGAAACATAACATAAATGAAAACTTTGTCACATTAATTAAATAAGAGAGCTCAATCATCAAAATCATCATATGGACAACGTCTAGCATACTACCAAGCACAAACTCTTCATGATCTCCATCACCATTATCATCACCTAATATTACCTCAGACTCACAGTTCTGCTCATCTGAGCGTTTGCCAGTGACCAATAAATCGGCCAGCTCAGTTGGCATACTTTTGACGATCCATTTTGGAGCGAGGTGACCAAATAAATCTACTTATCATCTATTATTGGTAGCATCTGGGATATATGGCTGTGCCTGGGTGGCATATTTCCATATAAAAACTTGATAGTTTGCCCTCAGAATGTAATAATAATAATAATAATAATAATAATAATAATAATAATAATAATAATAATAATAATAAACGGTTTATTAATAGAGTTGCAGCCGGTGGCTGAAAATATACAAACTTACATTTGATTTAGACATAATGATATAATATGCATTGAATACATTTACAGGGCTGTTCTTATATCTATCGGTGCAGGCTCTTTTGGGCTGAATTTTGTTGTAGTGGCAGACTGCGCGAGTTGGGTGGGGGGCTGCAGGTGGCAGGAGGTGGCGATGACGAGGGTGGTGCAGTAGTCCACTGCCAAACCTTTCCAGTGCTTGGTGGTGGAGGTCACTGAGGGATGGCATTTCCAGGGTGGAGAGAGCGTTGGTGTAGCCGGAGTGTTGCTGTAATGATGCTTGACAATGGAGCAATACACTGATATCCACACCAGTTGAACTGCTGATGAGGGAACCATGGGAAGAGTAGGACTGCAATTTTTTTTTTATATCTAACTTTGTTGACCAGGTGGTCACTCTGATGTCAATTGATTTTGTAAGTGAAATCCTCCAATTCATTAAATACTTTATCAGTTAGATCTATACATTCTCCCATTTTCTGAAAACATACCATAAAGTTTGGATGTTTCACCAGGTAGGTCCATGGACGAACTTTACCTCCACAGGCAAAGGCACTGACACTATCGCAGCCCGTGAATGCATGGAGGCCGAGCAGAGAAAGGCTTAATTCTCTCCCAATTTTAGTGACAATACTCTTTAAATCTATCATTACCTGTTTATGGCCTGCTCCAGAATCCATCATGACTTGGGTTTTGAGATTGTTTGTAGCGTAATGATGGACCAGCAGACATAACACACCTTTGTCAGTTGATCTGACTATCACAGGTGTTTTATCAGACTGCTTGACGGCATGCATGAGATGCAGTATCATACGGGTGTCTGCCTCTTCTTGTGTTGAATACAGGTCTTACCATTCTTCTATCACAGTTCTCTTCACATCTGGACTAGATAGAATAAAGCATCTGTCTTTGTTTGTGAAGTACAGTTGAACTTCATGGAGTTTATTTGAATATTCAGGTTTGGACCACTCTTTGAGGGGTAGGCCAATGACTTGTATTTTATTACCGCTTAAGCTTAACAAAAATTTTCAGTTTGTGGGGACCCTTGTCAATTGTCCGCTGATGATGATCACTTTCCCTGAACCTCAGGTTGCTCTTTCTTGATATTTGATGCTCAATGATGCCTCATAGACTAAATTCAGTTTAGAATTTATTTCACTGTCAGCAGTTTAGAAAAATAACTCATTAACTCTTTAATTTGGTGTGTAATAGGTTTGAGAGGCTATGCTAACCCCCTTCACCACTGTTGAGAGTGCTAACAAAAGGATTCATATTGCCTGGGGTCATTCCAAATTAGAAATACTACTTAGCAAAATAAGCAAGGAGGGAGGGTTTTGGTCTCTGCCCGCTGGACTAATAAGCTATCCTTAAACAAAATATTTTGACATGATACAATAATGGAGATTCCATTCTTTTATATGTGAAAAAAAGGACAAAATGTTGATATCACGATCAGTTAATAAAATCAGTTCTAATTAGGTTAGAAACACCATTTTTTAACTAAAATAATCCTAAATAGTTTATCTAAAGGTTTGGTTAAATAAATAAATTAAAAAACAAACAATAAATCTACATGATACAGACATGGATGGAGCTGTGTGTTACAGCAAAGACAGTGGTACTTTCCACTCTTCATAGGAAAATTTCCCACGTCGAAATGACGCATTTTGCAGGAGCTGTACAGTATTTATTTACACAAACACCTTTGTCCATGTACATTATTGTTAATACTGTAAACAAAACAATGTATACTTCTACTATAATGTTTCTACAGTACTGTACTTACCAGCAGAGCTGTTCACTCAGCTGAATGTAATACGTGACTGTAATCACGTCTTAACACTTGCGATGGAGGTTGGGTGGGAGATTAGTGAGTCATGTTACTGACCTGACCTTATGCAATATTAGGTCAGCCATTTTCAGGTTGGATGATTAATAGGTCTTAGGTCCTGAAGAAGTCTTGAATAAAGGCGAAATAAGTATTCAGCGAGATTTTTCAATATTTTTTTTGGAATTTTCAGAAAATGCGCCTGATTTTCAACCCCGGAATTGAGAATTTTTCTGAAAGAATTCAGAGCAAATTGAAATTCTGACTATTGAAGAGTTCGCAAAGACGGATTCCGTGAGCCAGAATCCCTAAAACCTGGAACTCTCTGATAACCGGAATTGAAATTTTCTCGGAAAATCAATCCCAAAGTCGGAATTACAGCTCCTCCCCGACTTAGGACTTACGACCACCCAGACATACGACCGCCTCAGTCGTACGAAAATTTTGTCAAATTACGTATTTTCGAGTCCCAACGTCAGTGATTGTGCTGTGTACTGACAAAATTTTTGTTTGTACCTGTAATTCACTTTAAAATGGCTGGCAAGCTTAAAAACAAGAGTTTTGTGGTGCTGAGAAGAAAAAGAGACACCCATATTAGATTTTCTATGTATTATTTAAGCATTATCAACTTACAACCTGGATTTGGGTCCCTAACCCTGTTGTAAGTCGGGGAGGAACTTATTTGGAAAATTCTGACTTTGGGAGTGATTTTTTGAGGGGAACATTTTCTGGAAAATTCCAAGAACAATTTCCCAGTACCCGGGTTTGAGAGATGAAAATCAGGAGCATTTACGGAAATTCAGATTTTTTTTCCAGTACCCAGAAAATTTCAGGGATGGGGGTATTTTCCGGGTTTGAGAAACAATGTAATGGACAATTTCCGGAACTTCCGAGAATATATTTCCGTAGCCCGGAAAATTCTGGGGATTAGGGATTTTTTCCAGCTTTGAGAAATAAAATAATGCATCATTCTGGAACCTCTAATAACATTTTTCCGTTACCTGGAAAATTTCGGGGTTGAGGTATTTTTTTTCTGGCTTTGAGAAAGTCGTCTCGTTACCCACAAATCTCTCATTCCCAGAAGTGCTCTGCACCAACTGTTCTGGTTAACAGAGGTATTACTGTACTGTATTACTGTACTGTAAAGCATACTGAAAAATATGTGGTGAAAGTTGCCAGCTGGGAACACTTCCCCCATTATTTACATTAATTCCTGTGGGCAAAATTGCCCCAATATTCTTAGTTCCATTAATTGCAATGACATTTAGGAATGCATCCCTTGTGATAACCAGGGTATTCCTGTATATAGAATTATATATTTTATTAAACATTTGATGAACCACTAAATAGAAACAAAATTTTAAAAATCTTACTTAAACTTTCCTGATATGATGTTGGATTGGCGATCAAGGACTGTGCCGAATGGATGTTTCCCCTTAGTTAGCATATAGTAGTAGACACAGCCAAGGGAAAATATATCAACTTTGTATGTCTGAAAATATGAGAGAATTGTAATTTTGTAATTGCAAAATTAATAACAGTTATTAGTATGAATTTAATTACTGTACAGATAAAAGAAACTTTACATTCATTTATACCTACTAATCTAGATGTGCTGAATATAATTTATACATACTGGCCTAGATGTGTTGAGCATCATTTCAGGAGCAATCCAGCCTTCTGTTCCTGTGACTCCTGATCGCTTTGAAAATGACATACGACCAGTTTCCAAACGTTTACACAGACCAAAATCAGATATCATAGCTCGAACCTGTCCCCGACTACTTGGCAAGGAAAGCAGTACATTGTGTGGTTTGACATCTCGATGCACTGTAAAACAAAATAAAGCATCAGAAAATATCCAGCAGTGCATATCATAGTTTCCAATAAAAATTTAAGAAATATGTTACAACCAGGCTTATCCCACTGATGAATTAATGGTTAAGATTGCACAGTATAGGTGCTGCCCGTTACACGATGAATATACAGAGGTCCCTCGGTTAACGAACACAATTCGTTCCAGAAGGTCGTTCGTTAACCGAAAATTTTGTTAACCAAAACCATTGTTTCAATGGGATTTTGGGTAATTGGTTCCAGCTCACCGAAAATTACCTACAAAATAAAAATAAATGCAGTAAAGTACACTTACTTTGAGGTGTGTATGTTAAAGGCTACTGGATGATGATGATGGGAATTAGAAGTGGGGGTGGAGAAGGGAGAAGCGAAGGAAGTGGGGGTGGAAGAGAAATCACCCCATGCTTCATGCTGCCATTTCACCCATAAAATTTTAAGTTCACTTGGTGTAATTCAAGATTATTTTCTTTAAATCAACACTGCACTGCACAATATATTGTCAATATGTAAAATAAATTTCAGATTGACCAATAATTGTACTGTAAAAATGTAAAAATAGTTTATGTTCAAGAGAGTCTCAAGCAAGATGTTACCTCCACTGAGCAGACACAAACTGACGCCATGCTGGGTGAGTCAAGTGGCTGTTTGGCGCACTAAAAACTAGTTTCCTGTACTTCAATTATGTTAAATAATTGTTAAAATGACTAAAAATTTTAATATAAAACTTGGAAAATTATTGAATAGTACAACCTTCTAGATATTTACTCAAATGGGAACGAATTTAAGCCATAGAACCGAGTACTGTATTGGCGGACAAATATTCCAGCTGGTGAGCAAGCGAAAACATGTTGAGAGGAATTCAAAAGGAATTCATTAACCGAATTTTTTTGTTAACCGAATTGAATATTCTTATGGAAGGTAATTCGTTAACCGAAATTTCGTTAACCGAGGCGTTCGTTAACCGAGGGACCACTGTACAGTATATACAATCGATCAGTTTTACGATGTTAAAAATTAACACTAATTACTTTTATGCGATGGCTAAGATCTGTTTTATGATGGTCACGGCCTCCAACGTTTGTTTACAAAACATAATAAATACTTACAAAATTATTTTATAATATATTTTTATTAAGCTCCCTATCTAAACTATTGTGTATTATGAATTAAGGTGTGACAATGACATGTATATATAGACAGATGTTAAATGATTATCCTTGCTGAGAGACATTTAGTGAAATTCTTAATATACTTCTCAAAATACAATACAGAAAGATTTGTAACTTGTATTTGCTCGCATATTCTCATAAGAAGACACAAGCACACACCCATATATATATTCCATGCTTGTAGCCATAGACAAGGACGTCATAAACAGAAGCCCATTAGGACTATCACATCCACTAGAAAACCAGAGAAACCTACTCCTGACAGACCATACCAGTACAGTTGAACCTCGATATATTGGAGTAATTGGGGCAGATCCCAGTCCGAAAAATGCGTCAAAAAAAAAAAAAATACTGTGGTCACTCGATTAACAAAAGGTTCAATTAACGAATTAGCTCCCATTAAGGATTTTCAATTCCATTAACAAACAAAACTTTGATTAACAAAAGCCTTAGGAGAAACACGCTTTGTTGTGAGCATCAGCTGATCGGCTAGTCCGCCAATACAGTAATCGGTTCTATGTTTACATTCGTTTCCAATGGAGTAAATATCAAGAAGGTTGTGTTCTTGAATATTTTTGCATTTTTTATATTAAAACTATTGGTCATTTTAAAATTTAGCCATCCAAGCTCTGTCTACATAAAGTTTTTCAACTAATATTTTTGGCTCGATATATGTAACTTGATTCATTTATTTTTACCCATTTACATGTACAGTTGTACCCCGCTTTACGCGGTTTCACTTTACGCAATTTCTCATATACGCGGTGCCTCGCCAGAACCGAACTTTCACTTAACGCGGTTCATCTACTCATATACGCAGGAAGCGGCGCGGGCACGATGCGCACAAGGTCGCCCAGTCATCAAAACATTACCGAGTTCTTCACCCGCCACCCGCCACAGCCGGCCCAAGTCAGTGATAGTGATAATTATAGTGAGGATATGGACTTATATGGACTTTGAGGGGTTTGACAAAGAGGCCCTGCAAGCCTCTGTGGTGGATAGTGATACAATTAATGATTTAATGTTTTATTGCACCATTAAGGGTTTCAGACACTGTGTCGGGTTGATTTTCCCCCAGATTTTTAAAACCAACCAACCAAACAAAGCAAAGTAGCCTATTTTAAGATGCATCCCAACTTTTCTTTTCTTTTTTTTTCCCCAGAAGAAAAAAGAAGGTGCAGCTTATAATGGTGCAATTAGGGTAAGTATTTGCCCCAAGACCCACTAAAATGTGAAGTAAATTTAACAGAATATTTGCCATTGTTCACACCTCACTACAACTACTTTATAACAGTATCTACAATATAACTTTATGAGCTGTTGGCTTACCAATATCAAGGTTGTGTAGATGCTGCAAGCCTGAAGTAGCCTGATGGAGGATGGTGAGAATACTGATGTCTGCATTAACCCGGTCCTGAATGAAGTCCTCCAGAGTAGCACTGCATAGTTCCAATGCAATGTAACGGAATTGACGACACTTTTTGGTCAGAGGGAAAAAATTAGCCATTAGTTCAAAATATGGCTTCATATGTAGGTAAAATAAAATTATGAAACATTTAGAAGGGTATTCAATCGAACAAAAAATATACAGGTTGTGGCAAAGGTCAGGAACCATAGGGATATTTTATATGTGCTCCTGGGGATAGGTCTGTACTTCTTTGACACCAATCTAACAAGTGAAAAGTATCTCAAAATGCTACAAACATATCTCATTCCAAAACTAAATGACATTCCATAAGCAGAACAGGCGAAGATGTGGTTTCAGGAGGATGCTGCACCACCAAGTTTCGCAATCATCGTCTGGAGGTTCTTAGATGAAACATTCCCAGGTAAATGGATTGGACAGCAAAAGCCCGTTGAATGGCCAACTAGGTCTTCAGACCTTACACCTCTTGACTTTTTCTTGTGGGGCCGTGTCAAGTCAGTTGTCTATGCTGACCGACTCAGAACCATACGTGATCTAAAGGATGCAATCACACCCGAGTGTGCCAATATCACTAGTACAGCTAGACCCCGACTTATGACTGCTTGGACTTGCGACCGCCGCAGTTGTGACCATTTTTTTTTTTTTTTTTTTCAAATGACGCACGCATATTCTATACCGAAACGTTTCCAGTTAATGTAGTCTCCATGTATAATTTAAAAATTATGGGGGCCCCATGTGCATTCAGCTGACTACATCAAAGGTAAATGCTCAGTCACAATGTATCCATTCCTCATTATTTATTACTTTTACTGTACTGTATTTCATTGTAGATTTTTTATTTAATTTTTTTTTTTATCTATGTCGGACTTACGACCATTCGGACTTACGACCATTCGGACTTACGACCATTCGGACTTACGACCATTCGGACTTACGACCATTCGGACTTACGACCTGGATTTGGGTCCCTAACTCCGTCGTAAGTCGGGGTTTAGCTGTATTTGCAAACAGCTGACCAGCCTGCCTGCATTCATGTTATTCATTTATGTAATAATTTATTCATTGGTGTAAAGTAATAGTGTCACCCAAAGGATGACTATAAGGGAAGGAACTGTTTATGTAATACAGGTTGGGCATCCCATATTTGAAATTCCCAAATAAGAAATGCTTTGAAATCCAAAAGGTTTTTCAAGTGACACCATTTTAGGGTAATCAGACCTTCTTTCGGGTGAAATTTAGAATAAGCAAAAATTTTGCAAAATCTAAGGTAATGAAGGATTTCTTGGGATATTTAACTCATATTTTTGGGGTAAATAATTTGTAGTAGCAAGTAAATGAATGTTAAAGTAATTTGATGTTGGACTGACTGGTTGTTTCTTAAATTTTTATAGCAATTCTGCTTCTATACAACCTTGGTAAGTCTACCATTAATATAAAAAAGTATATATTTTCTTTTATTGCAATACTATACTGTGCTCTCCATTTTAAGGAAATGTCCTTTAGACTGATATTTATGGTACAGGAATACCCCGGTTATTGCAAGGGATGTGTTCCTAAAAGTTATTGCGATTAATGAAACTTCAAATACTGGGGCAATTTTTACAGCCCGCAAGTTCACCATATATTTTATGACATATGTACAGTAGAACCTCGATAAGTCAGACTAATTGGGGGGTGTAGAGATAATGCTACTTATCCAAACTGTTTTAAGAAAATCAGTTGTTGTTATATTATTGATGCACTCCAGCAACTAAGGTCTTTAAGTGTATAACAAGGTTATTAAAAGAGTATTACATCAACAATAAAAAAATTATGAAACAGAACTCTCTGGGTTGAAAATCACACTTAAGTCTAGTTGCCAACAACTATTTTCACCAAGATGATTGTTATTTACTGTAAAGTGTTATATGTAAGCAACCAAAGAAATTATCTTATGAATAAAGATAAAACTGTATACTGTACAGTACACCCACCTCTCGTTTTACGCGGGGGTTACGTTCTTGAAAACCACCGCTTAATTAAAAAATGCGCAAATTAAACATAATTTTCCCATAAAAATACCCGTAAATGGTACAGGTTAGGGGAACCATCATATACCGCACAGGGTATGAACAGTGCTCTTGCTTAAACCAAGCACGCGGTCAACCTCCGACACACGCTCTCCTCTCTAAAGGCGGGTGATTACAATTAATTTCACGTCCATTGTGATTCTTTTTTGTGCTTTTTTAGCTTTAGGCGCCCCAGAGAAGGCAAATGGATGTTTTCCAGACATGATTAATGGGGTAAACAGCGTTTAACACTAAACAGGTACGTGATAAACACACAATGCAAATGAGAGCACAAAGAAAAAGTAGTGCTGGTGTGAACTGAGAAAGCAATAAGTGGGAAGCTTGCTGGATGTCGTCACAGTTGTTGTACAGAATACTTTATTATCATCATTATCTTCGTCATTAGTCGTAATAATCTTTATTATTACATTATGAAAATAATTATTATTATTCAGAATATTAAAATCGTTGATGCTGATATGACTGCGACTTTACAATAATAACCTACAAGCACCTCACCAGACATCACACGCGACTCCACTGCGAGGCAACCAGGAGAATACGCGCGGCAAATTTAAACTGTCTTGAGCGCGTTATTTAAAAAATAGGTGCGCGTAAATTAGCTTTTGGTATTAATTGAACAATCGCGTTATTCCAGAAATGCTGAAATCAAATGCGAGTTACCTGAACTATAAAGATAAAAATAAGAACAAATAGATGTAGGAGTATTTTGTACAGTAAGTCCTCGCTTAACATTGTCCCACTTAACGTTGTTTTGGTACTACGTCGCTAAACTTTAGATACCCCAAATTTGCTTAATGTCCCGGTGATTCGGTACAATATCGTTTTGCGTCGTCACGGACTACTTTTTACGGTGCATCACCCTCTCTTGTCTGGCCGCGCTATGCTTCTCAGCTCGGCGCGCTGCCCTCACTCGCGGAACGTCACAGCGTCCCCAAGCGACGCTAAGCCAGTCTCTGTTACGATTTCACATCATTCGTGTGTGCTTAAGTGTTTTTGCTCGAAAACTGTACTCTAACCATTCGAAATGGCTTCCAAGCACCCATCAAGTGCTACTGATGCTAGTGTAGTGAAGAGGCAACGTAAGACCATCACTCTTGCTACGAAAATGGATGTATTAACCCAATTTGAAGAAGGGGAACGTGCTTGGTCTAACCCCCACAACAGTGCGTACTATCCGGACCAACGCTGACAAGATTAAGGTTAGTGCTGGAAGTGGTTCTTCTCTGAGTGCTACTAAGACTACTCGTACTAGAAGTACTGTGATAGAAAAGGTGGAAAAGATGCTGGCTATGTGGATGGAGGACCAGAATCAAAGCAAAGTGCCTGTGAGCCTTATGGTTATCCAGCATAAGGCCAAATCCTTGTTTAACGACATGAAGGAAACAGAGGGTGAAGGATCGAAGGAAGAGACCTTTACGGCCAGCCAAGGCTGGTTTCAACTATTTAAGCTTTGGTATAATATCCATAACATTAAGATGACTGGTGAAGCTGCTAGTTCAGATACAGTTGCTGCAGAGACATTCCCGCCAGAATTCAAAAACATTATCCAGGAAGGAGGCTACTCATTGAAGCAAGTCTTCAATGTGGATGAGACTGGTCTCATTTGGAAAAGGATGCCTGAGAGGACCTATATCTCCAAGGAGGAGAAAAGAACAGCAGGTTTTAAAGCGGCAAAAGACCACTTGACGCTTCTTCTTGATGTGAACGCTGACGGCGACTTCAAGCTGAAGCCGATTGATTTCTCGCACTGCCAACCCACTGGCCCTGAAAGGTTACTCTAAGGATCACCTTCCAGTGATCTACAAGGCAAATAAGAAGGCATGGATAACCGGCGGCATATTTGACCAGTGGTTAAACGTGTACGCCATCCTTGCAATGAAGGAATACTGTACCAAGGAGAATCTTGACTTTAAAATTCTTCTGATCCTTGACAATGCTCCAGTTCACCCTCCCAATCTTGACGACTTGCAAAACAGTGTGAAAGTTGTATTCCTGCCTCCCAACACGACAGCACTGATACAGCCTATGGACCAAGGCGTATTAATTATGCCCTACCATGGCATAGCTGCTCAAGGCTATAGACGGAGAAAATTAACTAACGATCCGAGAATATTGGCGGGGCTTCAACATTCTTCATGCAATTGACAACATTGGCAAGGCATGGGAAGAGGTTTCAGAAAGTTGCCTGAATGGTGTGTGGCGTAAATTGTGGCCATAGTGCGTCAACAGTTTTACGGGATTCACGGACTTAGTCCCAGCAGTGAATAGGGATATCCTCAGCTTGGGTAGACAGGCAGACTTTGATGAGCTGGAATCAGAGGATATTGAGGAAGTCTTGGCATCCCATACAGAAGAGCTCACCAACGAAGACCTGCAAGTGTTAACAGAACACAGTCCCGTTGAAGATGATGATGACAACGACGACGACAAAGAAGAACCAAACGAACGCTAACTTCCAAGAGGATGGCAGAAGTGTTCAACATGATCCAGCAAGGAATGCAAATCCTTATAGATGACGACCCAAACAGAGAACGTAGCTCAAAGATGCGACGCAGCATTGATGAAAGTCTTGGTTGTTACACAGAGATGTGTAAGGAGAAGCAGCTTCTTCACAACAGCCGGCAGCCAGGGAGGAGCAAACAACAATGGAGGAGGAACAAGCTGCAGCAGAGGAACCCCAGTCAGCGTAGGAGGAGGTGGTGAGTCACTGACTCACCACCCTCCTACGCTCCCACCCTCCTCCTCCACTTCTGCCATCCACCTCCTCCGCTTCACTACCCTCCACACACTTGCTCTACCACCTCCACCCATCCAAGCTCTGTCTACATAAAGTTTTTCCACTATTATTTTTGGCTCATATATGTAACTTTATTCATTTATTGAAACTCATTTACATGCACACACTGTCCTAAGGGCAAAGCTGAACTGTATATGTAATCAGAATAATGTACAAAATGAATACTAAAATTGCTGCCTAGTGCAAACTATGGCATGTTTACATTCATATTAATCACTATCTTATAAGAATTCTAGCAATGTAAATTAAATTCACCCCAGTCACTTCTTTTAAATTTTATAAGCAAAAAACAAAAACTCAACCTAAAGGACATAAATTAACAATTAACAATTAAATACTTCACACCACAGGCGCCAACTGTCAAACATGTCACTGTCACCCCTCCCTCCCTCCCCTCCACATCCCAAAGAAAGGTTTGGGAGTTTTGAGAAGGCTTTAAGTTTTAATCATATATAATATCTCAGACTAAAGTTAGGGGAATATAATTTGCATTGCTGGAATTCTTGCAAGACAGTGAATAATTTGAATATAAATGTCATTTTGCACAAAAGATAAAATTTTTGCTCTCTCTAATAAAATTTTTAAATTTAATGTAAAATTTGTATGTCTAATGCAAATTTTAGCTTGTTTATATTCAAATTAATCACTATCTTATAAGAATTTGAGCAATGTAAATAATATTTTGCCCAGTTATTTATATACAATTTTATGAGCAACAACATAAATAAATAAATTAAATACTTCTGCAGACCTTCTCCTAACTGTCATTAGTACATCTCACCCCCCCCTCTTCCCACGCTCGCTCGCTCCCTCCCTACCCCCCACCTTCTTGAGAAAAGTCTGGGGGTTTTCACTTGGCTTACAGTTTTAATCATATACAATATCTCAGACTAAAGTTAGGAAAATTAAATTTACATTGCTGGATTCCTTGCAAGACAGTGAATAATTTTAATATAAACGTCATATATTTTGCACATAAGATAAAATTTTTGCTTTCTCTAATAAAATTTTTAAATTAGATCTAAAATTGTATGTCTAATGCAAATTTTAGCTTGTTTATATTCAAATTAATCACTATCTTATAAGAATTCCAGCAATGTAAATTATATTCTGCCCTGGTTATATTTCTGAGCTGGTTATCTTAGAAGTCAAAAAGCGGACAGCCGAGATAAATCCAGGATTTGGAGAAAATTACCTAGAGTCCCTTTGCAAACTTTTTAGATTGCCATTTAAAAAAAAAATCGTAGCAAACAGAGACATATTCCGCCAGACCTGAAGCCTTTAATCGGATGTTCAAAGTATTCCCATGCAGCTCTTCTGAATGCAAACGAGGCTTTAGCAGCGTGAACCTTATCGTGACGGAAACGAGGTGTAGACTGGAAACCAGACGACTACGTACACAAATGGCTTAGGTGTCATCGTTCAGCAACTGATACACAAACAAGAATAGCCAAGTCCAAGGATCTCACTGTGGATCCAGTTTGGAAATTCTGTTAAAAATTTCTCCAAGACTGCAAAAGTTAAGGTGAGCCTAAATAGAATATTTTTTAAATTGTATTTTCATAAATTGTATTGCTTTGAGACTGTGGAATCATGATAATTTACAAATTACCAAGCCCTGCGTTAGCAAGGTTTGGTATTGAAACTAAGGGTAAAAATGTCGCCTGCGTGTACAGTACAGTAGGATATAGGGATCCGGGAAGTTCAGCTTATCTGTCTGTCACGAAACTCCTCCAACACAATGGGACCACTTGTTACCAATATTGGAACATAGATTGATTAGAACAATGCGAGAGTCAGTTAAGCATTGATATAAATGATATTGTCCCCAATGTTAATGCCCACCGCCCACCAACCCCTATTTTGACCCCCCAAAATCAGTCAGGACCTCCAGTTGTATGGGCTCGCTGCACTCACCAGTGCCCCCACCATCTGAGTAATACTGTACTTTCAAAGTACGTTCACTCACTTCTTTTTTTAGCACTACACTACTGTACCTCACGGAGAGTGTGGATTGACAATACAGTCTGTAACAGTTGGAAAAGTCCCCAACTGTACATCATATTAAATTCTCCTTCTCTGAGCTGATAGTTTAATAATGTCTAATTTTACATCTAAAACTACACTTTCACTACTTCTTGATAAAAGATGTACTTCGTGAAACAGTGGCCGGTCTTCTTGTTCTTATTATGCATATGGTATATTTTTTATGTAAAATGAATACTGTACTACTATATTTGAAATTTTTTATAAATATTATATTCTATGTTTTCAAGATAATACATTTTTTAGTCACCAAAGTTTTCATTGTAATATAAGCATAAAATAAATGCATGGAAATAAATCTGCCTTATGAAACAAAATAAAACAGAAAAATTATGAAATAAACAAAGATTAGTTTGTGCTACAAGACACCATGTCGTGTCACAAACAATATTCTCTACCATCTCTGGTCAGTGTTCAATTTTAATCATTCAGCACAGACAAACTTCCAAATTCTGATCACTCAGAATGTATTACTCAACTGTTAAAATCTCGCCAAAATACCGACAGTTTTCAAACCACCTATAAAACTGAATGGCATTCAACATTTTCCTATTTATCCCATAAAATTCAAACCTTCATAATAATTTTCTTTAAGTTCTATTACAAACTTTCCAGATAAATGAAAATAACAAATAAATTCTTTCTTGTTTCCTAGAAATTTTCATTCGATATAATTTTCATATACAGTAATGTACCTGTTCAGTGCAGAAATATCTGATGACATGTGGATGCTGATCACTTTCCCGAAGAAGTTCCACTTCCCGATCAGCAATTGAGAAACAGTCAGGAAGGACCCGTTTGACTGCCACTGCTCGGCCATCAAATGTACCTCTGTGTGTATACAATACAATATAATATAATATAATATAATATAATATAATATATATATATATATATATATATATATATATATATATATATATATATATATATATATATATATATATATATATATATATATATATATATATATATATATATTTATAATATAAATATATATATATACACACACACACACATATATATCCTTATACATATCACTACATCCTTGACCACCGAAGGGTCAAGACGTACCTGGCGCTCCTCTCGGAGCAGCCAGGTCAACTGTTAAGTTGGCCCATACCAACTCCCTCCCCTGAACCCTCCTCCCCACCAGAATATCAACAAGTTCACGCCAGAAGTTACTATTTCATTTAGGAAAGGAATGGAACCAGTGTCAAACAGAGGTGAACAGTGGTGAATAGTGCTTAAGTCAGTGAGAACAACTCAACAGTAACAGTGGTACCCAAGTTAACCTTCACACAGTGAGGTCCCAGGTACCCAGTGATAATGGCCCGTGAGACCCAACAACCAGCGATGTGTTAATCCGTCTACGATAGGAAGGCCTGGGACCACACCTCACTCATATAACACCGTCTGTGAGGGAATTACTACACCACGTGAGGCCCCGCATAACACCATCTGATACTACACCACGTGAGGCCCATAACACCATCTGTCATAACACCATCTGTGAGGGAATACTACACCACACCCGTCACCATCTGTGTGAGATAACACCATCTGTGAGGGAATTACTACACCACGTGAGGCCCCTCATAACACCATCTGTGAGGGAATTACTACACCACGTGAGGCCCCGCATAACACCATCTGTGAGGGAATTACTACACCACGTGAGGCCCCTAATAACACCATCTGTGAGGGAATTACTACACCACGTGAGGCCCCTCATAACACCATCTGTGAGGGAACTACTACACCACGTGAGGCCCCTCATAACACCATCTGGGAGGGAGTTACTACACTACGTGTTTGCTGTTCAACACCTACAATAATCTGTATGCTCACTGTATGTTCCTTTATCTTTCTCTAATGAGGCTTTTATTAAACCACCAATGTCAATGTATGTAATAAGTCATTTATGTCCAATGTATATTTTCAGCCTTCGGGCTGCAGAAATTTTTTAATAATCCGTTAATTATCACACACACACACACTCGCACGCACGCACGCACACACGCACACACGCACACACACACACACACACACACACACTACTACTACTACTACTACTACTATGCTGTCACTCGGAATCGAGTATAACGATCATCCAGCTATGATAAAATGATAAGAGTTATTAATGATGTCACCTTCATTGGTGAGCTCTGGGGTGACTAGAGAGGCCAATACGGAACCGGCAGAGTCGTCCACAGAAGTTGCACGTGTAGAAGGGTACATCTAGTGCTGGAAGGGCAGTGGCAGCTTTTTACAGCATTGGTGCTTGTCTGCCTCGATATGCAGTCAGGCTAACTCAAAAGTATTGACACCTTCTTGTGTGGTGCTCCTCCAAGCATTACGGTGTGAAGTGATCTTCCCCAGGTGAAGGGGTCAATTTGGCAATTTTTCAGTTTTGTCTTCAGACTATCCTTATACCTTTTCAGTTGCCCGCCTGCGTTACATTTACTATTCGTTAGGTGACTTATAAAGTAGCTGCTTTGGCAGTCTATTGTCAGTCATGGGGCGCCGGTGGGTAGAACAGTACCGCTCTTGCCTCGCAAGCGAGATGTCACGGGTTCGATTCCCGGGCCAGTGGAAAGTTGTTCGGACACACTTCCCAGACTCCCTTGGTCCCTGTTCACCTAGCAGCAAAGTAGGTACCTGCTGTAAAACGAAAGTTGCGAATTCGTATTCAGGGACAAGTTGTTGGAGCTTCCAATAACTTGCTTAGACATAGACCATTGACTCTTCAGGCTTCTACGCCTTTGACTCTTCAGGCTTCTACGCCCTTAACTCATGAGACACAAAGGCAAGCATGAACTTAGCATGCTTCCCTGTTGGGCACTGTAAACGCTTCTGTGCTTCACCTTACACAAGGATGTAGGGGGGTGCCCAATAAAAAAAAAATAAAAATTGTCAGCCATGCGGGTAACATGGCCAATTTAGCGCAGTTGTTAATGGATAATGGAAGCCTCAGTGCTCCTACAGTTGGTGTCAGTGAGAATACTGGCATTTGTTTTCTTGTCTTTCCAGCGAACTCAGAGAATGGAACGTAGACTATGATGGTGAAAGTTTTCAAGTGCCTAGAGGTGCCTCCTGTATGTGGCCCATGTCACGCTGCCATACAGCAGGGTGGGGAGGACCACTGCTCAATATACAGTACATGCAACTTTGTAGATAATTTCAGCTCCCTACAGTTGACGTAGATGGATACAGAGTCTGCCAAAGGCTTGAGATGCACATCTGATCTGATGTTGAATCTCTTCATCGATGTTCGCGGTGGTGGACAGGTAGGACCCGAGATACCAAAAGTGGGTAACATTAGAGAGGGTAGCACCGTTAAGCTGGATGGATGGCTGAGGTGTGGCTGAACCAGGGGCAGGCTGAAAGAGAATCTGAGTCTTACGTACAATCACCTCAAGGCCGAAGTGTGCATACGCATATGAGTAGTTGTTCAGGATTCCCTGTAAGTTGCGTTCAATGTGTGCGACATGGGTGTGGTCATCTGTACACTGAAGTTCAACTAATGGAAGCTGTCGACACCTTTGTTCCTGCCTGGGATCATCTTACGTTGAATAGACTGTTCATCCGGTACTCGATGTCCACCCCGCTGGCTAAATTGGCACTGCCACGAGTAAGAAAGGCAGTAAAAAAATGGAAAAGAGAGTTGGTTCCAGTACACACCCTTGTTTAACCCCCGTTTGGATGGGGAATAATTCAGACTGGATGCCATTGTGCTAGAGACTGTCATTCATGCCATCGTGAAATTGCCTCACAATGGCGATGAATTTTGGTGGGCAGCCTAAACAGCTGACGGTCCTCTGGAGGGCTTCCCTGTTGAACAAGTCAAAGACCTTGGTTAGATCTATGAAGGTCATTAAGAGGTCACGATGCTGTTCTGTGCACTTTTCCTGTATCTGGCGGGCAGCAAAGATAATGTCAGTGGTGCCTCATGATGGTCTAAAGCCACACGAGACTCTGGGAGGAAGTTTTCCGCCTCCTCAGGAAGGAGTGTGTTTAGGAGGACTTGCCAGCTACGAACAGCAGCAAGATCCTGCCATAGCTACCACAGTCTGACCGGTCTCTCTTGTTATTATAAATAGTGACAATGGAGGCATCTTTAAGAGCTTGGGGGATTTCCTCATTTTCCCATATATTCTCGAGGAGAGAGTGGAGACGGCTGGTAAGCAGAGGTCCTCCTTTTTTATACACCTAGGATTGGTTGTTATTTTTCATGTGTTTGATGGCAGTAGCTACCTCATCCAGGGATGGAGGATAGCTGAGGTGAGTCAGCTCTGGATGCTGAGGGACCTGCTGGGTAGTCAGGACATCCACATCGGTGTTTTGGTTCAGCAGCGAATTGTAGTGCTCTTTTCAGTACTGAAGGATGCCTTCTTTGTCTTTCATTAGGGAGTTACCATCAGATGTGTGGAGGGGGGCTGAGACATGAGTGACGACTAGCCCATAAAGTGTTTTAGTGGAATTGAAGAATTCGTGCATCTTGTGTCGAACTGCTAATTTTTGTGTTTCCATGCTTTGTTTAAACTAGTCGTTCTTTAGATTGCGAAGTTTGCGCTGGGCCACCGCTTTCTTCTTGCGGAAGATATCAGCTTTGGTCTGAGACTGAGGGTTGTTCTGCCAGTCAGTTAAAGCAGCACGTTTATCATTGATGAGTACACTGATTTCCAGGTTATTTTTATCAAACCATTCCTGGTATATTTTTTCAATCTGGTTGAGGGTCTCTCTGCAGGTTTTTGTCAGAACAGTGTTAAGAATATCCCATTAGGAGCTGGGATTTGGGTTGCTTGTTGTCGGGTTGTTCATCAGGCCATCTCCGAGCTGCTCTCTGAAAGCGTGTGCTACCGCTGGATCCTCCAAACGCTTAGTGTTAAAACCTCTTCTAGAGGCTTAGTAACTTAGCCGTTTTGGGGTGAGGTGAAGTGAGAGCTTGGCTCTGACGAGCAGATGATCAGTGTCACAGTGGTTTGAACCATGCATGGCTCGGGTGATGAGGACATGTCAGCAATCTCTTTCTCTGACACTGATGTAATGAATGAGATGCCAGTGTTTGGATTGTGGGTGTTGCCACGAACCCTTAAGCTTGTCAGCCTGCCTAAACAAGGTGTTGGTGATAGTGAGGTTGTGTGCAGCACATTTGCTTAGGAGGAGTAGGCCATTGGGATTACATTTGCCTAGTCCATTTCTCCCTATGGTTCCCTGCCAAATGTCAGTATCTCTGCCAACTCTGGCATTTAAGTCACTTATGAGCACGCACGCACGCACGTCAGAGTTAGCTGGGTATACTGCCCGGCTGAACTGTGCCAAGTTGCCCAAAGGATGGTTTGAGTGTTGAAGGAGCCATGTTTGTACATAATATATGTGTATTTTATGATATGCTATGTATCAATTTATGTAAAAAAATATTTTTGGGCAATGTTGAGTTAACCATACAGTTAAGCTAGCCAGCTGACTCACATGTTTGTGGTTGCAGCACTGCATGATGTATAAGCAGTGATGTCACATTGCGCTCTGGGGGACGGAGTGCAGCGACAGCTGGGTAGCAACGTAGTTACTGTAGCCCCATTCCTACACATCAATTTTCACTTCCCACACCTCTTCATTTCTCATATTCTATAGTTTTATATCAGTTTTTTTTTTAAGCCAACATTAGAGTACGTACCGAAGTGATTTTTCCACAACTGTTATAGTTTCATTACACGTAACAATGCCAACAAGCATAGCCATCTCACAACTAACTGGCAATGTGTTATTGGGCATTCTATTATTACTTATAATGATTACTTTACATGATATTAGATGCTTTTCACACTATTCATACTCGTACATCATTCTCGGATATTGAATGGTTAGGCAGTACGAAGACTGTCATAAACTGCCCATTAAAATACTTAGTGAGAGCAAGCTGTGAGCCACCTGACAACCTTTAGCACTAATAAAAATGCTAGACAAGTCCATGAAACCAACCTTAACATTCACAACCATCCAAATGTACACATCATATGATTATGCACAAACATATACAGTATGTATAGGATACTATACAAGAAAATAACGAATAAAATAGCTAATAGAGATTTTGAGTTTCTGTAAAGTTGAGACACATATTGTGCTCTTACCTTTCTCTTCACTGGATTTAGCACTCACTTTAGGCATGGTGACAAAGATATATATGCACACACACAAACAGAATATGAAAAAACCCTAGGAGATCAAAAACATATGTGGTGAGGAGTGATGGGAAACTGACTGATCGTATCAAAACAATGAAACGAGCTCAGGAGGGCATTACCAAAAACTTCCTTCATCTAGTTAGATGAAGAAGCAAATATTGTCACAAATTCATTCTGCTAAATCGAACTTCAGCTAAAATTAATTGCATTGTAAGGGATGATTACTGGATTTCATAAAAAACTAATCCCGAGAACACACCACAAAGAACTACTAGGAAGCACAAAACCACAAGGAAAATTTTGTTGTATAGGAGTGGTGTGCGTGTCTAGTGCAGATAACAGAGAAATACACAGTAAGCATAAAAACTGCTAACAACAGGATATAGTGGTATGTGGAGGAAGGAACCTTGATGAATAGACGTTGTTCAGGCCACCCTTACTCAACAACAATATATGAAGACCAAAAAATTATGGAATGCATGCAAGATAGGACTACACACACAGTGGAAAAACACTGTGGAAGAGTTGCAAATGGAGTGCACAGTATTAATGGCAGTGCAGAGACTGAATTCAGTTGGTGTTTACTAAAGCATACTCGCTAGTAACCTGCATTAACACAATGTCACAAGGACAAAAACTTCTAGTAACACGTCATATTTTCTGATGAGAAAACATTTTCACCAGATAATATGGCTTCTCTTTTCCAAGGTTCCTCAGGCCTGCTAACTTTTCATTAGTTTCAAGGATGCATGCATCAGATGGCTCGACTTTCCTTCTATACATTCACCAAAACTTTGAAGATAGTTAAGTCTTTGACTGTCCAGTTTGTTTACAGCTTAGAGTAAGAAATATTCAAATGTGTAACATAACTATTTCAATCAGTCTATTAAATGCATAAATATCTTCACTTCTGGGTAAGGAGAAATTTGACTAAACTACTTTATAAAAAGTATATTTGAGAAGTCTCATTCAATTTTACATCATATACTGTACACTGTTTCTACAGAATTTACATGCATAATAATTGTCAAAAGATAATATGCAAACTAGAAGCAAAAAGAAGTTAACTTTTATTAATAGTAATTCTCTGGAAAAATCAATTTAAGAGTATGTGTTTGGTACTAAAATGAGTTTTACTATACAACTGAGACATGTTAACTACTCACTTGAACACAAAGGTACCATCACAGCCTTTCCCAAGCAACTGCTGTGGATCAAATATGATTTTGCCGACACTAACAGTTCCATTATCCAGTTCCTCTGCTAAGGCTGTGATGTTGCCAGAGGAGCCTCCAGAGCTGTTAGATCCTTGTGACCATGGACGTCTAGATGACATCTCTTGAGTCAGCCTTGCATAATCCTGAGCCTGCAGGTAAAGACAACAGTGAATTTCTAAGTAACCAAGTTAATAAAATGTTAACATATCTGATTACAATACAGAATACAGCTAGACCCCGACTTACGACAGGGTTAGGGACCCAAATCCAGGTCATAAGTCGTAAGTCCGACATAGATAAAAAAAAAATCCCAAAATTTTTTTTCAAAAAAAAAAAAAAATTAAAAAATTTTGTTTTCAAAAAAATAAAATAAAAATCTACAATGAAATACAGTACACTAAACGTAATAAATAATGAGGAATGGATACAGTACAGTAAAAGTAATAAATAATGAGGAATGGATACAGTATGACTGAGCACTTACCTTAAATGTAGTCAGCTGAATGCACATATGGCCCCCATAATTTTCTATTTACAGGATACATGGAGACTATATTAATTGGAAGAAGCAGAAGAGGAGACAGGGCTGCGTGGGTCATCAACGTCGCTTTCTTCGGACAGGTTTATGTGCTGTGAAAACTTGCTGGTTGAAGGTATTGGGTCATCTTGAGGTAGTGAAGAGGCAGCACTGGTGGGGCATGAGGAGACAGCACTGGGGGACTTGTTGAAATAGATGTCCAATTTAGACTGCACAGTTTGCTTTTTCTTTTCATAATAAATTTCTCTGTAGTAAGCAAGTGCAACTTGGATCATTCTGTCAACTTTGGCATAACGCTCATAATTTTGATCCATGCCATCAAACATTTGCATTGCTTTATTAATTGTAGCAAATGCCTCTGCCATTTGTTTCACTGAAAACTTTTTGGGGAGTGCAGGTTCTTCTTCTACATTTTGTCTCTCTTCTTCCTCTGCAACTTTCTGTGCATCTACTTCAATAAGATCCTCGTTACTGAGCTCTTCTGCTACACTTTCAACCAACTGTCCAACATCTTCATTATCAATTTCTAACTCCAGCTGTTTACCTAACTCCACTATCTTGTTACTAATATCCGAAATAACTTCATTTTCATTAAATCCTTTGAAACTGTGCACATATCTTTTCAGGATTTTCTTCCATATTCCATTCATGCAATGTTTTGTAACCTGATCCCATGCTGCACTTATGTTCTTTATACATGACAAAATGTTGTACTCCTTCCAAAACTCTCTGAGCGTTTTCTCACCTTCATTAGCAGCAACAGCCTGAGCGCAGGTCGTGCGTAAATAATACGCTTTAAAGGCAGCAATAGCACCTTGATCCATGGGTTGGATGATAGAGGTAGTGTTGGATGGAATGTACACTACCTTAACATCAAGGTGCATGTCGTCCAGGTGTGGTGGGTGTCCCAGAGCATAATCCAAAATCAGTAAAATCTTGAATGGAATCTGTTGTTGCAGACAATACTCCTTGGCTCGTGGAATGAAACAAGTCATGAACCAATCCTCAAACAGTACTAGGGTCATCCAAGCTCTCGTGTTTCTGCGATAAAACACTGGCAGTGTGTGCTTGCTGACATGTTTAAAAGCCCTGGGGTTCTCTGAATGATACATCATGAAGGGCTTTAGCTTGAAACCAGCAACATTCTCCCCCCAACAGAAGTGTAATTCTGTCCTTGAATCCGGGCATTGTTTTCGCCTCTCTCTCTGTGGATGTATGTCCGCTCAGGCATGCGCTTCCACAATAATCCAGTCTCATCCACATTGAATATTTGCTCAGGCAAATAATTCCCTTCCACAATCACATCATCTAACTCCTCCTTAAAAGCTTCGGCAACACCAACATCGGCACTAGCTGCCTCTCCACTCACCTTAACATTGTGTAGACTGTAGCATTTTTTAAATCTATCAAACCACCCATGACTTCCTGTAAAGGTTTGATCACATTCATCTCCTGCCTGCTGCTTCAGGCTTTGGAACAGGCTTCTTGCTTTAGCCTGTATGGTTAGAAGGCTTAAGGGAACACGCTTCTGTATCTGGTCTTCTATCCATATCACCAATAATTTTTCCATATCGTGAAGAGGACCTTGTCTTCTCTTTGATATTATAGTTCCCTTTATAGGTGTTGTTCCTTTCACTACTTCACGAATACGTTCCTTGTCCTTCAGAATAGTGGATATGGTCGAGTGTGAGAAACCTAGGTCACGTGAGATCGTTGCTACAGTTTTTCCATTCTCATGCTGAGTTATTATCTTCATTTTCATCTCAAAAGTAATTGCCTGTCTCCTTTTCTTTGGAGCACCACCAGCACTCTCACTTTTACGCTTTCCAGTCATTATAAAGTCAATTAAATACGATAATAACGAAAGTTCACAGCGCGATCAGTATAGGATACGATAGCCAAACACAAACAAAGCGCTCCACTGAGTGAGTGTACCCACGAGGCGACCCGAGACGCGCCACCCACTCGCCCGGACGGAAACGTTTCGGTATAGAAAATGCGTGCATCATTTGAAAATATTTTTGGTCACGACTGCCGCGATCGTATGTCCCGACGGACGTACGGTCAAAGCAGGTCGTAAGTACCAATGGACGTAAGTCCATGTGGTCGTAAGTCGGGGTCTAGCTGTATATCGTACATATACACTAGAACTCTTAAATCACTACTGTAATGTGATACAGGTGATTAATTTTATCTCTTGTGCAAAATATATGATGTTTATATTCAAATTATTCGCTGTCTTGCAAGGATTCCAGCAATGCAAATTATATTCTCCTAACTTTAGTCTGAGATATTATATAAGATAAATACTTTAAAGCCTAACGAAAACACCAAACTTTTGTCTGGGAAGGTGGGGTGGGTGGGTGGGTGGGTGGGTGGGTAGGGGAGGGAGGGAGGGAGGAGGAGGAGGAGGAGGAGGAGGGAGGAGGAGGAGGAGGAGGAGGGAGGAGAGGGAGGGAGGAGAGGAGGAGGGAGGAGCAGGGAAGAGAGGGGGAGCAGGAGGTGAGGTGTATTTTGATTGACAGATAGTGCATCTGGTGAAGTATAATTTGTTTATTTACTTGAGGTTTGTTTTTAGCTCATAAAATTTATAGAAATTACCAGGGCAGAATATAATTTATATTGCTGGAATTCTTATAAGATAGTAATTAACTTGAATATAAACAAGCTAAAATTTGCATTAGACATACAAATTTTAGATCAAATTTAAGAATTTTATTAAGAAAGAGCAAAAATTTTGTCTTTTGTGCAAAATTTATGACGTTTATATTCAAATTATTCGCTGTCTTGCAACGATTCCAGCAATACAAATTATATTCTCCTAACTTTAGTTTGAGATATTATATATGATTAAAACTGCAAGCCTAGTGCTTTTCCCCAAACGTTTCTCGGGAAGGTGGGGGGTAGGGAGGGAGGAAGGGAGGGGTGACAGTGACATTGTAGTGGACTCCATCCCCTACAAGGGACGACTGAGCCCCCGCGCGCCTACCAGTCAATGAGCGTACAGCCATCGGTGCCTGTAGACCTACTCTCCAGCGCGGACGCACACGTAGCAACGCTAGGACCAGAGTGCCGGTGGCCTCCTCCTCTGTGATTGGCCCTCTCGCTATGCTCACCCCAAATCCTGATCCTCGTAAATTGTATAAATACGGCCATGGCTGGCCAGGGAAACCATTCTACTCTGACCTGCAGGACCAGCAAGATCTCTCTCCAGCACCTCACCACCCAGCTTCCTCAGAGAGCTCCTCGCCCTACAGGAACTCTGAGCAAGCTACACCTCACCTAGTAACTCCTTAGCACTACTCTGTACAACAATATATATACAGAAAATGCATCGTGAGTTTCTATTCTACCTCATTCCTGAGTGTGAGATATCTACATGTACATACGTTGTGTGGCCATACAAAGAGATAATAGACATCTAAAGATAATTGCCTACTGGCCACAATACAGTACGCTACAACATGTTTGACAGTTGGTGCCTGTGGTGTGAAGTATTTAATTGTTAATTTATGTCCTTTAGATTGAATTTTTGTTTTCTGCTTATAAAATTTAATATAAGTGACCTGGGTGAATTTAATTTGCATTGCTGGAATTCTTATAAGATAGTGATTAAGTTGAATGTAAACATGCCATAGTTTGCACTAGACAAAAATTTTAGTAATCATTTTATACGTTATTCTGATTACATGTACAGTACAGTTCAGCTTTGTCCTTAGGACAGTGTATGCATGTAAATGAGTTTCAATAAATGAATAAAGTTACATATATGAGCCAAAAATAGTTGAAAAACTTTATGTAGACAGAGCTTGGTTGGCTAAATTTGAGAATAACCAATAATTTTAATACTGTATAAAAAAAATGCACAAATATTAAAGAGTACAATTTTCTTGATAATTACTCCATTGGAAACGAATGTAAACATAGAAGAGATTACTGAATTGGCTGAGTACCTCCTCAGCTTATCAACTGATGCTCAAAACAATACCTGATTTTCGTAAGGATTTCGTTAATAAATTTTTTTTTCGTTAACCGAATTGAAGCTTCTTATGGAAGGTAATTCGTTAACCGAGGCGTTCGTTAACCGAGGGACCACTGTATCATACTCATGGTTGTTGTTGTGTGTTGCAGACTGTGTATAGATTTGCACCTATTTAAAAATAAAGAGAAAAAAAAAGAACAATACTTAGCTGCTCTCTGTTGCCTTTAGGGTTGTCTTCCTTTTTTTCTTCTCTCTTTTTTTCAGTTCACTTCGGCATTTGTCAGTATTTATGTGCCATCTCTATGTTCACTGCATTTTGCTATGAATAACGGATTTTATACACCCACTCAGTCCTTTAGAAACACAGAAAAATAAAATAAAACTTTGGGGCGGTAATAGAATGCCTTTAAGGATAGCCAAGCTTGTTGATTTGATTTTATTTTATTTTATTTTATTTTATTTTATATTATTTTTTATTTCAACTACAGGTTGACAACCCTTTATCCGAAATTCCAAAAACCGAAAGTTTTTTGTGTTCTTTTATTTTTATTTTTTAACTGGTATTAGCCCATCTGGGCACAGGTTACTGACCCACATCGGGGCCTGGGGGCAAAAATGTAATAGTAATAATAATTATAATTATAAAAATAAAAATAAAAATAAAAATAATAATAATAATAATAATAATAATTATTATTATTATTATTCATAGCAAATAAAAATTTTAAGAAAAAATACACAAAAATAAAATAAGAATGATAACAATAATAATAATAATAATAACAATAATACACTTTTTCACATATCCGTTGAGACATTGTTACATAACTATTTGACAAATTTCATAACCAAATGACAGAACACATATTGAACAGTCTAAAATAACTGTTGGTGGTATGTCATTCTCCAAGTGTTACATTCTCATACTATATGTAGACTGTCGGTTTATTGTTCACGTCTGTCAACTTCATACCTTATGTCAATCACTTCCGTTAGCATGAACGAACAGTTATTTAAGATTGTCATTCAATATGTGTTCTGTCATTCGGTTATAAAATTTGTCAAATAGTTATGTAACAATGTCTCAACGGATATGTGAAAAGGTGTACTGTAATAATAAAGAAATACAAGAATGAAAAAAAGATCTATTATTATTATTATTATTATTATATTTTAGCCCCCAAGCCCCAATGTGGGTCAGTGACCTATGCCTGGGTGGTCTGATCCCTGTACTAACCATTCTGAAATCAGAAAAATTCCGAAAACCGAAATGCATCTGGTCCCAAGGATTTCGGGTAAGGGATTGTCAACCTGTAGTATTCCCTTATACTTTCTTTTCCTGTTCTCATCGACGACTAGATCTCTTTGTGCTATCACTGTGTACACTGTATCTCCCTGTGAATGGTGAATTGTAGGCACAGTTTCAGTCCATGAGAAAGCACACAAACAAAATAACATTTAAAGTCTCTGTGGCACCTATAACATGACTTGGTTTCTGCTGGCAGTGGTGCCTTACCAGCTTGCTTGCCAATTTGTATTCATTTTAAGTTATTTACAGCTTCTTCTGCAGTCACTGATGACACTATGAACTGATTTAACTAAAGGCACAGTACTACACTCCCTGGTTGGCCTTTATCACAGCCGTGACCACAACTCCGTAAAAATATAAAATAAAAGCTTTGTCAAATGGCAATGATTTTGTGGTTGTAGGCCTCTTGACCTGGGCTGTACCTCCAACTCAGTGGAGATTGAGTTTTCAAAAATACAATCAAGTCTAGCATTGAAAATCCTACATCAATTTACACTTTCACATCACTAAGACGATCTTGATGACCTTATGTAACCACTGTCCAATTTCTGCCGCTCAACAACGAAGGCCCAAGTGCCGAACACGCTTTGTTACAGAGACGCAACACAACCCGACACGACACGCGCCTAACCCTCCACATTTTATTTATTTATTGATTCAGTATTATATTCTCATATGATTGAACTCTTATGATTTATGGTTCATTAGGATTAATATAACATTTTCGGTAACAGAGAAAAAATATAATACTGTATGCAATTTGTAATATGACTTGAAAATAAAAGGATAAGCTGTATAAGAAGGCTGTTTACTCAAATGCGTTCGTATGAGCTTTCAGTAGACCAGCTTACAACAGGGGTCACTATAACACACTGCACATATAGTATTTGATATGAAGATACCTTCTTATAAACGTTATTTACTAACTTTGAGTGTTATATGATGACTCAGTTTGGCTACTTGTACCCTTAGACAAATGATAAATGAATAAACCAGGGTATATGCAGATGCATAATACTTTACACTACAATATTACTTATAAAGTGATGATAAATACACTACAATAGTATTTAGTAAGTGATGATGAATGAACTGAAATAGTATTTATTATGTGATAATATATACACTACAATAGTATTTAAGTTGTGATAAATACACTGTAATAATATTTATTAAGTGATGATAAATACACAACTGTACTGTACTAATTTACTAAGTGTTAAAGACAGACATTGTGGTAAGCCGATCAGCTGTCTGCTCTTTGTAAACAAATGAGTATGAACTTGTGGGGTATGGGTTGTTTGGTTCACACTCAGGATGGTTGGAGAAAGGAAACTCACAATGTGCTCTCTGTATACATGTTGTATTGGATGTACAATGCAGCTTGGTGCTGGGAAGGCAGCGTGGTTACAAGCGTGATGTAGAGAGAGCTGGTTGGTGAGGACGCTCAGAGAAGGACAGCTTGTGGGTCGCCATGCTCGCCGGCGGGAGCGAGGACCGCCAGGCAGGCGGAGGAGGAGGAGGTGTTGCTGGCTGGTTGGTGAAGGTAGAAAGAGAGAGATCACCACGAGGTCAGGTCTTAAATAGCGGGGGAAGGCGTGGCTTAGTAGTTGACCCCCGCTCCGTGGGCGGCGCTGGTTGACCTAGACCACGAGGCATACACTGGGGAATTCGCGGGATCGGCTACTCAGCGACAAACAGCGTTTGTAGGGGAGAAATCCACTACAAACTGACTCATGTTCAGTGTGGGATTTTTTCTTCAGAAAAGCTGATTCTTTAGGATAATATTTATCAACCTGGCACCAAATGATCCTAAATTATATGAGAATTGTGGTGGAATTGCATAAAAAAGTGTTAAAGGAATCTTGTGGGTGAGAGGGGGAGGGAGCCACCCACCCATGCTACTCCTGCTCCCCTCTGCTCCTAAATAAACACTCACCTTCCACATACAATATACACCAACACTTATTTATTGTTATTTTTATCTTTATGGTACTGTACAATGTATATTTTTTCTTTATTCATAAGAAAAATTTTGTTGTTACTTACATATAACACTTTACAGTAAATCACTATTATCTCAGTGACAACAGTTGTTGACAACCAGACTTATGTTTGATTTTCAGCCCAGAAAAATTGTTTCATATTTTATTGTTGAAGAAACAGTCTTCTAATAACCTTGTTATACACTTAAAAACCTTAGTTGTTGAAGTGCAGTAAAAACATAACAACAACTGATTTTCTTTATACAGTTCAGATATGCAGTGTTATCTTCACCCCCAATCCTCACAGATTCGCTTTTTTCGGACTGAGGTCTGTCCCCAATTAGTTGATTTGTCGAGGTTCTACTGTATATAAAAAAATTGTGTGCACTTACTTGTTTGTACAAAAGGAAAGCAATTATTCCAAATCCCAGCATGAAGATGACTACCAGCAGGTTGACAGTATCACACAGGAACCACAGCCACATTGTATGTATCACTGCTCCCCACCACTTTAATACTTTTCCAGAAGTAATAAAGCTTACATTCATTCTCTTCACCTGATCCAATCCATCTGTGCCAAAGAGAAAAATAAGTGTGTGGGAGTGTGTATAATACTAACACTACTGTACTACTATTAATAACAATAATTAATGGTTTACTGAAAGAAAATGGCAACCAAAATGCTGAAAATATTTAATAAACAAAGACAATACAAAAAAAAGTTACAAATACTGTATTGAAATTGTGAGTGAGTCACTTGATTGGAAAAGGCTTCCAAAAAGAGAAGAAATGTGGAATGAACATGCAAAATGACAAGAGACCTGGTAGCAATCTGTTGCTATAATGGAGTTAGTCTAGTAAACTGTCTTGTGAGTTGACTGAATAGAAGGTTTTGCACCTAGGTGCCAAAGGAAGTCTGGCCACTTTCTCCCACCAGCTGCTCACACACTCAGCTCACACAAGGTGTTGGGGAGAGCTCTCATTTCTCACCTAGTGGAGTTGGGAGTCCTCATTTCCCTCCTGGTGGAGTTGGGAGTCCTCATTTCTCTCCTGGTGGAGCTGGGAATCCTCATTTCTCTCCTGGTGGAGCTGGGAGTCCTCATTTCTCACCTATTGGAGTTGGGAGTCCTCATTTCCCTCCTGGTGGAGTTGGGAGTCCTCAGTTTCCTCCTGGTGGAGCTGGGAGTCCTCATTTCTCTCCTGGTGGAGCTGGAAGTCCTCATTTCTCTCCTCGTGGAGCTGGGAGTCCTCATTTCCTCCTGGTGGGTGGTTGGAGTTGGAGTCCTCATGGAGGAGTCCCCATTTCTCCTGGTGTAGTTAGGAGTCCTCATTTTCTCCTGGTGGAGTTAGTCCTCCTGGTGGGCTGGGAGTCCTCCTGGTGGAGTTGGGAGTCCCCATTTCCCTCCTGGTGGAGTTGGGAGTACCCATTTCCTCCTGGTGAGCTGGGAGTCCTCATTTCTCTCCTGGTGTAGTTAGGTCCTCATTCCTCCTGGTGGAGTTGGAGTCCTCATTTCCCACCTGGTGGGCAGAGTGGTGAGTTAAGTCCCCATTTCCTGGTGGAGTTGGGAGTCCTCATTAGTGGATGGAAGTCCCATTTCCTCCTGGTGGAGTTAGGAGTCCCATTTCCTCCTGGTGGAGTTGGGAGTCCCCATTTCCCTCCTGGTGGAGTTGGGAGTCTCATTTCCCTCCTGGTGGGTTGGGAGTCCTCATTTTCCTCCTGGTGGAGTTGAGTCCTCATTTCCTCCCAGGAGTTGGGAGTCTCATTTCCTGGTGGGTTGGGAGTCCTCATTTCCTCCTGGTGGAGTTGGGAGTTGAGTCTCATTTCCTCCTGGTGGAGTTGGGAGTCCTCATCTCCACCTGGTGGAGTTAGAGTCCTCATTTCCTCCTGGTGGGTTGGGAGTCCTCAATTCCCTCCTGGTGGGTTGAGTCCTCATTTCCTCCTGGTGTAGCTGGGAGTCCTCATTTCCTCCTGGTGGAGCTGGGAGTCCTCATTCCCTCCCTGGTGGAGTTGGGAGTCTCATGTCCCTCCTGGTGGAGTTGGGAGTCCCTCAGGGGAGTTGGGAGTCCTCATTTCCTCCTGGTGGAGTTGGGAGTCCTCATTTCCTCCTCTGGGAGTTGGGGAGTCCTCATTTCCTCCTGGTGGGTTGGGAGTCCTCATTTCTCCTGGTGGAGTTGGGAGTCCTCCTGGTGGAGCTTTCCCTCTGGTGGAGTTGGGAGTCCTCATTTCCCCCTCATTTCCCTGAGTTGGGAGTTCTCTCATTTCCTCCTGGTGGAGTTACGAGTCCTCATTTCCTCAGGAGTTGGGAGCCTGGGGGGTTTCCTCATTTCCTGATGTAGTTGGGAGTGGAGTTGGGAGTCCTCATTTCCCTCCTGGTGGGTTGAAGTCCTCATTTCCTCCTGGTGGGTTAAGTCCTCATTTCACTCCTGAGTGGAGTTGGGAGCCCTCATTTTCACCTGGTGGAGTGGGAGTCCTCATTTCCCACCTAGTGGAGTTGGGAGTCCTCATTTCCCTCCTGGTGGAGTTGGGATTCCTCATTTCCTCCTAGTGGAGTTGGGAATCCTCATTTTCCTCCTGGTGGAGTTGGGAGTCCTCATTTCCTCCTGGTGGGTTAGAGTCTCTTCTCATTGGGTTGAATTCTCAGTGGAGTTGGAAATCCTCAGTTCCCTCCTGGTGGAGTTGGGAAGTCTCATTTCCTCCTGGTGGAGTTGGGGAGTCCTCATTTCTCTCCTGTGGAGCTGGGGAGTGGTGGAGTTGGGAGTCTCATTTCCCTCCTGGTGGAGTTGGGAGTCCTCATTTCCTCCTGGGAGTTGGGAGTCCTCATTTCTCTCCTGGTGGAGTTGGGAGTCTCATTTTCTCCCCTGGTGAACTGGGGTCCCCATTTCCTCCTATGTAGTTGGGAACTCCCTCCTGGTGGAGTTAGAGTCCCATTTCCCCTGGTGAGTGGGGACTCATTTCCTCCCCTGGTGGGTTGGGGTCCTCATTTCTCCTGGTGGGTTTCCCTATTTCCTCCTGGAGTTGGAGTCTCATTTCCTCCCTGGTGGAGTTGGGAGTCCTCATTTCCTTCCCTGGTGGAGTTAGGAGTCTCATTTCCCTGGTGGGTTGGGGAGTCTCATTTTCCTGGAGTGGAGTCCTCAGTTCCTCCTGGTGGATTGGGAGTCCCCATTTCTGCTGGTGGAGTTGGGAGTCCTCATTTCCTTCCTGGTGAGGTTAGGAGTCCTCATTTCTCTCCTGGTGGAGTTGGGAGTCCCCCTTTCCTCCTGGTGTGGTTGGGAGTCCTCATTTCCCTCCTGGTGGAGTTGGGGTCCTCAGTTCCCTCCTGTGGTGGAGTTAGGAGTCCCCATTTCCCTCCTTTGGGTTAGAGTCCTCTTCCTTCCTCGTGGAGTTAGGAGTCCTCAGCTCCTCCTGGTGGAGTTGGAGTCCTCATTTCCCTCCTGGTGGAGTTGGGAGTCCTCATTTCCCTCCTGATGGAGTTGGGAGTCCTCATTTCCCTCCTGGTGGAGTTGGGAGTCCTCATTTCCCTCCTGGTGGAGTTGGGAGTCCTCATTTCCCTCCTGGTGGAGTTGGGAGTCCTCATTTCCCTCGATTTAGTGCGAATTCGGTTTAAAGTGACCTCTCTTAGAACGTATCTCGTGTTATATCGACGTTCTACTGTACACACAGTTGAGTGAACAATGTCTGCCTCCTCAAGGCTCAAGTCGATAGCATCTGCTGGCGAGTACAGTACATATATTATAATAGCACAGTCGGCCCTTAACATACGTGGGTTTAGCATACACGGATTTGCAAATACGAGGATTGCCCCGCCGGAGGAATATACTGTACATTGAAGTACATTCAAATCGCGAGCGGCAACACACACTGCACACCGCCCGCCACCCCACACACACACACACACACGCATCGCTTGTCACGCCACCCCGTGCTCCCTCACTCAGTCAGTCAGTCTCGCTGTAACCACACTTGTGTTGACATCAGCATTGTAGGTCGACCCCGATTTTTTTACCAAAAAATTGTTAATTTATGATATTCCTCGTTTATAGGTCGACCCAAGTTTTTGAGGGTAATGGAACAACAAAACCTTCAGTAAAAACGCTCTACATCCTATAAACTGAGGCTCACCGTGCCTGAAACACCGAGTGCCAAAGGCAAATTGTTTACCATTTATTATTACGACACTTTACACTGAAACGCGAGTAGTTTCAACAAAAATATTGTATATTTCCATTCAAGTCAATTAGGAGGGAATATTATTGTAATACTGTACAACAGTTTTTAACTGACAACCATTCGAAAAGCGATTACGGTAACATCTTTTGAACGAAAAAGCGAAAGTCATTGTTTTCGTCAAGATTTTATCCCACTTTCCACTGTAATACGTACGTAATTTCAGCAAAAATATTACATTTCCGTGAATGTATTATATCAAGCGGGCATCTGAAAAGGTATAAGGATAGCCTAAAGACAAACCTGAAAAAGTGCCAAATCGACCCCCTCACTGTAATACTTGGAGGAGCACCACATGAGAAGGTGTCAATACTTTTGAGTTAGCCCAACTGCATAATGAGGCAAACAAGCGCCAATGCCGGAAAGAAGCTGCCGCTTCCCCTCCCACACTAGATGTAACCCTCCACATGTACAACATACTGTATGTGATCAACCATGCTAGTCCCGTATTGGCCTCTTTAGTCACCTTAGAGCTCACCAACAAAGGTGACATTCTTAATAACTCGTATCATTGTATCAAAGCTGGATGATCATCATGGTACTTGATTCCGAGTGACACCAAAGTATGGAAGTAGATTGTATGTATGTATGTATTTGTATAATACATATTGGGATTTAGTCATTATTTATAAGAAAATTTTATTTTATTTTACTTTTTATTCTGTTTGTCATAAATATGAATAAAATAATGGTGTAAATTGAATCAAGTCCTAAATTAACCAGGGTTTTAAATATGAATCATCATTATTGGAGGCTTTCCTGTAACCCAAATTTCCCAATAAATTTTAGTGCCACCAGTTCCAGTGATTTTGTGGTGTTAGAACACAACCCTGTTTTTGCCATAAAATAAGGACCATGAGTAACACAATAATCTACAGTATATAGAGCAGCATACCAGTATCAAGACACATAACATGAAACCAGTACAGGATCATACTTTTCATATACAGAACACATTATCAGGAGTTTGATTGAATTCCAAACTTAATTTATTTATCAACATTATACAAAATTCAAATTATTGAGGATACATGGTAAAGTATTATCATTATTGCAGAATTATCATTTTCAGCACAATATCTTAGATGGTAAGGGTAGGTTTAGGGTCTTAACTTACACCTAAATCCAAGTACATACATCAATAAATAACTTCATTATCAAGTATGCTTCCTAATGATGGAGTAACTACTGTATATATGCTAGCAGCACTGTGGCAAGGTAGGGAAAACTGAAAACGACAAGCTATTGGAAGCAAATACAACTAATGTGATCTTCCCAGCCACCCTTCATCACAGGAGGAAAGACATGTAATACAGGTACTGTAATTAAATATTGGTACATTATTTTTATTATATAAATTAAATGGCTGATTTGTAAAGAAGAACAAATTCATAATAAAGTACAAACCCCAAATTATGGTATCATCATCTTCATTGTGATGAGAGACACTTTGTCGAGGTCCAGATGAAAAACTATCATTCTTTTCATGTGTGATGCCAAGACGTACAACGTTGTTATTGATTGCCGCCACCTCCTCTGGACTTACTTTGGCCAAATCTGCTTTCACATTCTCAGGAATCTCATAGTAACCTGGAATGTCAGAGTGATCTGTATAAATTTCTTGACTTATACTAAAACTACACTTTAGACTTCACACAGTGAAAGAATACTACTGCAACATAATGTCATCCACTATACAGTACTGTACTACAATATATCACTGGATATGAAGAAACCATGGTAACTAGTGTTATCAAAGTTCACCTTCATGATATGTGACCCAGAGGTATATTAGTCGTGTTTTTGTTTTTTACCAATAAACTAACATCAGCAAATAAAAAAAAAAATCTGTAGTACAATAAACACTCGGTATAATGAACACTGAATATAACGGAACCCAGCTATAACTGACACCCCTAAACCAATCAGATAAACCCCCAGTATAATGGACAGGAGTCTGTTTTTCCAAGGAGTTGTCTGATAGTTCATCACTGCACAAATACTAAATGAAAGAAATTAAATACTGTATGCAATAAAGAATAAGAGACAAGCTGAAAATTATTGAAAATCTTGAGGAATAAACAACCATTATCATACGATGTATTTTTCTACTTATCACCACACTTGTTACATGCTCCTTTATCCTGTGAGCTATAAGTTTTGTTATGGTTATTTTTCAATGCATAATTTGGGTAGATATACAGTTGGCCCTTAACATACGTGGGTTTAACTTACACGGATTTGCAAATACGCGGATTGCCGCTGGAGGAATATACATAATTGAAATCGTGCGCGACACCACACACTGCACACCACACACACACACACATCGCCCGTGCCACCCCGCGCTCCCTCAGTCAGTCAGTCTCACTGTAACCACGCTTGTGTTGACATCACCATTGTAGTTGCAAAAATATTACATTTCCGTGAATGTATTATATCAAGCACAGTATGAATAGAATATCACTAATATAACAGTATTTTAACAGAAAACTATTAAAAAAACAAGTAAAATATCTTGAACATCGAAAGGTGAGGTAAAGTCTTTTGTTTTCATGTAGTTTATCCTAATTTACATTGAAATACATTACGTTTCAGCAAAGCTAATATTTATTTCTGAGAATATGGAAATGTAATATTTTTGCTGAAATGATGTACATATTACAGTGGAAAGTGACGAAAGCAATGACTTTCGCTTTCTTTCGTTCAAAAGATGTTACCGTAATCGCTTTTCGAATGGTTTTCAGTTAAAAAACTGTTGTATTACAATAATATTCTATCCTAATTCACTTGTGATGCAACAGTTTTTTTAACTGAAAACCATTCGAAAAGCGATTACGGTAACATCTTTTGAACGAAAGAAAACGAAAGTCATTGTTTTCGTCACGATTTTATCCCACTTTCCACTGTAATACGTAAGTCATTTCAGCAAAAATATTACATTTCCGTGAATGTATTATATCAAGAACAGTATGAATAGAATATCATTGCAATATAACAGTATTTTAACCAAAAACTATTAAAAAAACGAGTAACATCTCTTGAACATCGGAAGGTTAGGTAAAGTCTTTTGTTTTCGTCATGTATTTTATCCTATTTTACATTGAAATACATCACGTTTCAGCAAAACTACTATTTATTTCTGAGAATATATTCATTCAGGCGCAGTTTAGGTAAAATATACATGTGATGTAACAGTTTTTTAACTGAAAACTATTCGAAAAACACGTATCCTCTCGCCCTGTTCAAGGAGAAGACTGGGAGGAGCTGTTTGGTGCTGCAGACGATGACAAAGAAAATGATTTTGATGGATTTTAATAAAAATATTCAGAAATATGGTATCGTAGTATTTATTCAAGTGAATTAGGGTAGAATATTATTGTAATACCATTGGAAAAGCGATTACGGTAAAATCTTTTGAACAACGAAAAAAAGCGAGTCATTGTTTTCGTCATGATTTTATCCCACTTTCCATTGTAATACGTACGTCATTTTAGCAAAAATATTACATTTCCATATTTATTTCTGAGAATATATTCATTCAGTCACAGTTAAGATAAAATATACTTGTGATGTAATATTTTAATGAAAATACCCGGTACGTATTTAGAAATACGGTATAGTAGTTTTCTTTTGTTTCAAATTTAATTAACAAAGATTGATGTTTCAAATGTAATGAACAAAAATTTATGTATCTATAAATAAACTTTAAAAAATGAATACTTTATGTTTTACATCGTCCTGTGCTACCATACCATGCATTTGGCTACTTTGGGCTCGCTATGACGACGCAAGAGATCAGCCCTGGCAATTGTACCGATACTCACAGCTGGTGGTGCGTCGTTTCCATTGTTTACTGGTAGTTACTGGTAAATATTTTTCAACCTAACGAAACTATTACCCGTTTAGAGGTCGACCCCCAATTTTTTGCCAAAAACTTTGGTCTTAAAAACTCGAACTACGCACAGGTATATACGGTAAATAAGGACATGGGGGGCCAGGGGTGTTTTTAGGGAGGGAAGGGGCAGCAAAAATACGCGGATTCTGAACCTTCACAGGTATCTCTGTTACCTAACCCCCGTGTATGTTAACGGCCGACTGTACAGTAAAGCCCCTATATAACGGACTAATTGGGGAGAAGGCCGGTCTGTTAATGCCAAAAGCCCGGATTTCCAGATCTGGAATAATAATGACTCTGTCTGTGATATAACAACATAGTCCGAAGCTGCTGCCACCAATCATCACCATCACCACTCACCACCATCACCACCAACACTCACACCACCGCCACTCACACCACCACCAACACTCACACCACCACCAACACTCACCACCACTTACCACTATCACCAACACTCACACCACCACCACTCAACACCAACACCAACACTCACTCACTCACCACCACCACCACCACTCACCACCACAACCAATACCACCACTACTCACCACCACCACTCACACCACCACCAACACTCACCACTACTCACCACCATCACCAACACTCACAACACCAATACTACCACCACCAACACTCACAGCAGCAGCACCACCTCCAACAATAACATTCACCATCACCAACTGGTGTTTACAGGATAAGAACCCAGCAACAGAGTGGCAGCCTGCAGACTAGCAGAATATACAAAAGTCGCTCTACACGTTAGTAACAAATACAGTGCCGATTGGTTGTAAATGGAGGAGGGGGAAATGATGTGTAATAATGACCGCTGCACTGCCAGGCACATGTGAACAGCTGACTTATACACAGTATGGATTTTCATATTTTTTTTATTTTCTAGTAAAAAATAACTTGGGTCACAGTCACAAATATTCACTATACAGGGTATTATGTGGATCAGTCATATAAAGAGCGAGCATGTCAAGTAAGTTGAATGCTTCCGGGAAAATTTTTTACACAAGGAGGAGAGTGTCGATTGGCTGTGAGCATTTATGGGTAGGTCACTCCCATTGGCTGAGACACTGTAAACAAGATAGCCACTGTCGGGGAATCCTGAGTGTTTAGTCTTGTAACTTCTGCCTTGTATTATGGATTTTCTTTACTTTTTTTCTAATAAAATATAACTCCAGGAGAGGACCAAAGAGCTCTACAAAAAATCAGCATTTTATATTTACAGGTACTCCTCGACTTAAGACCTACTTGACTTACGACCACCCGGACATACGTTCGTTAACCGAGGGACCACTGTACTAAATAATTTTTAAAGTGAAGAATAAATAGATGCATGTCACCGTTTTATGTTATATTCAAAATTATTATTGTATCAGGATTTCTTGAAATATTTACTTAAATATTCAACCCCTAATATGAAGCTCATTTGAGCACTAACCTGGCCAGCAAAGCTAGCCGTCAAACTGTTGTCCATTTCTCACAACAGCCGATATCTTTCTGCTTGCTGGGTCGTCAGGCCAGCGGCCAGCAAAAGGGCCAACATGTTGGGAGGAAAGTGCCGTCTGCTGCTGCCTTTATCTGCTCAAGACACCCCACACTCAGGGCCACCATCATTCCATGTGTTATTTGCTGACACATATGCCTAGCCGAGAGTCTGTTTTTTTTGTATTTTTTTTACAAGCCAAGTTTCAAGGTTGCAAGGGCATTTCTTGGCATCAGATAGTGAGATGATGGAAGAGGAAGGTTGAAGTGCATTATTACCCACGTTATTGGTTTACTACTCCACTAATACCCACAATAAAAGTACAAAAACAGTTAAGAGTAATATCCCTACATGTGTGGCAACAGGATACAACAGAAAGCTGGAGTGGTTGGGAAGTGTGGGTTGGGACAGTAGTGCAGTGACTGGCTGAAAGCAAGGCATGTGGCTGAGGAGGTGTGCTCATTGGCTAACTAACGTGAGGATTGTACTCCCCTTCTAATACAGTAACTGACAGCCCTCTTGTGACTTAGGGATCATATTTTTTAAACTTAAAATACACAGGCTCCTAATACAATACTGGTGCACATAGGTATAACAATCAAAATATTTTGAATACAGGTGCTCCCCGACTTACGACGGGGTTAGGGACCTAAATCCAAGTCGTAAGTCCAACTATCGTAAGTCCGACGTAGAATAAAAAATAAATAAAATAAAATAAAAAATCTACAATGAAATACAGTACAGTAAACATAATAAATAATGAGGAATGGATACAGTACAGTAACAGTAATAGATAATGAGGAATGGATACAGTGTGACTGAGCACTTACCTTTAATGTAGTCAGCTCAATGCACACGGGGCCCCCATAATTTTCTATTTACAGGATACATGGGGATTATATTAATTGGATGAAGCAGAAGAGGAGACAGGGCTGGGTGGGTCATCAATGTCGCTTTCTTCAGACAGGTTTATGTACTGTGGAAACTTGCTGGTTGAAGGTATTGGATCATCTTGAGGGAGTGAAGAGGCAGCACTGGTGGGGCGTGAGGAGACAGCACTGGGGGACTTCTTAAAATAGATGTCCAATTTAGACTGAACAGTTTGCTTTTTCTTTTCATTATAAATTTCTCTGTAGCAAGCAAGTGCATATTGGATCATTCTGTGAACGTTGGCATAACTCTCATAATTTTGATCCATGCCATCAAACATTTGCATTCCTATATTAATTGTAGCAAATGCCTCTGCCATTTGTTTCACTGAAAACTTTTTGGGGGGTGCAGGTTCTTCTTCTACATTTTGTCTCTCTTCTTCCTCTGCAATTATCTGTGCATGTAGTTCAATAAGATCCTCGTTACTGAGCTCTTCTGCTACACTTTCAACCAACTGTTCAACATCTTCATTATCAATTTCTACCTCCAACTGTTTACCTAACTCCACTATCTTGTTACTAATATCCGAAATAACTTCATTTTCATTAGCTCCTTTGAAACTGTATGCCCGCTCAGGCATGCGCTTCCACAATAATCCAGTCTCATCCACATTGAATATTTGCTCAGGCAAATAATTCCCTTCCACAATCACTTCATCTAACTCCTCCTTAAAAGCTTCGGCAGCACCAACATCGGCACTAGCTGCCTCTCCACTCACCTTAACATTGTGTAGACTGTAGCATTTTTTAAATCTATCAAACCACCCATGACTTCCTGTAAAGGTTTGATCACATTCATCCCCTGCCTGCTCCTTCAGGCTTTGGAACAGGCTTCTTGCTTTAGCCTGTATGGTTAGAAGGCTTAAGGGTACACGCTTCTGTATCTGGTCTTCTATCCATATCACCAATAATTTTTCCATATCGTGAATAGGACCTTGTCTTTTCTTTGAAATTATAGTTCCCTTTATAGGTGTTGTTCCTTTCACTACATCACGAATACGTTCCTTGTCCTTCAGAATAGTGGATATGGTCGAGTGTGAGAAACCTAAGTCACGTGAGATCGTTGCTACAGTTTTTCCATTCTCATGCTGAGTTATTATCTTCATTTTCATCTCAAAAGTAATTGCCTGTCTCCTTTTCTTTGGAGCACCACCAGCACTCTCACTTTTACGCTTTTCAGTCATTATAAAGTAAATTAAATACGATAATAACGAAAGTTCACAGCGCAATCAGTAGGATACGATAGCCAAACACCAACTAAGCGCTCCACTAAGTGAGTGTACCTACGCTCTCGCCCGGGACAGAAACGTTTCGGTATAGAAAGCGCACGCGTCATTTGAAAATATTTTTGGTCACGACTGCCGTGGTCATATGTCCCGACAGTCGTAAGGTCAGAGCAGGCTGTAAGTACCGATGGACGTAAGTCCAAGCAGTTGTAAGTCGGGGACTACCTGTATAGAAAATGGAAATACCACTATCTCAAATTGGCATTTCAGGCGCTTGCACCCATAATATAGGCAAAGCCTCAAATGATTAACTCACCTTTTATTTTTGTATCAGTCATCAGTGCGGAGGATTAAGCCTAAAACCAGACTTGACAGCACACAACAAATGGATCTCCTTGGACAAATGACAGGTTATAAACAATTCTTACCCAGCAAAAGGACTTCCGGTTTCTTTTTTTCTTCTGTATCACCAGTGCTTTTAAAATCGCGAGAGCCAAGTGTCCCTCGGGAGCCAGGTGGTCCTTCCAACAAGAGTTGTGATCCTCTATGTGATATGGTGGCTGTGGTAACATCCACCAAGGCAGGAACAGCATACACACCTGAACTGCATTCTCCAATATAGATTGTAGGGCTGTTAGAAAAGAAAATACTGTACCATAATAAATTCTCAGCATCACTTTTCTCTAAAAAAATGTTCCTCCAGTTAACAAATACAGTATAATGAACTTAATGAACAATGTTTAAGACTCTTAACTGCATTGGTCTTCACTGTACAAAACATCCTCATCAGGTCTAGTCTATGGACACATGCACAAGAAAGGTACAGTATGTTTGGTAGTTTGCCTAATACAAATTGGACTAATTGTGGGAGAGGGCAGACCAAGAAGGCTGAATTTCTGAGTAGGCCGGAATCCAACAAGGGTCCGATCTCCAAAGGCAGTTCAGTCTGAGATAAGAAGATGAGTCCGAGTCTGACTTAGGCTCAACAAACTACCGGGTAAGGGCATGGACACAGTAGCCATATCACATGTTCTGATTCAGTTAACACTCTCAAGACATTATGGATGGATGACAATGCATTGTGTAGAAACCAATTTTTTTTAATGATGGAATTAGTGATGACGTGAGAAGTGATTTTTTTTTTTTAATTTACTACTTAATTCTATTCCTAATTGATAATTTGTCTAACATATCTATGGTACTGAAGCGTATCCTCAGAGCCTTTAGTTTAAGAACATTAAATGTCTTCAATATTTCATTTCTTAAAAAAGCATTACAGTAAGCTCTCGATTAACGTCGGGGTTACTTTCCTAAAATCGCAACGTTATACGAAACGACGTTAAGTGGATCAATTTTCCCCATAAGAAATAGACAAAATACGGGAGTTATGTTCCTGAGCCTCTCTTTGCCCCATGAAATACATTACATTACAGTGACTCCTCGTTTAACGAACGCCTCGGTTAACGAAATTTCGGTTAACAAACTGCCTTCCATAAGGATCTTCAATTCGGTTAACGAACAAAAATTCGGTTAACGAATTTCTTACGAACCGACCTCAACATGTTTTCGCTTGCACTGACCGGGCAACCAGCTTTAGTATCAGTCCGCCAATACATTAATCGGTTCTAGGGCTTAAATTCCTTACTATTTTAGTAAATATCAAGAAGTTTATACTATTCAATAATTTTAAAAGTTTAATATTAAATTTTTTAGTCATTTTAACAATTATTGAACATAATTGAAGGCAAAGTGACTAGTTTAATGTGCGGCATCCAGCCTCTTAATACAGCAAACAGGCGTTAGTCTCTCTCTGTTTTCACTGGAGGTAACATCTTGCTTCAGACTCTCTTCAACTAAACGCTTTTTTTCTGTGTTTCCAAGCAAATTATTGGTCATTTTGAAATATATTTTACATATTGACAATATATAATGCAGTGCAGTGTTGATTTAAAGAAAATAATCTTGAATTACACCAAGAGAGCTAAAATTTTATGGGTGAAATGGCCCATGGGGTGACTTCTCTTCCACCCCAATGCCTTCTCTTCTTCCTTCTCCTCCACCCCCATTCTAAATCCCATCATCATCATCCAGGAGCCTTCTACATACACACCTCAAAGTAAGTGAACTTTTCTACCATTTTTGTTGAATTTAGGAAATTTTCGGTGAGCTGGAACCAATTACCCAAAAACCCATTGAAACAATGGTTTCGTTTAACGAACTTTTCGGTTAACGAACGACCTTCTGGAACGGATTGAGTTCGTTAACCGAGGGGTCACTGTATATATATATATATATATACAGTCAACCCTCACGTATATGAGAAATCGCGTTAAGTGAAACCGCGTTAAGCGGGGTACAACTGTATAATGTTATGGTAAATATCATAAACACACATAGGCATGGCTAGGTTTATTACAAAGTGAAGAAAAGGGTACGCTTAATACTGTAGTCCACAAAACATGTAGCTATGCTTTTTTTATTTGGTCCCCCGTTATACGAGTCCATTTTCTGTCACATCAGGACGCCTGAGTCCTCCGTTTTCTCTCTTAATCTTAGAGTGCACCAGAAACTTTACTATTTTTAGTAATGCCACAGAATTTGAAATTGCAACCCCAATTGCAACTTGCAATTGTTGAGGCAACTAGATATGTCTGATTACAGCAAATGTGTTATTGTCAATTTGTAGGTGAAAGATTTTATCCTCAATAGATGTAGGTTAACATTACACCTGTAGGCAAATGCTTAGAAAAGCCTAAGTAAGGAAGCATATTCCTTTAACACATAATATCTGACCAGTATGGGGAGGATCATCGTGTCTCTGTCAAGGGGTCGTGGAGTGGTGGTCCAGCAGGCGCCACGTGGTTTTTTTGTGGGGGCACGGACGTATATGCGATCGGACGTTGTTCGATCGGACGTTAACCGGCGCATGACTGTATATCGAAAAATATGTGGTGAAAGTTTACATAAATTCTTCGGAGAAAATTGCCACGATATTTTCAGTTTCATTAATCACAATGACTTTTAGGAATGTATCCACTGCGATTTCTTGACAATGCCTCAGCCTCATATGTACAGAGTTGTGGATATTTTTCTATAAAATACCACCCCTCGAATACAGCAGCTGATGAAGATGAAAAAATCCATCTAGCATTTATAAACAAAGAACCAGAATTCTTCCCCAGCAAGTGTCTCAAAACTTTCCGATACATGTAATGTTTTCTGTAACACACAATATCATATACTGTACCTTAATTTTTTAATGAGTAGACCATCAGAGCCATCCGCAGACTGATATGTGAGATGCATAAACTCTTCTGTAAACTGAGTTAGGGTCTGGGGTGCTACAGTTGTCATGGGGACTGTCAGTAATCCACCTGCAACAAAGATATAATGTAGAGTAAAACCTCCATAAATCACAACTCCCAAATAATTCAGGTGTTTCTTTCTGTAAACTCCAAACCTTAAACCTTACTTCGACCTTACCAAATCATTGCAAATAAATTATGAAACACGACCTGTAGCACACAACAGGGGCAGCAATCATCAGTTAACAAGGCTATTCCATAATGAGAACACATTCAGTCAATTTTTCTGACAAACATTTTAAATATTGTGTATTTTGAAAGCCTTATGTATTTTGTACAGTATTGCAATTCAATGAAGGTACTAGCACTTCTATTGGTGCTGGTGAGAAAACATTATTAAAACCATGATGTGCTGAAAATGGTGGATAAGACTGAGAGCTCAATCAGCACATTTTGTGATGACTTCAAAATAAGGTCAAGAATATTTGATGATACAGTGGTGTAAAAATACTTTGCACATTAGGCACCAGAAGACTTCATTAATTATCAAATTGCAAGGTTTAGTTTAATTGATATAAATGGAAATAATTAAATTAGTTAGGCACCAAAGACCATAAAATACACAAACTATTCCAAAACTACTTTAATAAAACCTAAATATCATACATAATACATTAAAAATACAATAAAACATAAATATATTATACAAACAGTTCTTTCCCTTCTCATAATTTAATCAACCTCTAGGTGACACTAACACACCAATATGGAGATAGGCAGGTACAGGGGCTGGATAGCTGGTCTCCTGTTTGCATATATAAACAAACTCAATAACTCATCTGGGGTTGAATGTGGAACATAGTCTCCTCAGTGTTCAGTAATGCTGTTAGTGTTCTCAGTGTTTAGTAATGCTGTTAGTGTTCTCAGTGCTTAGTGATGCTATTAGTGTTCTCAGTGTTTAGTAATGCTGTTAGTGTTCTCAGTGTTTAGTAATGCTGTTAGTGTTCTCAGTGTTTAGTAATACTATGTTAGTGTTCTCAGTGTTTAGTAATGCTGTTAGTGTTCTCAGTGTTCAGTAATGCTGTTAGTGTTCTCAGTGTTCAGTAATGCTGTTAGTGTTCTCAGTGTTTAGTAATGATGTTAGTGTCCACAGTGTTTAGTAATGCTGTTAGTGTTCTCAGTGTTCAGTAATGCTGTTAGTGTTCTCAGTGTTTAGTAATGCTGTTAGTGTTCTCAGTGTTTAGTAATGCTGTTAGTGTTCTCAGTGTTCAGTAATGCTGTTAGTGTTCTCAGTGTTCAGTAATGCTGTTAGTGTTCTCAGTGTTTAGTAATGATGTTAGTGTCCACAGTGTTTAGTAATGCTGTTAGTGTTCTCAGTGTTCAGTAATGCTGTTAGTGTTCTCAGTGTTTAGTAATGCTGTTAGTGTTCTCAGTGTTTAGTAATGCTGTTAGTGTTCTCAGTGTTCAGTAATGCTGTTAGTGTTCTCAGTGTTTAGTAATGCTGTTAGTGTTCTCAGTGTTTAGTAATGCTGTTAGTGTTCTCAGTGTTTAGTAATGCTGTTAGTGTTCTCAGTGTTTAGTAATGATGTTAGTGTTCTCAGTGTTCAGTAATGCTGTTAGTGTTCTCAGTGTTTAGTAATGATGTTAGTGTTCTCAGTGTTCAGTAATGCTGTTAGTGTTCTCAGTGTTCAGTAATGCTATTAGTGTTCTCAGTGTTCAGTAATGCTATTAGTGTCCTCAGTGTTCAGTAATGCTGTTAGTGTTCCCAGTGTCACTGTTTAGTAATGCTATATTAGTGTTCTCAGTATTTAGAGTCAACAATTTTATTCTGTGAGAAGTAATCATGATTTATAACCTACATCCCTATCCCTGCCCTTAACTCCCTGACCAGCTTGCCATTTTTTCTATCCACTCTAATTCCTTTTCCATTATATTCCCCTCTCATAAGGGTCAGTCCCTAACCAAAAAAAGTGACCTACATAGCCCAGCTACCTGCCTCCATCACTAACTCCTTCCTGCATCTCTCTCTCTGTTATTCTCCCTCCATCAAATTCTCCATCCCTAAAGACTAAGTTAAGATCTGCATTATCTTGGTTGAATGATTGAAATGTGGTGATAGAGAGAAATTAAATTAAAATATCAAGTGAAGCTGAGAAAGTAAAGAGAGAGTATGAGAAATTAAAAGTATTGAGAGGAAGTAATAAAAAGTTGACAGAAAATAAAAAGATTTTATATGAAATGCTGAGAATATTTAAGAATGAAATAAACAAAACATTTAAAGACCTTGAAGAAGGAATATGAAGATTTAAACAGAAATATAAACAATTTAAAGACAGGAAAAACACTTTATCCTAGAGATTGTTATAAAGATATACTGTACATGACACTCATCTCTCCTGATGTTTCACAAACCCAGAGATTTAGAACTCATGAAACCGAAGCAGTAGGGTGATAGGCTATTCTGTCCACAAATGCTTCGTGGTTCAGGAGGAGAGGCGACAAGACTTATGTGGGAGACTGTACATGACAACTCACCTTCAGGACCCAGAAGGTACGGCAACTGAGCTTCAGGACCCAGAAGGTACGGCAACTGAGCTTCAGGACCCAGAAGGTACAGTCACAGTCAAAAGTAATCATCTATTCCTCCTACTACAATACCCGCGAGCTCAAGGGTTTTCTACACGATAGAACACAAGAGGATGGGGAAAGTATTGATGGGGGGAGAGCTAGGGGTGGGTGACCCTGGTAAGGTAGGAGGGAGCAAGTCAAGTCAAGGGCCACATACGTAGTGAAAGTGTATGTGGCCTTAGAAATATCCTTGACACCTGAAGAAAGTGTTAAGGTTGGTGGATGTAGCTTGACATTGATAGCCTTATTATGACTCTGGCAGTTGATAGGCCTAAAGCCCAAACAACCAACCAACCAACCAGGAGGGTGGGTGTCATATGACCTTTCCTTGAGATTCTGTGGAGGAATGCAAGTGAGCTTTTGGCAGGTAATGTGTCATTAGGGTTGATAAGGTGTCTGGCTTCAGTGAGGAAAAGCACTACTGATGTATGGCTTCAGTGAGGAAAAGCTCCTGATATGACAACATAAAAGAGGAGGCAGCGTGGATTGAATAAGGGGATCGTCCGGCTTAGATTGATGAAAAATAAAAAAAATATCATAAAATATGAACAAATTCCTGAATAAAGGTGTTGCCTATGGCCATATGTGGATATGGCAACTTACCTTCATGACCCAGAAGGTACATGGCAACTCACCTTCAGGACCCAATAGATACATGACAACAAGTGGAGAATCAAGTTCCAGGGACCAAAGCAGGGAACCAGATCGCTTGTCCACAGTAAGGATTGACCCTTCACCAGTAGATGTGTAGTGAACTAAATCTGTTAAACAATACACCAATACATCAGTAATTATCCAAAGTTTCTATAATTTTATGATACAACAGTAAACAACAGTTACCAAATTTAGTGATACATTGTTCAGTATATGAACTTATAAAAATACATATAAGGATGCAGTTGGTTAGCAGTGCATGAAAAATGATTATGGTAATGAGATTGTTATCATAATGATCTTAACGTATGCTTTAAATAAATACGATGAATGTCTGCAGAAGCAGCCTTAAAACAGTATGGCCAGCACAGAACAGGGATCATGCCCAAGAAGTGAAAGAATGATTGAAGAAACCACTCAACAAAATGAACATTGGAAAGCCTACTGGTATCTCTGGAATAGTTGCAGAAATGTTGAGAGCATCAGGCAATGCTGGAGTAAAGATTGTAATTTAAAGTAAGTGATTAATGCAAGTGTGATGGAATGTACACTTCCAGCTAACTGGTTAGAGAATGTGATGGTAAATACTTATACTACACTTCATCATCTTCACCCTTTTATGGCCACTTTTTAAGTTTGCACTGATAATCCATATTCACCTAATAGCAGCTCTCCATATTGTAAAGTCTCTTGCAGCCTCTCTCCTGATTGCCATCAGGCAAATTTGAAGCAAAATTTATGGTTGAAGGCCCTTCCTATAGCCAACCCACCTAATATAACTTATGATAATTATTCACAAAGATAAGTGGTGTCGACCATTGAGATGAAGCATATTTACAAATAAGGCAATATTAAAAGTTGTATTAATTATTAAAAATTTCATTAATTATTCAGGTTACTTCTGAATTGGTAAAAAAATTGACATATGGATTCCTGGTTGAATAGTCATTATGCCAGTTGTATAATGTTGTTGCACTTCTGTTATAAATATACAGTGATATCCCTGTTAGCCGGAACAAGTGGTGCAGAGCATATACTTGTATTTGCAAGTTCAGGAGTGGATGGGTACTGCAACCAGTATGTCACCCAAATATTTGCTTGAAGTAATCAGATGTAACTACAAAGCTGGATGTAATACTAGACAAGGTAAATGCCACAAGAATGGACTCGATTACTCCACAGGCTGTGGCCACTGCAGAGGTGTTTGTACTAACATGTCACTGTCAGATGATGAGGATGTTCATGAAAGAATAATCAACTCCTAAGATTTTCTCACCTACCTATTGTATACACATAATTATTATTATAATTCAATTTTATATAGTGGCCCTAATTATCATGGTATTATACTTTATACGGTTCACAGTTTTCCACAGTGAGGCATTTTAAATTTTTTTAAAAGAAATGACTGATAAGTTTTGTCATATTATGGAATAAATTATGTTTGTGTTTACCTTTACTCTAAATGTTCTCTTGTTCTAATTGGGTTTTGTTTTGTTCTGTTGCAGATGTATATGGATTTATGAGTTGAATAAAGCCTTGATCACTGAAGGTGTTTGATCTCATACGGCAAGTTTCTTGAATATTCGCACAGTTTGCGTTTAGGTGAACAATACATATATAGTCTGCATGTCAATTTGATTCAGTTCTGTAGAAGAAGGTCGATTTAAAGCGATTCAATTTAAGATTATTGATTTAAAGCGACACCCACAATTAAGGACAATGTTTTAATTTAAAGCGAATCTTTCCTATTTTGCACAAGTCAATCTGGCGCATCATATTTTAAAATTCACACCTAATGTTTCTCTGGGCACGCTACACTGTCCTTAGGGCAGAGCTGTACTTTACATGTACTCAAAATAATGTATTAAATGATTACTAAAATTTTTGTCTAGTCCAAACTATAGCATGATTATACAGTCAACCCTCACTTTACGCGGTCCCACATTCCGCGTTTCCACGTTTACGCGGTACCCTGCCGGAACCCGGGATGCTCACATTCCGCGGTGCGTGTACCCCTTTACGCGGGTGAAGTATAATTTTTTTATTTAGCTCATAAAATTCATACAAATTATCCGGCCAGAATATAATTTACATTGCTGGAATTCTTACAATTTGATGATCATTTTGAATATAAGCATCATAGATTTTGCATTAGACATACAAATTTTAGATCTAATGCAAGTATTGTATTTTTAATAAAAAGTGCTCGGCAACACACACGCAGTCTGTCATCAGGCTATCTTGCTGTCTTTGTGTTTGGTAGAGCAAGTAATGTACAGTATATATAATTATTGGAATAGTAATTCCACAAATAAATACATTTATAACATAATCATAGCATTACAGGTATTTTCCAGTAATACTACACTACAATACAACTACACTACTTATAGCATCAGAGGTTGAGGGACAACAATCCATGGCGACAAGCTAATGCGCACTGAGCCCACCCATGCTACCCTGCATCTGGCGTGATCACCAAATAGTCATGCTGGAACCTTATAACCCGTGCTGGGCATTCAAACAATGGCGCGAAAAGGCGCTTGTTCTGGAACGTCAATTGGGGCGCCCTAGATGAACGTTCCGGAATGTCAACCGGGGCGTAGGGATTAAGGGAATAATGTACTTTCATAATGTAATTACTGTACCTACATAGTGGAAAGAGAGACAATAAATATGAAACCAAATGTTTAGAAAAATTATCAAGAAATTACATGGAATTGTGTATAATACAGTATTACAGTATAAAAAAAAAAAAGTCTGGTGGGTCTTACCATAGTTTTCAACAATTGATGATGAAGTACTTGTTGCATATTCTGAGAAACTGATATTCCACTTGTTGCCACTTGAAGCTTCATAGAGAATGATATTATATACAGTCCGACCAAAGTAGACAGTATTGCGCGAGGGTTTTGGGCATTTGCGATCCACATTGTCAACCCCCAATACTAATTGCTTCTCGCCTGTGATGGAATCAACACCTACCCAGGAGTCGGTCTTCTTTCCTGAAATAACAGTAAGCACATGATACTGGCTACACTCTACCATATATTACTGTACTATAAAGGTCCTCAGTTATAATATAATTTATTTATTAATGTGATTTAATACCAAAAATTACCTTCTTAATTAGTAGGACACCTTTACATGAATAACTTCAAAGTTTAATGTTAATGCCACAGTAAAAAAAAATTTTTGTCAAAATAAATAGTCTTACTTGTAGAAACTCCAGCACAGTACAGGGGGTCTCCGGGTTATGAACGGGTTCCGTTCCTGAGGACGTTCGTAAGTCGGATATGTACGTAAGTTGGAATACATGCTATATGCATACCGTACTTACAAAACAATATTTAAAATCCCACTATATCATAGCCTAGGTCCTTTTATACATCTAAAATCACTTAATTAAAAGCAAAAGAAATAGAATGACAAAATACAGTAAATGAAAGTAAAAAAATAAGTCATCAAGTAAATAAAATACTGTAAGTTTAAAGTTTAACCTCATCTGTATCGGCGAGCGTTCGTAAGTCGGGGACCTCTTGTACTGAGATGTATGTTCATAAATATATATTGTCTATCTAGTATATTGCGAGAACCAGTATGCTGCACTAGCTGTGTGAGGATTATAACAGGTTATACCACTCTAGTCCGGCAGTCTGTGGTTCGGCACACTTTAAGTCTACCACAATTGGTTCATGGAGCAGCCACCAGGGTGGCATAAGGAGTGTGAAGATTGAAAGTTTGTTTACTTCTACCGTTCAGTTCTTACATCCAGCATCTTGTGTTAGCCTATATTTCACCCCTAAATATGTCTTCCAAGAGACCAAGAGAGAGTGGACTGCTTCCTGGATTGCAGTGCTCAGACTTAATGAGGCTCATGGAGTAATAGCACATGTAGTGTTATCAACCATATGTGGGCTACATAAATACTGCTGGCTAGTTTAGACTTTCATCAGCTGATCATTTATTTTATTACTACTTAAAACATATTCAATGTAACATAAAATATTTAGTGCATATTAAGAAATGAAACATCAAAGGCATATCTAATTTTCTTACACTAAAGGCAAAGCATATACAGTATTTTACAGTACTGTAGGTATGGTAAACAAATGACCAGTGAGAAACAGAGTACTGGTAAGCAATTCTTAAGACACCACTTGGTAAAAATTTGTTTTATTTACATCACAGAAACTACGAATAAAAATAGGTTTTCCTAGTATATTTTGTATAGTTTCAATGAATCTGATCTTCATTTCCACCACAAATGAGCCATTATAGAGATAGATCCCCACAATTACCAATAACCATGGTTGTTCAAAGTCAGCAAGGCTTTGAAGTACAGTAGAGGGAAATTATGGGGTAAAACACTAAAACGAACACCAAACAAACCTTTGAAAACTTTACCTAACATATACAAATTCTAAAACTAAAAAAAAAATTACCATATTCATGTTTTTGGTGTTTAGTAAGTGATGGTGGTGTTGTGGTGTTGTTTTCAGTGTTCAGATGAGGAGGCACCCATAAAATCAAAAGCTATTCTTTTTACAGGTTAGGTGAGGTTTTCAAAGGTTTGTTTGGTGTTCCTTTCAGTATTTTACCCCACATTTTCTCTCTACTTCAAAGCCCTGCCCGCTTTGAACATCTAATATTATGGGTAATTGGGAGGGTCATATCTGTTAAAATATACTAAAAAAAAATAAAAATTTGTGACAGAAATGTAATAGAATAGTTTTTCTCTTTCTCCCTATATACAATAAATAGAAATACGAAGTTCCTTGGTGTAACTAAAACGAATCTTAACCCACCACTTTTTCTCACCTCAACATTAATTCCATCATTTCAAAACACTTTTTAACAAATTATATCTCTCCTTGAGTTTGAATAACTGCTTTCTGGATTCTAATTGTTCAGACTCAAGGTGGCATATAGTGTGTGGGAATGACCTGGTGGTGGCCTGTGTTAACAGATGCACCTGCTCATACTGCCATCCATTGAGGGTGGGGAAAACTATATTCATCAGCTGATTGACTGTCTTTGTTTAATATTGTTTTGTTAAACCTTTAAAAAAACTTATTTAATGAAACATTCAAAATTAAAAATATTTCATGCTTCTCCAAGAAATGAATTATTAAAGACACAGTATTTATTTATTTATTTTTTATACTTTTGAGTTCACAGCTTCAAGTTAAAGAAACCAGAAATTTTCAAAGTTATGAACTATTATGCAGTAATAACCTTCCAGAAAATGTTGTGACAGTAAGAGTTAAGAACTATCATACCTTTAAAACAATAACCTCCCAGAGAAATAGTAAGCAAAAATCGCGTTATAGCAAACAAGCGTTCGCGTTATACAAATATCGTTCCTAATTCATAAATCGCGTTAGAGCAAATTCGCGTTATCAAAACACGCGTTATAGCAGAACTCACTGTACCTGCATAATTTTCTGTATAAGGTTACAGGATATATGTTATAAAGATATTTAGCAAGCCTAGGGATCCTATAAGACATACGTTTATATAGGGGTTCCTGGGGCCAAGCTCCCATGGCCCTGAGGGTACCAGATTAGAGAGGTTGGACCTGTGTATCTTGACCGACTTACCAACTGATGCACTGACGGAGGAAAAAGAGATGAAGCAAAAACGAAAGAAGTAAGTACAATATGATCAGAAAGGACAGGAAACTAAGAAAACTTAATGCTTAAATAATGAAAACACTTTTCATACCAAGATAGAAAATGCCATCACTAGAACGGCATGGGGAGTTAGCCACAAGCTGGGGAATGGTGAAAGGCAACTTCTTGAGTGGCTCACGACTACGACCCAGTGTGTAACGGTATAACGATCCATCTTGCGGATTGGGGAAGAACTGTGGTCTGTCAGGGAAGAAAATTATCTTAAAATAGAGATAAACACATAGTGGATTATTGATTATACTGTACAGTATAGTACTAATGAATAAGTCAAAAGGAAAAAATATGAAACCTTAGCAATTCATGAGAGTACAGTATACAAGTACAGTAGAACGTTGATATAACACGAGATACGTTCCAAGAGTGGTCGCTTTAAACCGAATTCGCACTAAATCGAAGTGTTGTTTCAGTGGAATAATTTAGTTTGGTACTTGAGAGAAACAAAATACTAAAAAGACTAAGAGTCTACCCAGATGCACCACAGCCCATCTCCTAGAATAAACAAAACATTGTTTTTTGTAGTACAGTATTATGTTAAAACAAACTCTCATAAATCAACACAGCTAAAATTATGGGACGTGAAATGGTCTGTTTACTAGCGATCAGCTGATGGGAAGATTGGAGGGGTGTGGTATGTTTGACAGTTGATGCCAAGATCTAGTGCTTATTTTTTATGAGCTAAAACAAATATCTTCAGTTAATAAAAAAAAATATTCTTCACGACACTGTCTGTCAATCAAAACACCCCACCTTGCCTCCCCCCCTCTTCCCACCACGCCAGCTGGGTCGGTCGGTCCCTCCCGCCCCCCCACCCCCCACCTTCCCTCCTTACCAGAGAAATGTTTGGGAGAAACCAGAATATTTACCTTTTTAGTAATAAATAATACCTCAGACTAAAGTTAGGATACCAGTAATATAGTTCACATTGCTGGATTCCTTGCAAGACCAGGATTATTTTGAATATACACGTCATATATTTTGCACAAAAGATAACATATTTGCTCAGAGTAAGCAAAATACAGATAGACCCCGACTTACGACGGGGTTAGGGACCCAAATCCAGGTCGTAAGTCCGACATAGATAAAAAAAAAAAAATTTAAATAAATAATCTACAATGAAATACAGTATAGTAAAAGTAATGAATAATGAGGAATGGATACAGTACAGTGAAAGTAATAAATAATAAGGAATGGTTACAGTGTGACTGAGCACTTACCTTTAATGTAGTCAGCTGAATGCACATGGGGCCCCCATAATTTTCTAATTATACATGGAGACTACATTAACTGGAAACGTTTCGGTATAGAAAATGCGTGTCATTTGAAGAAAAAAAAAAAAAAAAAAAAACTTTTTTTTTAATAAAAAATCTGCGGCGGTCGTAAGTCCCGACGGTCGTAAGTCGGGGTCTGTCTGTACTTGCATTAGATCTAAAATTTGTATGTCTAATGCAAAATCTATGATGTTTACATTCAAAATGATCATCAAATTGTAAGAATTCCAGCAATGTAAATTATATTCTGGCCGGGTAATTTGTATGAATTTTATGAGCTAAATAAAAAAAATTATACTTCACCCGCGTACAGAGTAGATGCACCGCGTAAAGTGGGAATTCCGGTTCTGGCAGGGTACCGCGTAAATGTAGAAACGAGTAAAGTGAAACCGCGTAAAGCGAGGGTTCACTGTATTTCATTTTAGATTTTCTATGCATTATTTTTGCATTTTCAACTTACGACCAATTCGACTTACGACCTGGTCGTCGGTCTGTAACCCCGTCGTAAGTCGAGGACTGACTGTAATTGGTTTCATCCAATCTCTCCACATCCCTAAACCATCTCAACCTGTCTCCATGCAGGTTTCCCTGTCTTTCCGTATCACTTATGCATTTACCTCACCATTCTCAGTACAACTCACTTAAGCCTACATATATAATCCTCTTAAATTGCCCATATTTCACAGCCATATATATTTACACTCCTCATGCCAGTTGCATAAATCTTCCTATCACAGAGAGGGCAGGTTCTCTCGTCATTACTACAGCATATATTACACTAATTTATTATATTCATCATATTATATTCATTACTCACAATGGTGGCTGTGAAGAATCAGTTGGATTCATGATTACTGGATCTGAAAAAGGAAAAGTAAATGAATAGTAAGAGTGTTTACATTTAAACAAGAATTACTTATGTAGAAACCAACAATGTGTGCCAGAAACTTATATCAATCAATGAATTTGAGGATTCAATAAAAGTGGAGTATGAAAAAGTTGTAAACACTCAAACCCTCATGGAAATACCCAACTTTTATCCTCTTCACCACTGATCTGCTCGTTAGCTGCTTGGGCGATCGGTCACGTTTCTGTTATGCACTGTTGACAAACACTTGGCATGCACTGGCTCCTGAATGTATCTGAACCTGCTCCAGTGATTGTGAAGTCTGGTTTTGAAAGAGCTAACACTCGGTGCCGTCACTACACTCTTTGGCAGATTGTTCCAAGAGTTCATAATTCTCACTCCAAAAAGATACTCCTCACAGTTTCTTGGACTTGCGGCTTCTTCAACCTTGAGCTGTGACCCCTTGTGGGGCAAGCGTCCGCCAGCTCCAGGTAAGAACACTCAACTGAGTAGTGCCCTTTGAGATGCTTACACACCTCAATTAGGTCCTCCCTTGCCCATCTGTAGTATAAGTTAGGTAATTTCAGGTGCTCCAATCTCTCAGGGTTGCTGAGGTGCCAAAGTGCAGGCACCAATCTGGTGGCCCCCCTTTGAACATTTTCAAGCAACTGACAGTCCCTAGCACATCTCAGGGGCCAGACAGGGTGACAGTACTCCAGACGGGGAAGCACATAACGAGGGACGGACCGTCTAGATATCTGAACAACCTTCTTATATGACCTAATACAGTGATATCCCGTTAGCCGGAACAACTGGTGCAGAGAATTTCCGGGAATGAGAGATTTCCCGCTAACCAGACGGCTTTCTCAAACCGGGAAAAATCGCCCATCCCCGGAAATATTTCCGGTTACTGGAAAAAAATTTCCGAGTGTCTAAGCTATGCATCTTGCACAGACAAACGCTAGCCCACACAATGTCAGGTGGAGGTAGGGTGGGGTATTAGTGGTCTCATATTACTGACCTGATACAATGTCAGGTCACCCATTGTTGGGTGGGGGATGAGTGGGTCTGAGGACCTGAAGATGTCTTGACTAAACATGAAAGATAAAATACAGTATTTTTTATACTTACACTTATCGCATTATATCCCTTCACCATTACGTTACTTAAGATTTTAAAATGTGGAGTGAGAAAGCAGAAAGGCGTGGGTGATTAGAGAGATGGAGTGGAAAGAAGTGGTAACATGCACCAATGTTGCCAAGCGCTAAGCTCCTCAACAGCTGTTCTCTTAAATCACCACCACGTAGTTAACAACGCATAAATTTATGTCATACAATATGGGGTGTGTGGGTGGTGTTAGGGTGTGATGTTGTGGTATTAATTAATAAATAAGCAATAATATTGTATCGTCAATAACAGTCGTTTGATGAATAGTAGCGTACTACATTTGTTACTACTATTCATCAAACTACTGAGAGAGTGAGCAGGTTGTTTGATTAAATAGTTGACCTGCGCTCGACCTCTGAGATTGTTACAAGCTCAGCCGTCTATTGCCGTCAACAACAGGTTGACTCAATGTTGAATAACTTGGTGAATAATTTGGTGTTATTCAATTGGGTGAATATTTATTTGTAGCAAAGGTGCTATTACAATATGTCGCTAAATTAAAATTAAGGCTTTAAAGGCAAAAATAAAATAATGTAGGGTAAAAACACAGTAAATAACCTAAAACTCTCATAAAAACCATTTAAATGTTTATAAATAAAACCCAAAGCTTCTGTAGAAGACTGGCTTCCTCCACAAAGGAGAGGAAGTCCCTTCCCACATTACCCACTCCTCCCCCCAGCACCAAAGAGAGACGGGAACACCTGTCTTTCGCCCAGCACCAGGAGAGGTGCATACAACGAAGATCTCTGAGACTGGGGCATTCCACCAAGAGGTGTTAAACAATCAATGGGAGTCATCATATTGGGGAGGGGGGCGCCCTCTCCATTAAAAACCCATGAGTCAACCTCATGTGGCCAATGTGGAGGCTGGCCAAAGCAGTTTTTCGGCAGCGTGACAGTCCCTGATATCCCCAAGCACTCAATGCAGGGTGGATGTCGTGGAGCTTGTTTATTCCGACAGCATCCCATCTGCATTTTCAACTTGAGCGGATGGCAGCTATTATTACTAGCTACATATTTGAGGCAGGTAGAGGGGTAACGACTTGCCATTGGGCGAGAAGTAGCTGCTTTTGCCACAGCAACAGCACGCTCTTTCCCCTTTTCCCCTACAAGGGCCAGAACCCAGCAAAAATTGACTTTCTGGCCCATACAAAGGATGAGAAACAGCCACTGTAAAATATCTAAAACTAAGGGACGTGGCAATGAGACATTAGCTAAGGCCTGGAGAGAATCATTTTGAGATTGGCGAACGAATGACTTCGGTTGCATTTGGATTGTTGGACTAAATTAGAATTTTTACCAAAGAGAACCAAAGGGAGACAAAGTTCAGGTACCTGGAAGGTTTGGATATTTGGAGTTTGGATAAAAGGAATTGCAATGTACAATTGACTATGTGTATAAAAAAAAGATTTAAGAATGTAAAAACTCAAAATAGGGCCCAGACAATAGTACTATACCATCTCTGAGTGTCCACTTGAGTACTCCTGAGGATTTAGTAATGGCATGAAGAGCACCATCCAGTGTTGACACCAAAAGAGTTCCATCATCAATCTCCGCTAAAAGCTGAGTGGACACAATCTGTAAAAGGAAAAGAACAAATTGCAACACTGTCATCATCACCACTGTGTTATGGCCATTTTCATGGCTTGCATAGGTTGGCTGTGATTACCTATGGACAGCACACCAAGCTATGTGGTCTCTTGCAGCATCTCACCCAGCTGCCATAAGAAATTTTTTTGAAAATTTACAAAAATAGAAGCAAAATTATTTCTAATTACACTGTACAGGTGGTTCTCTACTTACGAATGAGTTACGCTCTTGAGGCTTGTTTGTAAGTCCAACTTTACTCTTGTAGATACCAAACATATTGTAAAAAATGAAAAGGTAATGCATGTTTAGTACAGCTATAGGTACAATACAGCCTTAAAACTTGGCTCATTCTTCTCCTCTTAAGTAATGTTTGTTCTCTCTGGAATTTTCTTCAAAATAATCCAGTTTCACCCACATTAACACCTACCCTGGAAGGTAACACCCCCCAATGATGATGTTTGTATCTCTAAAAGTTTATAAGTTGAATGTTCGTAAATAGAGGAGCACCTGTAGCCCCATTTTCTTCACGCTGAGAAAAAAAACTTAAGGTTTATATCCAGCCCTTTACTCGGTGTTAGAGGTTAAACTAAAATCAAAAAGAAATTCAAAATAAAGTACTGTATCCATATATAGGTTGAATCACTCCAATCCAGCACCTAAGGGACACGACCAGAGCCAGACCAGAGAATTTTCCGAACCACAGGTAGTCAATATATTACGTTACCAAAATTATACAAGTCATTTACACACTCCGTACGCAGCCCACCTCAATGCTCACCATTGCAACACAGCCTAACTAGATATTGACTTTGCCTTCCCCCTAGGAATGGGGTTCCTTCACTCTGCTCCTCCCTCCCCTGTTCGGCATGATAACTCTCACACACGAAGAAATATTTATTCCCAACTGTGGGGTTGCTATTAGATCCTCCCGTGTTTCTAATTTTTCTAACAACAATTCAATATGATCTTGACTCATTTTGTATGTCAACAAAAAGCTTTAAACTGGATTAGGACATGCCACCAAATTTTCATATAAGCTCTGCAAACTCCGTATGCAAAATATGTTACCAAGAAAACCAGTTTTACGATTAGACTTCAGTAGCTCTTGACCATCATGGAGTTTTAATGATCTGATATATGTTTCTGCTTTTCTCAGAAACTCTATGATTTCATCAGCATTCTGTACTATAAAAGAGACAACTTTTGTTTAAATTATATTTTCTCTCTCTCTATCTACAATCATAAATCACCTGTACTAGGCAAGGCATGAAGAATGAGAGAAATTGTGGGGTAAAACAGTGGAAAACTAATCATAAAACACTAAAATGATGTCTCTACATGCTTTGTATGTGAAGAACTTAATTATTTGCCATAAATGCCATATACACGAACTGTCTTGTAATTGGGTACGAGGTGACATGTTCCAATGGGTACGATTTGCTTGAGTACGGGTTGTCCAACACCCCAAAATGGGCAAACCCCCTTGGCCAGCCATGTCTGTGTGCACATTGTGACTGGAACTATTTTGCTGCCATTTCCAAGTTCTATAAGAACAACGACAAGGATTTAGACTTAATTCATGAGCACTGTTTTGCCCAGGTCTACTCCTACGTGCTCAATTCATAATAAAGCCCTTATTTATCAAAATATTGACTTTTAAAAGCAATTATTTTGGAATGCAACCTAGTGCACCAACTCCCTCTTATCCCTGCCTCTGAAGATGAACACGATCCTCAACCTCAGCCCCGACCTTCATCAGAGTAAACGGTAAGTAGAACAAATGGTTAATTCTTTATTAGGTTAGGTTAGGTTATGGAGGTCACAACTCGGAAAAGTGATTTTCGACAGAAATGGATGTTAGAATCAAATGAATCACACTTATAACCTTAAGAAAAAAACAATTTAAGCTTCAATGGGAGTTGGGTGTTGATCAGGAAATTTACCACCTAACCTAACCTAACCTAGCATAACTTAACACCTGTTGTGGGCGAACTAACTGTTACTGAGTCGGGGGGAGAAGAGGCTGTAAGTCCTCCATATTATCAACTTAATCATTACATATGGTACAATATATAATTTAGGTTTTCTTGTGATATGGAACAACTTTTTTATTGTGAAAAAGTCTATAATTGTTAGTTTAGGTGGGCAAGATTGGTAGAGAATTATCAAATTAATCATTACATACAATAGGTCACGTTCCACCTTTGGCAGCGACAGAATGTCTGCAACAGTTGAAGCATCAGAATAAATTAAACTACGATATTTGGTATAGAAAACTCACCTCTTCTTTAATATGAGCACTCCTTTGCTTTAGCCCATACATGGAAGGAAGAGACTCAAGTAGAATTAATGCGAAAAATGTAATCCAAAATACGCTTTTGTTAGTTCCAGACATCATGGCAGAGGTATTCCTACTCCAAGAGATAAATTATATTACATAATTATTAGCCATTCATAGTTTTGTATGTAATAATGCGACATAAACACTTCAGTGTCAAATCCCCTATTTTACACAATCAGATAATGCCACATATCACTTGGTCCAGTAGCACTTGTTGTTGTAATACGTCACACCAAGGAACATCTAGTGAGGAAGCCCCACACCGCCACCTCTTACTCTTATAACACCAAGGAACATCTAGTGAGGAAGCCCCACACCGCCACCTCTTACTCTTATAACACCAAGGAACATCTAGTGAGGAAGCCCCACACCGCCACCTCTTACTCTTATAACACCAAGGAACATCTAGTGAGGAAGCCCCACACCGCCACCTCTTACTCTTATAACACCAAGGAACATCTAGTGAGGAAGCCCCACACCGCCACCTCTTACTCTTATAACACCAAGGAACATCTAGTGAGGAAGCCCCACACCGCCACCTCTTACTCTTATAACACCAAGGAACATCTAGTGAGGAAGCCCCACACCGCCACCTCTTACTCTTATACCGATTTATCTAAAGACAATCCAAGGGTGAACTTTAGAATTCTTAGTTTGCAATGGAAAATGGGTACCTGAGTCTTACACAACTTACATCTTGACAACCTTCTTCAAATAATGATTACACTCAAAAGTAGTAATAGCATACAATATTTTTAAAGCAGGTAATGCTAGATATAACTAATATTTGTAATGGTAGTAGGTAGTGGGCAGCTACCAAACAGGGAGGTACTACCACTTGGGAAGATATTGGAAGCATAATGTGTTGTCTAATGGTAGACCCTGCTGCCATATGTGACCAAGTCCCAGGTTGATGATCTGACTTTCTGCCTCATTTACACACAATTGAAGGGTCTCAATTGTTTCTCTTACTATTTTTATCTTTTTTTTTCGTTTTTGTATTTCTTTATGGTTCTTTATCATTATTATTATTATTATTATTACTATTATTATTTTATTTTAAAATTTGTTTTATTTTATTATAAATTTCATATACTGTACTATGAATAATTATTGTTATTAATATTTGTATTATTATTATTATTATTATTACATTTTCACCCCCTAGGCCCTGATGTGTGTCAGTGACCTGTGCCTGGGTGGGCTTGTAGTGGATTGTAGTGGACGTCTCCCCTACAACTGCGCAGCTGCATGCCACCTGCTACGTCTTCCCTAGCAACCAAACGAGCGGCCCAGGGGCGTCACCAGATGCCACAGTATCCTAGCAACAGAGCCAAAAGACCGGCTACTTCCCGGGTTTTTCGACCATGACTCACGGCTGCCGTGTATATAAGCTCTGTCTCTCCATTGAGATTCATTCTGCACTCGGTTCCTGAACACGCAACACCTCCTCCAAGCAAGCTCCACGCTGTCCAGCATTCATTCAACCTGGAGGCCAGCAACAGGCAACATCTTCTCTAACGAAGCTCCTGCACATCTACCTCCTTCAACACGCTACTCACCGAACGTCTTCTACTGAGCAGCTCCTCACCACACGGCATCTCCAGCACCAGACTGTCTACCATATAACTTATATTATATAAGAAAACCACCACCTTAGAGTTTCCATCCATCCTGAGTGCTAGACAACATTATATCACGAAACCCTACAGGATCCTCTCCCCTACAACTACAACTGCTGTTTGTCGCTGATTAGCCGACCCCTTTTCGAATTCCCCAGCCAACACCTCGTGCTCTAAGGTCGGCAACCAGAGCCGCCTAACAAAGCGGAGGTCAACTATCAAGCCACGCCTACCCCCGCTATATAAGACCTCACCCCGCCATGACCTGCCCCTTCTTCTACCTACAGCTACGCAGCAAGCAACACCTCCTCTGCGCATGCTCCCGAACCAGCTCTCTCTACTCCACGCTTGTAACCACACTGCCACTTCCCAGCACCAAGCTGCATTGTACATCCAATACAATATGTATACAGAGAGAGCATTGTGAGTTTCCTTTCTCCAACTCATCCTGAGTGTGTACCAGCATCTCGAAACCCCACAGGCAAATCCCCGTAAAAAAAAAAAATATATATATAGGTGAACTATAGGAGTCACCTGTGGTTGGATTTCATGGATTTGGTTTAAGAAATGAAAGATAGGAGAGGTTGATCCAATTTTATAGCATACTACAGCATGGGCACATTTAACTCAAAATTAGATTTAATTTAATTATGAAATAAAAAAAGTAAATAAACTCTTACCATGATCATTATTCACACCTACTGTATACTGCTACTCTCGGTATATTCATTCTCATCTGTAGTAAACATAAAAAAAATTGCATAAGTAACAAAGAATCACTAACATTCTCAAACTAGCAACAGATATAGAATAATGAAACAGAAAATGTGAATACAACCTCTTATATTACAAAATTATTTGTGAAATCATCAATCTATTAATGAAAAAGAAACTTGACAGTGTGTGTATTATTTATTATACTGTAGTGGATTCCTCCCCTACAAACGCTTGTCGCTGAGTAGCCGACCCTGCGAATTCCCCAGTGTATGCCTCATGGTCTAGGTCAACCAGCGCCGCCTTACATGATGGAGGTCAACTCTTAATCCACGCCTACCTCCGCTATATAAGACCTGACCTCGTGGTGACCTACCTCTCTCTTTTTTCTTCCTACAGCCAGTCTTCAAGTAACACCACCTCCTCCGCTCCTGCCTGGCGGCCCTCGCTCCCGCCGGCGAGCATGGCGACCCACAAGCTGTTCCTCCTCTGAGCGTCCCCACCAACGAGCTCTCTCTACATCACGCTTGTAACCATGCTGCCTTCCCAGCACCAAGCTGTATTGTACATCCAATACAACATGTATACAGAGAGCACATTGTGAGTTTCCTTTCTCCATTCCATCCTGAGTGTGAACCAAACAATCTCATCCCCACAAATGGTGACTCCCGGAGATTCGCACTCACACAGGATGGAGGAGAAACTGATCACGCTGCCAGTCTACAAGCAACATGGAAGACTGGCTTATCCACACAGAAGCAGCTCTCATCGGCTCTAAAACTACTGTCTACACCGCAGGTTAGACACCCTAGAGCAGCACTGCTTCTCTTTGCAGACACCAGCTCCTCTTCCTGCCCCAAACACCATGTCCTACCGACCCCAGCACACCCGTCCTGCCTCAGACGCCACCCCCGGCCCAACAGTAACCCCTGCCGCCCCTGATGCGGTCTCTGTTCCTGAGTGCGGACCCACACACCCCTCTTTTCTCCTTCAGGTACTCCCTGCTAATGTCCTGCACCCTGCTGCTGTCGTGGACCCAGCTGCTGTCACGAGCCCTCATCCGCTTCTGCTGATGCAGCCCCTGCTCCTGACCCAGGCCCACACACCCCAGCAGGCGCATCTGACAACTCTGTACCTGCCGTGTGGGAAGCACAACATTCATCGCCTCCACACACCCTTTTTCTCCCTCTCTTCTCCCACAGATAGTGTATATATAGACAGTTGTATCCAGCGACCGGCTCATCCACGCCATCGCCGTTGTCTCACATGAGGCATGCACCGCCCGTTCTGCCTAACATGTGCTAAGCAACCCTGCAGATAACAAGTCTCCTACACCGCCTGGAGGGAAGGGGGGAGTATTGTAGTGGATTTCTCCCCTAAAAACGCTGTTTGTTGCTGAGTAGCTGACCCCACCAATTCCTCAGTGTATGCCTCGTGGTCTAGGTCAACCAGTGCCGCCATACATCACGGAGCAGGGGTCAACTACTAAGCCAAGCCTACCCCCCGCTATTTAAGACCTGACCTCGTGGTGACCTGTCTCTTTCTACCTACACCAACCAGCCAGCAACACCTCCTCCGCCTGCCTGGCGGTCCTCTCTCCCGCTGGCGAGCATGGCGACGCACAAGCTGTCCTTCTCTGAGCGTCCTCACCAACCAGCTCTCTCTACATCACGCTTGTAACCAAGCTGCCTTCCCAGCACCAAGCTACATTGTACATCCAATACAACATGTATATAGAGAGCACATTGTGAGTTTCCTTTCTCCATTCCATCCTGAGTGTGAACCAAACAATCTCATCCCCACAGGTCCGTCCCTCATCAGAAAATTCAAATACTTTCTTTAATGCAGTATTGTATCGAGGCGTTTTTGTACAGTAAGAAGTAATTACTATTGATCTTGGAATATCTCCTAATATCAAGTGCCTGAAAATGCCCAGGATATTGGTCAAATTAGAAAAACAAATCGGTGGGGGGGGGGGTGCTTACAGCGCCCCTCTCTCCAACAGGGCCGGATTCAGGAGTGGGCAAAGTGGGCAGCTGACCAGGGGCCTCCACATATTACAATATTTTATTTATTTGTTTATTCATTTGGATTATATTTATTTTCATTCTTTAAAACTCATGTTTATCTATTCCATGCATTCTTGGACAGAACCATTATTTGAGTAGAAGTTTATCTGATTAATAATGCAAAGAATCATCTCTCTGTAATGACTAATAATATATTCTTTTCTGTGGTCTCTTGAAAATTTTTGACATGTGCGGAAGTAGCTATATCAAGGCTGGTCGACTTGAAACCACATGAATGACTCCAGTCATGTCTCACTTTTGTGTGTGTGTGTGTGTTGGGAATTTGTACACTAGCAATAAATATACAGTTAATTAAAAATTTCTCAATATTCTAATTTCCTCAATATAACTGCATATGGCTTCAAAATTCTCCAAAGAAGTGTTCAAATTTCAAAATTTTCCCGGGGGGTGCTGTAAGCCCCCCGGAACTCCCAGATGTTTAGGCTCGCTTCACTCGCCACCCCACCCTCTTGGGTAGTTATAATGAGGGGGACCTCCATAAAGAGGCTGCCCATGGGCCTCCACAGGCCTAAATCCAGCACTGCCCCCCCAAGTCCCAGAGCTGGATGAGCTCACTTTGCTCGCCATGTTCCCCCCTCAAAATTTCTTGGATCCCCGTTTTGATAATCATGGATCCGCTCATTCTGTCACCCTGTCTGGTCCCCCAGGATATACTTTTTTTTTTTACTTTTATCCTCTTCGCCACTGATCGGCTCGTTAGCCGCTTGGGCGATCGGTCACGTCTCTGATAACTTTTCCTTTTCATTTATCTTCTTCACCAAAAGATCGGCTCACTAGCCGCCCGGGCGATCGGTCACGTCTCTGATTACTTTTCCTTTTCATTTATCCTCTTCACCAAAAGATCAGCTCGCTAGCCGCCCGGGCAATCGGTCACGTCTCTGTCATGCACTGTTGGCAAATACTGGGCATGCCCCGGCTCCTGAATATACCTGAACCCGCTCCAGTGTTGGTTAAGTCTTGTCTTGAAAGAGCTCACACTCGGTGTCGTCACAACACTCTCTGGTAGATTGTTCCAAGAGTTTACAACCCTCACTCCGAAAAAGTTTGCCCTCACAATTTTCTGGACTTGCGGCTTCTTCAATTTTGAGCTGTGACCCCTTGTGGGGCGAGCGTCCACCAGCTCCAAGTAAGGACACTCGACTGCGTAGTGCCCCCTGAGATGCTTATACACCTCAACTAGGTCACCCCTTGCCCGTCTGTAATATAAGCTAGGCAAGTTCAGGCGCTCCAATCTCTCAGGGTAGCTGAGGTGCCGAAGTGCAGGCACCAGTCTGGTGGCCCTCCTTTGAAAATTTTCAATCAACTGACAGTCCCTAGCATATCTCGGGGACCAGACGGGGTGACAGTACTCCATATGGGGAAGCACTTCACTCTTGAAGTTCATTACGAGGGAAGGACCGTCTAGATATCTGAACGACCATCTTATAAGACCCAATAATTTATTTGCCTTGTTTACCTTCTTCTCGCAATGGCTCGAGAACTTCATATGCTTTCTCAAGGTTGAAAAAAATGCAGACGATATGTTGGTGATGAGCAAAAGCCTCCGACCTCAAGACAAACAAGAGCATCTGTTGTTGAATGCATCTTCCTGAAGCCAGACTAATATGGTGAAAGAAGGGCATTCTTTAATGGATCTACTGTAGAGTTAATAAATTCATGCCTCTGTTATTGCCCCATTACTGGTGTTACCACTGGTGACGTTGAGCTGTATGCTTAGTTATGTGGAGAAAATGGACCAGTTTTTCGATCATGAAGGTGAATACAATCTTTCTATGTCAAAGGATATAGAGAAATTTATATGTTATGGAGGTTATCCATATACCTTGTCAGAAGACATACAGTATGCTCAAGAAATAAATCAAATAGTAATCAATTTAAAGCTTTATTCAAGTCTTTTATATAAAGAATTCATAATGGAGTGTAATTCACTGATGTTCACGTTGATATGCTTTCATAGTAAACAATTGTCAGAGTCATACGTCAGGAAGGGATAACCTATTTCTGTGCAAACATGCAATACAGTACACATACCCTTACATTGAGCATGGAGAGCAGGATGTTCTCTTACACAACTATATGTCACAACTTAAGTTTTCAAAGGTTTCAAAAATCCTCTGGAGTGTAACACAGATTGAATGAAACGAATATTTGGGTATGACAGTCATAACACACACTTAAAAGTGTAAATCCAATCAAAGTCACTATCCATTGGTTTAGCCATATTCAATAATTGCTTCAAAATACCCCTTGACAAAATTATCAAGAACAAAGGAGGGATCCTACACAAGCCAGTGGGGTCACTGGCCTCCTTCCCTCGGAATAGTCACTTCTAGTGGATGACCATTAGGTAAATAAGGTAATTTCACACAAAATGTCCCTTGAATTAACTCCAAAATTTCACCTCCCAAAAATGGGAAGTATATAAACTTTTCCTAAACGGCAAAGCTTATATGCAGTACTTTTACATCTTGTAACTCATGAATACACTTTTTCACAGTAACCAACCAAACTGATACAAACATCTGTTTCATTGAAGCAGAGTAGGAGTGGTTATTACAATTCATTTCTTTAATTTATAATGCTGAAGACAGTTTCTGATGGGCATGGGAATTGCTATGATTCTTGGCTGGTTGCAATAAAAAATTCTCTTGAGCTACATACAAAAACAATTCTTCCACTCTGCCTACCTGTAACCTAAAAAAAAGGTGCTGACATCACAGCTTTACAGCAAGAACTGATGAGCTCAAGCGAGAATACTTTTATGGTTGTGATGGGTCAAAACACAAGAGTGCTGTTGAGACTTCAACACCTAATTTAAGGTCTCATTGGTCTTGAACTAACCACTAAATCAATGATTTATTATTGATTTCAGTGACATAGATGGCTGCTTGCAGCATAAAGCAGTGTCCACATGGAGTACCGTACTGTATGTGTCTTGCCATTAAGTAATCAAACTCCCTGGAAATACAGTACAGTAGTGGGTTTTGCCAAGAGGGACTTAGTAATATTAGCAATGGGTGGTGGCTACAGCTAGTCACTTGTAAGGAACCATAAACCATAAAAAGAGGAGATTCAAAATACAAAGTAAATAGCCAGGAGCAAAATTAGTCAATGCAAGTGTTTCTTACACTCTCCAACTATAATATAACATATTTTTAAGGCATTTTTGCTAACATAAAGTGCATATACAGTATACACATTACACCTTAGAGAGATAAACAAGAATTCTGGATTGTATTTATCATTCTGTTGAAAGAAATTTTTTCAATTGGCAACCAACAGAAAAAGTGTCAATGTTTTATCTCAAAATAATCATAAAATACCGGTGCAAAATAGCGCCTGTTCTGGTACTACATAATTAAAAAACAAAGAAACAACAACAATGGATGTGCAGGAATAAAGATATTGAATATTGATCTGTTCTGCCTTTGTAACTCTTAAGTAAATACTTTATGTTCCCAGGGGTTTTTATACCATTTCTTGGTTGCTATATATGTCATTAAGTTCCTACATCCATTTTTACTTCATGTTGTGCTGTGTTCACTCCACTACTGGAGAGGTTCTAACCTCCATCACAATGTGTCTGATCCATTTCTAGATATTGGTGTATTGACAGGAATATATAGGTGCCATGGAAATAGATCAACAAAAGTATTAAAAGACAATGAAAGGAAATTAGTTATGGGTATAGATACAGGAAGATGGTACACAGGTAGGTTACATATGGGGGTTACTGCTGACACACATTAAAGTATATCTAAATAATAATTTGCAAAATATTTTGTAACATAATATCACTCTAAAGCTATATTTAATAAAATAAAGTTTAACTACAATACTATAATACTACAGAAAAGAGAGCTATAATAAATAAATAAATAAATAAATTAATTAATAAATAAATAAGATGCCAGAAATTTTAAAAGTAAATTAATTACTTTCTGTTGGTCCTGTCTGCATAATAAACTTTTCTTGAAATGGAACAAAAATTGGGTTTTTGGTATGTTTCCACATGTGATAACTCCAAGCCATGTTATTTGCACAACCTTCACCACATATGTTACACTTAAAGGGTTTGGGCTCCTCTGGAGCTTTGCACTTGTGGTTTTCAAGAAAGTGGAGGGAAGAATATTTCTTTTTACAGACACCACATTCATAGTGCTTTGACTTACCATGGGTTGTATAGTGTCTCTGGAGGTCACATTTCTGGAAGAAGCTTCGGCTGCAAATTTCACATCTGTGAGGCTTGTATCCACTATGTGCTACTCTATGTCGTCGCAGGGCACTGATGTGGGATAGACCTGCCCCACATATATCACATTTGTAAGGTTTAGCAGCTTCATGACTTTCTGCATGTTCAAAAAGCTCCTCTTTATAAGTAAACTCTCTGTCACACACTGCACATTTGTATGGTTTGTCTGCCATAGAACAAGACATAACATTTGGCACTATATGCCCTCCATCCATCTGGTCACTCATGAGGTAAGCACTGTTATCTTTCATATGATTGTCCATGTGTTCATCAAAGGAAGCTTTGGTAAAGAAAGTCCGGCCGCACACGTGGCATCTCATCTCCATGAAGCGTTCATGGCGTCTTTTACGTCTCAGTGCACCACTTTGATCATCATGAGACTCTATATGTGCATCTATGTCTAGGTTTTGGTTAACATGCAATGGTTGAATTTGATGAGTGGCATGAGGAGTACCCAACATCCCTATAGAAAATGAATGATGATGAGGATGTGAAAGAGGTAGGCTGTGTGGGCCAACTACAGTTGTCTGATGATTTGGTGGAGGTGGGGGAGCAACAGGGGGAGCATGAGGTAGTGGTGAAGACAATGGAGATGATGATTTGGGACGCCCTGTTAAGTTTAATGGAGAACATCTTGCCCCACTAATGGTTAAATTAGAAGGCTCTGTCTGTGGTGAGTATGAATATTGAAAGCTCTGTTCCATGTGAGATGAAACTTCTAAATCTTCAGGATTGAGAGGAGTATTACCAACTCGAATATCCAGCTGTGGCTCAAAAGCACATGGACTCAAAGATAATGATTCCAAGTTGAACTGCCTCCAGTGAGTGTTGATGTGTGTCATGACGGTTACAGCATCAGGAGGGAGATCCAGGCCACAAAAGCGACATCTTTCACCTACAGGAGCTCCATAGCCAGCCATCGCCAATTCCAATCTTGAAAAATAATGCAAGATAAGGATTTGTTTTTCAAGTCTGAAATAATTATATGATACTATTCTATATATATATATATATATATATATATATATATATATATATATATATATATATATATATATATATATATATATATATATACACACACACACACACACACACACATATACAGGTTGTACCTCTCTAGTCCGGCAACCTCGGGACCTGACCGGTGCCGAACCATGGAAATTTCCGGACCATGGAAATTCACCCTTTTCCTGGATATATAGTGACTTGTGCTTACGCTTGGAAGCACTACCACCACTTTCACTGCTTCGTGGTCTCTTTGAAAACATATTGAAGGGTTAAATGTTGTACAGTAGGTTCTCAAATTTTGCAAGTTTATAATTCAACGTTTTTTATTTGGACAAAAAAAAAAACATAACGCAATTTAAAATTTTGACGGCGGAAACTCGAATTTCGACGGGTTTGAGCGGCCCAACGTTCAGACATGCATAATCGTGTAAACAGCGTCATTTCTCTTTACAAAAGACTCATTATTGTTTATTACTGTATGTTTTTTTGATTGAATTAATGTTTATGTGTGCAAAATGAACAATACAATTCATCAATAATACCTTAGAATATTAAAACACACGAGGAGACGAGAGAGCATTGTTTTTGTTGTTTACAAAACCAGTGATTGACTGGTTCTACATATAAAACTGAAGAAAATAAGACCCTGGTTGTAGCTATAGGGAAATTAATGTAAAAAAATTAATATGGTTGTTTGAAGTAGTGTTATTTAATGTTAATAACTGGAACAATAAAAGTAGCTAACCAATATTGGTAAAGAATAAAAGTGAGACTACACGTATGTAGGTGCGCACATGCGAAAACATATTGCCATTACTCTACACAAGAATATGAAAGCAACACTTATTTACTGTTCATATATATTTTAATTAATGTTTCTGAAATTAAAAAAAAATTCTACCCACCAGTGGTGGTAAAGTTGAAAACATAAGGACAGCCAATGTTGTTGTGTGTGTTTTTACTTGGATGACGAAGTTGCCAAGTCATTGCCCAATTCCAACCTAAGTTACGCAATATTTCGGTAACTGTTCATTTCCGACAGAAATGCCATCGAAGAAAGGTGTCTTAGAATAGCCTGAACTATGTGAAAAACATGTTTTGGTATTATTGCATAGGTCGACCCAACTCTATTCCTTAACGAAAAACACGATTTTCGTATAGTTCAGACGAATTAAAAAATTTTCTTCTTTAGCACATTCGTTGGAAACTAATGGTTACCCAAATTTTGCATGATATAGGTTGGAAATTCTTCTGAAAAAAAAATGCAAATTTGTTGTTGTGTCACAGAGGTCACTCTAGTGCATTCGTACATGTATTTCCCCTCTCACCTTGGCTCTACCCAATGCGAAGAAGGTGTTTTTTCTCCTTTCACGTAGCAGCAGGTTGTCACATGATTGAAGGAGCCAATCATCATTCTTTTCTTATTTATTTCTTTAAATTGAGTACTGTACTTGGTGGGCAATTTGAAATTACAAATCAGTTAAAAAATGGCCTTGCAGTGCACTGGCTGTGTTGACAATTATATGTTTTCTTTTGCACGTTTTTATAATAAGAATGATTTGCGGTGCAGTATTTCTGTGACCAAGGGGTGTTACCTGCAAGTGTCAAGTGCCCGAAATGTGATAATGAGTGTGCTTTTCAGAATAAGCACCAGTGGCATTGCAGACATACTAATGTCATCAGCGGCAGGCGTCAGCACATCCTGCCATCTCTCACGAAGACTTCGACAGCGAGCCTGAGGTTGGTGAACCTGAAGCTTGCCCATCTGAATAAGGTAAGAATTTGGTTGGGCTGGGTTCTCCACCCCCCCGGTTAGGTTAGGTTTTTTCATGTTTTTTTTATGTTTTGAATGATTTTGATGTCCATTTCCATCGGAAATAATTTTTTTCTGAAAAATTTCCAATCTAAATTAAGCAGTTCTTCAGTAACCATTCGTTTCTGACAGAAATACCATAGAAGAAAAGTGTCTTGGAATAGTCAGAACTATACAAAAAATGTGTTTTTAATTAAGGAATTGAATTGGGCCCACTTATGCAATTTACCGTTATTTTTAATTAAGCAGTGGATATTTTTCAGTGACTGGCTACTTTACCATGAGTGTGCTCTGATTAGCTAATCGTCCATTACCGTCGAATAACGCGAGAGCTATAATTGACGGTGACTCTAGTGGCATTTGGCATAAATTTTGCCGAGTCAATCATTGTGTAGCTGAAAACAAACCTAACAATATTTCTGTTGTTCATTTTTAACTTATCATTATAAAAGAGGCAACATTTACTCAAACCTAATAAAACCTAACCTAACCAACCAAAGAAACCTACCTAACCTTACCTAACTTCCTAGCCGGGGGCAGACCCCCATCATATTAAGCAGAAAGTACTTTGCCAATCAGGGCACACTCACAGTAAAACAGCATTAGTATGAACTTAGCCGGTCACTTCTGACTTGCCTTTTATCCTCTTCACCACACATCTGCTCGTTAGCCGCTTGGGCGATCGGTCACGTCTCTGTCACGCACTGTTGGCAGGTACTGGGCATGCACCGGCTCCTGAATGTACCTGAACCCGCTCCAGTGTTGGTCAAGTCTGGTCTTGAAAGAGCTCACACTCGGTGCCGTCACAACACACTCTGGTAGATTGCTCCAAGAAATCACAACTCTCACTCCGAAAAGTTACCCCTCACAGTTTTCTGGACTTGCAGCTTAGGTTAGGTTAGATTTTGTTGGTTGGTTGGTACTTTATTTATGTGATTTGCTCTGAGAAAAAAAATCCAACTTTTCCGTTAAGATTGTTGGGGGCGGGGGGGAGGGTTATCTATATATTTATATAAAAAAATAGTGATTTCCAGCGGGAATGAATATCAAACTCGTTTTAAACTCATCAAATACCATAGGAAAAACATATTTCTAATATCAAAAGAAAGACCGGTGCTAGCTGTAAACAAATCATGGCGACACATGTGACTGAGGAAATCTAATAATATTGAAAAATTAATATCTCCGTTATCCTTAATTTCCGGCGAAAATATCATAGAAGAAATATGTCTTACAATTGTCTAAACATTACGAAATACATATAAAAAACAGCGAGAGAGAAAGACCGGTGTATTAATACAAATTGTCCACTTCTAAATATTAAACTAAGGTCAGTTATGCATCAAACGTAAATATTAACCAAATTTATGCCATGTCAGCATCTCATAAAACACACAGGGCCACTTACTATTTATTTGGTCTTGGTACTGAACGATGTTTGACTACAGGAATTACTGTACACATATGCAGTTTTTACCAGTCGATGCCATCACAGTAACTTAAAATAAGCTCTTGTCCCTTTACAATTGTCAGCTTGAAGTCCAACAAGTGGTCAGGATTGTTAAGTAGTGGCCCTCTTCAGCCCGTAACTACCTGCTGGTGCCGCTGTCTTCTGTAAACAACTGCAACATTGTTTACATTCACAGGATGACGTCACAACGCGCTTTTCTCAAATTTTCTGACAATTTTATATATTAGACTGCAATAACAAATTATAAGTTAAATATTATGTCCTTTTAATTAATCTTTATTTCTAATTTACCATTTCACCACTATCAGCTTACTTGCCGTTTTGGTGGTTCCTTATTGCCGGTGTAACAGGTACTGTACTGGGAGGAACCTATGATGGTTGGTTGTGTTACACCGGATAACATCCCTCCTACGTCTGTCACGAGCCAAGACTTCAACCCAGGACATAATACTGAGAAAGATTTTTTGTTAATGCTGTTTGCCACTAATCAGCTCATTAGCAGTTTGGGTGGTCGGTCACGTCTGTTACGCACTGTTGACAAGTACAGTACTGCCCACTGTACTGGGCATGGACGATGGACTGGATTCAGGTTGCATCTGTAACTGCGCCAGTATTTTTATTTTTCACCACTTATCAGCTTGGTCAAGTATGGTCTTGAATGAGCTCACACTAAGTGCCGTCACAACGAAAATCGAGCAAGTTTGAAAAGATCCAAACTAAGTAGCTGATAGCATAGAGGAGGCAGCTAGCTATGCTAAGGCTGTAACGCAGGGGCACAAAAGGTGGCGGAGAGTAATGTAGTTTAATCTAGTTTAACAAATTTATTGGCAGAGCTTGTAGTACAGTTTGCCTATTCTGAGTAATTCAGTCAGGTCTTGACTGAGGGTGGTATCACTTCTCACTGTCACGCAGGACAGAGGTTCACACACAAAGAAATACATCATATTCATTAACAACTATAAATGTATAGAGGTCAGATTCATATGGGTAATGTCACTGTTCACTGCCATGCAGGACAGAGGTTCGTACACAAAGAGTTGCATCATATTCATTGACAGTACATATACATATATGTAAACACACACACATATACATACATATACGTATATACATACATATACATGTACATATACATGCACACACGCACACATACATACATATACGTCGGTCAGATTCATGTGGGTAATGTCACTTTCCACTGCCATACAGGACAGAGGTTCGTACACAAGAATGCATCATATTCATTGACACTATATATAGGTCAGATTCATGTGGGTAATGCCACTGTTCACTGCCACGCAGGACAGAGGTTCGTACACAAAGAAGGAAATACATCACATTCACCAGCAGCATATATAGGTCAGTGGATCACATACATTGGAGTCATATTCTAATTGAAGACTAATCAGTGTGGGCTAGCAAATTTGGGATAAACAGCAAGAATGTCCTCAAGCACACCTGATTCAATGAAGTAATTACATAGTTCAAGATACAATAAGTCAGGTGGCCTGAAGTCTTTGACAGTGTCACATTCAATAATATAGTGTTCAAGTGTATGCTTTAAAGGTTTATCACAAAGTTTACATGTTGAGTGTTCCGGTATGGGTACAGCGTTACTAACCTGCCAGATGTGTCTGTATCCTAGCCTAATTCTGGCCACGACTACATCACATTGTCTGGTTCTGTCCTTATGCTGGCCATACCGGTACCTCTTGTTACAAAATTTGTCATATTTACTAATGCTACAACTGTCAGGTCTCTCTGCATTTCTCACTTCTTCTAGATCAGAGTTCATGATTCTGACTTGAATGTTTTTAATTACAGCATTGGACAGGCCAAGGTCACGGTCAACATTTTCTTTCTTACATGCCTCATTGGCCAGTCTATCAGCACGGTCATGATATCTAATTCCAACATGGGACGGAATCCACACAAATTCGATACAAGGGTTGTTCTCATTGGCAGTTATCACATTCCTTTTAATATCACATGCAACTTTAGACACAGAGCCTGACGGGCTGTTCAATGATTTCAAAGCACTTTGAGAGTCACAGAATATCACCCCACCTCCATTTTCTTAGGGTAGTCTGTGGCTAAGTAGATTCCAGTTAGTTCAGTTTGTGTTGTGCTGGCCCAGTTGTTCAGCCTTTGTTTGTTTGACACTATCATCTCTTTTTCTTTATATTTATATGTAGGATCCGAATAAGTCCTGCAGCAGCCAGGGACTTTGCAGAAGAGTGTTAAAAAGATAACAGCTACTAGGCCTGTTGATATGGGAGAGGAGGAACATCGGGAATGATTCGAGGTTCCCAGTGAATGGAAAGTGGCTTATGTGAGCGGCCGACTAATTACCCAAATGTACCCAAATGTAGCTAAATGTAGCGGGGCCTTCTCGGATGGGTCCCACTGGTCGGGAAGGTTGTGGACCCCAGGGCCGACCTGATCATCATCAAGCTACTGGGGCCTCAACTGACGCCACTACTGTTGCTGGAGGATCGGCTTTTTTCACGCCTACCTTATTTAAGTCCCTCTATTCATTTTTGTTCATTTGCCATTCATATTTCAATAGAATTTGCTTTAAAACATTAACCACTTTAGTAAATAAATTTGAACCAGCACAGAAACTGTGAATAAAAAATGGAAAAGTCAAAGAACATATGGCATTGTAGTGGATTTCTCCCCTACAAACGCTATTTGTCGCTGCGTAGCCGACCCCACAAATTCCAGTGTATGCCTCGTGGTCTAGGTCAACCAGCGCCGCCATACATCACGGAGCGGGGGTCAACTACTAAGCCACGCCTACCCCCTGCTATTTAAGACCTGACCTCGTGGTGACCTGTCTCTTTCTACCTCCACCAACCAGCCAGCAACACCTCCTCTTCCTCCGCCTGCCTGGCGGTCCTCTCTCCCGCTGGCGAGCATGGCGACCCACAAGCTGGTCCTCCTCTGAGCACCCTCACCAACCAGCTCTCTCTACATCACGCTTGTAACCATGCTGCCCTCCCAGCACCAAGCTACATTGTATATCCAATACAACATGTATATGGAGAGCACATTGTGAGTTTCCTTTCTCCAACCCATCCCGAGTGTGAACCCCAAACAAACCCATACCTCCACAGCATCACGAAAATTGTGACCAAGTCCCAGGTTGCTGATCCGACTTTCGGCCTCATTTACACACAATTTCAGGGTCTCAATTATTTCTCTTACTATTGACAACACAACATACATACAGGTATATTGTTTCTCACTCTTGATTTTTTTTTTTTTTGCATTTCTTTATGGTTCTTTATTATTATTATTATTATTACTATCATTATCATCATTATTACATTATCGCCCCCCCAGGCCTCGATGTGGGTCAGTGACCTGTGCCCGGGTGGGCTAATCCACATAAAAAAAAAAAATAATAAATTTTAGGGGTCCGGGATCGACGGTTAATCCGAAAGTCGGTTAATCGAGGTTTTACTGTAGTTGGATTTTTATTTTTTTTTTAAATGTTAGGTAGAGACTGCATTGGTATTGAAGTTGAATAAAACTAAAATTATTTTAAAGTTTTATATTTTTTATAAGAAATTTTGTTGTTGAAACACCTGGTTCAGATATTTTATGCTCTGTCCTAATCGATGCTAAAACTCATTGGTACAAAGTTTATTGATAACTATAAGACACAATGTTAATTTTATAAAACTCATGTCCCACTGAAGAACAGTGCAACCAAATACTTTCAACAAACCCATGGGCAGTGTACAGCAGGTAACATTTCTTTTTATAAAAAATTCATTTCACTTTTAAAGTTAATGGCTAGAAATGGCATTTTATTGGCCAATCAACAATTTAAATATGAATTCACAATTCTTAAAAAAAAACCATTTATTGCATAAATGGAAGAGGAGTTACAGTGAGTTACACCCACTTTCCTCAATAAAATTTTAGAAAAGTACTGTATACAATGGTCCCTCGGTTAACAAACATAATTCGTTCCACAGAGTCGTTCGTTAACCGAAAATTTCGTTAAACGAATCCATTATTTCAATGGGATATTGGGTAATTGGTTCCAGCTCACAGAAAAGTACATACAAAATAAAGCCAAAAATGCAGTCAGAAACACCCCTAAAATTCCCCTAAATCGCCTGTAAATCACTAAATATATACGTACATATACACTCTTACTCTTAAATCATTACTGTAATGTGATACAGGTGATTAATTTTTATCTCTTGTGCAAAATATATGACGTTTAAATTACTCGCTGTCTTGCAACGATTCCAGCAATGCAAATTATATTCACCTAACTTTAGTCTGAGATATGATATAAGATAAAAACTGTAAGCCTAAAACCCTGGCTGGGCAGATGGATGGGAGGGAGGGAGCGTGGGGGGGGGGAGCGGGAGGTGAAGTGATACTTTGACAGTTGGCGCCCAAGGTCTGTGTGTTTATTTATCAGTCCTTAAGTGACTAAGCTTCTCTCTTATAAAGTGCAAGTGAAATGACCTGGGGAATATAATTTACATTGCTGGGATTCTTCTAAGATAGTGATTAATTAGAATATAAACAGGCTATAATTTGCACTAGACATAACAATTTTAGTACCGTTATCATTTAGTACATATACAGTATTGTACACTACAGGTTTGCACTTGGGTCATTTATTTCTTTTACGTTTCTTTTAGTATGGTGTGTGCATGTAAATGGATGAAAATAAAAGAAGAAATTTATGTAAATCTACCCAAAAATACAGTTGAAAAACTTTACATTATTAAAATGTACTACAGTACACTAATGTATTAAAATTTTTATCTCTTGTGCAAAATATATGACGTTTATATTCAAATTATTCACTGTCTTGCAAGGATTCCAGCAATGCAAATTATATTCTCCTAACTTTAGTCTGTGATATTATATAAGATAAAAACTTAAAGCCTACTGTATAACCACCAAATCCTTGCTGGGGGGGGGTGTGACAGTGCCAAGGTCTAATGAAGTATTTATTTGTTTATTTTTGTCCTTTAGATTGAATTTTTGCTTTTTGCTTATAAAATTTCATAGAAGTGACCAGGGAGAATATAATTTATATTGCTGGAATTCTTATAAGATAGTGATTAATTTGAATGCAAACATGCAATAGTTTGCACTAGACTAAAATTTTAGTAATCATTTTGTACATTATTTTGATTACATGTACAGTTCAGCTTTGCCCTTAGGACAGTGTATGCATGTAAATGAGTTTCAATAAATGAATAAAGTTACATATATGAGCCAAAAATAATAGTTGAAAAACTTTATGTAGACAGAGCTTGGATGGCTAAATTTTAGAATGACCAATAATTTTAATATAAAAAATGCACAAATATTAAAAAGCACAATTTTCTTGGTATTTACTCCACTGGAAACGAATGTAAACATAGAACAGATTACTGTACTGAATTACGGAATTGGCAGACTAGCCCATCAGCTGATGCTCACAACAAAACGTGATTTTCGTTAATCGAATTTTTGTTCGTTAACCGAATTGAAGATTCTTATGTAAGGTAATTCGTTAACCAAACCATTCGTTAACCGAGGGACCACTGTATAGCACATTAATTATTCTCACAAACACCTTCCTCAAAACAATTACAAATAACAAAGTATAACACAGCAATGTGAAGTCAATGACAATAACAAAGTGCAAACTTTTTTTATATCTTATTCTGATAGAACCTAGTAAATAAAACACCCATATTTATTTTGTAAATATTACTAACAATTATTGACTGAAAACTTTATCAAAGTACTGTACTGTCGTATAATTATTATCAATGTCTGAAATACATTTCCAAACCAAATTGAAAAAAAAAAAACATTTTGGGATACAGAAAGCATACACACACATTTCACTGAATACAGGCAATGATTCTTGGCACTAAGCAAAACCAGTTGTCTTGAGATACACTGTATAAAAATTACTCTCACAATTTCACTTGCACTTCAGTCCCTGATGGCATTATGGAGAGAGAAAGAGAAAAAGAAGACTGTACTGTACACTATCATGTGAGATGCTGTATTTGCAACTCCATTTGTACAGAACTGCACTCCCACTCCCTTCAAACTACACTGGCTTGGCCACTTGATCCAGCAAAGTAGATCCTCCCTTTCCATACTAAAAAAAAAAAAAAAATATATATATATATATATATATATAATAATATATATATATATATATATATATATATATATATATATATATATATATATATATATATATATATATATATATATATATATATATATATATTCATTGGGCTAACACCTCTTGTGCTTGCTGTTTTGCTATTGAGCGATAACTGAGCAAGTAAAACTTGGCTCATTTTATACAATAAATAGTCGAGTGCTGCTGGTTAGCCTTGTAACCACTTATGAGAACCTGACCTCATCATCACCATGGAAAGCCAAGGAAGGTGCAGGTCAAAATCTCACTTATTGGTTGACCACCCAGGAATATGTAGCAACTGAAAACTTAGATTGCCACCAAAGCAATTCAGGCATGAGCAAAACTTGGACTAAGACCCAAGGATTTGTATAGCAGCTTCCTCTTAACTGATGAACTCGACTTGTGCACAAACACTGGGATGGGCGGAGACCTGGTGATGCTGGGGCCAGGGAAGACTTGAGTTTAAAGGTCCATTTCAAACTGGTCACCTTCAGTAGGTTCTGAAAAAATAAGGAAACATATTAATAATTCACCAATAATTTGTATTTTCTCTGTGTACTGTATAAAACCGCTGGAATAAATACCGTTCATATGCATGCGCACACACGTACATGCACGCGCGCGCACACACGTACATGCACGCGCGCGCACACACACACACACATCCTTGACCACCGACAAGTCAAGATGTATCAGGTGCTGCTCTGGCAGCTGCTAGGTTAACTGTTATGTTGGCACATACCCCAACGCCTTTCCCTGAACCCATCCTCCCCACCGGAATATCAGCAAGTTCTCGCCAAACGTTACAGTTTCATTTCAGAAAGGAGTGGAACCAGTGTTGAACAGTCCTTAAGCCAGTAACAGCTGAGAGGCATACCCAAGTTGACTTCCACACAGTGAGATCCAAGGTACCCAGTGAGACACAACAACAGCAGTGATGTGTTAATCCATCCATGATAGGGAGACCTGGGACCACACCTGACTGTACACCACTTGAGTGATGTTCTGCGACACCACGCCACAAGGTGTCTCCATGATGCTACGACACCATGTAGTGAACGAGTTGCTGTAACACCATCTGTGAAGGAATTACTACACTACGTGAGGTCCATCATAACACTATCGGTGAGGGAATTACTACACCATGTGAGGTCCCTCAGCACCATCTGTGAGGGAATTACTACACCTTGTGAGGTCTCTTATAACACCATCTGTGAAGGAATTACTACACCTTGTGAGGTCTCTTATAACACCATCTGTGAAGGAATTACTACAATACATGCCATGTCTTTGTATGTATTAAGTCATTTATGTCCAATGTATATTTTCAGCCTTCGGGCTGCTGAAATGTTTCAATAAACCATTAATTATTATAATTATTACTATTATTATTACCATGTAGTGCACTTTCATTTAGCATGTTTTCAATTTACTTCAGTATTCAAATTAGGTAGGTTTTCCAACTGATGCACCCAGTCACCAAAGCAATTTTAAATATGGTGCGGTCTTCTAATAGAAACCGGTACAAGGTACTCTCCAATACTGTACATCTGTGCATGTGAGATGTGCTATATGCTCAGTATTCATAATACTGGGAAATACAGGGTGTCCATAAATGATTACCCTAAAAACAGTATGCTCTCATGTTTTAATCAAGGTAATCACTTATGGACACCCTGTACTTATTACATATCAATGGTAACTGTAGGAGTTCGTGAGGGCTGATAAACTCTTCTCTACAATTTGACCTTCCGGTGTTAAGACGCAAGGTGATTTTGGAGGAAATTTTCAGGAAAAAGCATCTTATGAGGCAAGAAATATGGTAAAGGTTATTTCATGTTTATGTATATATATTTATTTTATTTCACGTTTAATATATTGTTTTATGCATACATAATGTTGCTATACATGTGCGTATAGCTATTTACAGTATAGTAAGTCCTCGCTTAACGTCGTCCCGCTTAATGTTGTTTCGGTACTATATCGCTAAACTTAAGAGACTAAAAATTCGTTCAACATCCCGGTGATTTGGTACAAGGTACTTTTGCATCGTCACCGACTACTTTTTACCTCGCATCACCCTCTCCCGTCTGGCCGCGCTACGCTCTCTCGGCTCGGCGCACTACCCCACTTGCGAAACGTCACAGCGTCCCCAAGTGACGCCAAGTCTCTGTTACGACTTCACATCATTCGTGTGTGCTTAAGTGCTTTTGCTCTAAAACTGTACTCTAACAATTTGAAATGGCTTCCAAGCACCCATCAAGCGCTACTGATGCTAGTGTAGTGAAGAGGCAACATAAGACCATTACCCTTGCTACGAAAATGGATGTATTAACCTGGTTTGAAAAAAGGGAACGTGCTGTGGACATTGCCACTGTGCTTGGTCTAACCCCCACAACGGTGCGTACTATCCGGACCAACGCTGACAAGATTAAGGTTAGTGCTGGAAGTGGTACTTCTCTGAGTACAACTAAGACAACTCGTACTAGAAGCACTGTGATAGAAAAGGTGGAAAAGATGCTGGTTATGTGGATGGAGGACCAGAATCAAAGCAATGCCCCTGTGAGCCTTATGGTTATCCAGCATATGGCCAAATCCTTGTTTAACGACATGAAGGAAATTATAATTAAAATGTTATAAAACAATGGTTTAGTAGTGCTGTTAATGTGCTTGCTGTGTCACGCCACCTCACGTTACCTTACCCCTCGCATCATCAGCTCAACTCGCAGAGTTACATTTATATATTACTGTATTATTTACTTTATTACAGTGATATCTCCATTAGCCGGAACAATTGGTGTAGAGCACTTCCGGAAATGAGAGATTTCCAGGGAACAAGACGACTCTCTCAAAGCCAGAAAAAATCCCCCATCCCCGGAATTTTAAGAGTAACAGAAAAATGTTCTCAGTAGATCCAGAAATTGCCCATTAAATCATCTCTCGAACCTGGAAAAATATCCCCCATCCTTGGAATTTTCTGGGTGCCGGAAAATTTTTCTGGGAATTTCAGGAAAATGCACCCAATTTTCATCACTCAAACCCAGAAAAGAAAACTTTCTCAGAATTTTCCAGAAAATGTGCCTCATGGAAAATCATTCCCAAAGCCATAATTTTCCAGAAAATTACGGCTTTGGGAACAATTTTCCGAGAAAATTTCAATTTCGGCTATCGGAGATTTCTAGGTTTGAGGGATTCCGGCTAACGGAGATACCGTACAGTATTACTACTACTGTATATGTATATTTAGAAAATATTTTTGTTTGCATAGTAATTATAAAATTGATTATTTTATGTAGCAGCCAAGGTGCAAAAATTGAACAGAAAACGAGAAAATAATCAAACACAAAAATTTGGAAATTATTGAATAATGTCAAAATATTCTGAACTCGGTTACTTCAGACTTTTCGATAATTCGAGTGACCCATAGCACCTGTCGTTTTTTATTAACAAGGGTATAATGTATATTATTTTATGGACAAAGAATAGCTTCTTCCACATGCAAACCATCCTTTGGGCAACATTGACACAGTTCAACCACTTGGCCTGGCAGTAACCAAAAACATGCAGAACCTCCAGCGCTACATGTTACGCCATTCCAAGATTGCATTATTATATTGCAAGTTATTGCACATCACTTTTTCATAGGTGTAACAATTTAGGAAGAGCATTCAGGTAGTGACCATCATAAATCTGACCTTTAGCCATTGCATTGCGGTAAATGGTGTTAATTTTTTAACATCGTATAACAGTCTTTGCCTGTACAGAATTAAAGAAGTGATGGAATAAGAGTACTGAAACGTACAGAAAAAAAATATATAAAGAAGTAAATAGAAAAATACTTTACATAATACAAAGATAAAGGAAATGCTTCATTGTCTTATGATTACTACAACTCTGTTAAGACATAATACATACAAACATTTACAATCATTAAGGTAAACATTTACTCTTGCCTTAAAAGCAACATCTATGTAATATGAAGTAAACACTTATCTTTCTAACACCTGTAAAAATAAATTGGTTATGCATCCCAATTTATGATCGAGCCCCAGTTTAACAAGTTGCACATACACTGTGCAACATATGACTGCTTAGCTCTCAGCGTAAGTAATGACAACTTCATTTTTAACTTCCTTTTTAGGGCCAGGAAAGAATGCTAATCTTTGGTTTATTGCTGCAGCCAACATAGGCCAAATTTTTCTTGGGGTCCCAATCACCGAGAGTATGGAGAGCATGTTCAATAGGCACTCTCTTCAAGGATGAATTATAAACATCATTGCACAACACATCAATATGATATGCCCCATTAATTTTTGGCACCCTAATATTACCTGGAAATGATTAATCATAACACAATACAGTGCAGTAGTATACAAAAGCTTATTTTGTATGAGGGAAATGATTACTGACTTACCCGTCTTCTCTGGCTCCTCTGCGATAGTTCCATTCTCCCTATGCACAACAGCATTGTCCTTGGCAGTTACTCCTGGTATCACTGGTAAGTTCTTTGGGGGAGTTTTGGCCAGAGGAGAGTTTCGCATTTGCAACAGGAAGTTTCGTTCATAGATGATCCTTGTACCTGAAAAGTTAGACCCCTTTACTGAATTAAATTACATATTGTATATAAAACTAATACAGTACAATCTAAACATGTAATTTTCACTGAGGTATAAATACGGTACAGTATACGTCTTTTTCAGAAGTACACTTCATGTTCTTTAGTAACTGGACAGCAGTGATAATGGCTCACACTAAACTTAGTAACAAGAGGTTAACTCTACTAACCACCAAAACCTGCCAAGATTCCACTTTTCATGCCTAAATAAAATATATCTAAGTGGAGTGTAGAACAAAACACTTTATTGGTTTCACAAACTTAAGAAATTTAAAATTAAACAAGCGTAACACAATATACTGTATTGAGATAAAAGAACCACAATCAAGAGGATACAGTGGTCCCTCGGTTAACGAGTTTCTTACGAGCCGACCTCAACAAGTTTTGGCTTGCACTTGGCGGTCAACCAGCTTTAGTATTAGTCCGCCAATACATTAATCGGTTCTAGGACTTAAATTCCTTACTATTTTAGTAAATATCAAGAAGTTTATACTATTCAATAATGTTAAAAGTTTAATATTAAATTTTTTAGTCATTTTAACAATTATTGAACATAATTGAAGGTAAAGTGAGTAGTTTAATGCGCGGCATCCAGCCTCTTAACACAGCAAACAAAGCGTTAGTCTCTCTCTGTTTTCACTGGAGGTAACATCTTGCTTGAGACTCTCTTCAACTAAACACTTTTTTTCTGTTTCCAAGCAAATTATTGGTCATTTTGAAATTTATTTTACATATTGACAATATATAGCACAGTGCAGTGTTGATTTAAAGAAAATATTCTTTATTTACAGCAATTAAACTTAAAATTTTACTGTTGAAATTGTTTTTGAATCCAGCATGGGTCCCAAGAAATCCAGAAAAGCAATTTCAATCCAGGTGAAACAGAAAATTATTAAGAAACATGAAGAAGGCATTAGAACAAATGTGCTTAGCAAAGAATATGGCATGTCAACATCAACTGTGTCGACAATTCTTTCACAGAAAGACAAATTCAAGGAAGTGAAAGTGAGAGACAAATCTACCAGAATGATTAAAGGTAGATCCCTAATAGCAGAAACAGAGAGGTTACTTCTCATTTGGATTAGGGAAAAACAGATGAAAGGTGATTCAGTTTCAACCGAATTTATTTGTGAAACAGCCAGGGAGATTTACGAACATTTAAAGGCAGATCAACCTGGTTCTTCAGGCACAGAGTTTGAAGAGTTTAAGGGCCAGCACAGGCTGGTTCGAAAAATTTAAGAAAAGAAGTGACATTTTTAGTGTTGTTAGCCATGGTGAGTCTGCTAGTGCTGATAAGGAAGGAGCAGCAAAATTTTTAGTGGACTAAAGAACTGGTTGATGAAGAAAATAATCTTCCACAGCAAGTGTTCAATGTGGACGAAACTGGGCTGTTCTGGAAAAAATGCCCAAAGGGACATTCATCACCAGAGATGAAGCCTCTTTACCTGGGCATAAACCCATGAAAGACCGTCTCACTCTATTGCTTGGTGCCAATGCTTCAGGGGATTTCCGACTGAAGCCTATGCTTGTCTACCACTCTGAGAACCCCAGGGTATTCATGCAACAAAAAGTGGTAAGTGGACGGCTTGGAGTTTATTGGAAGTCCAACCGTAAAGCATGGGTGACAAGACAGCTAATTAATGAATGGGCAGTTGATGTGTTTTGCCCTTCTGTGAAGAGCTACCTAACCACCAATAAGCTTAAGCTTCCTTTAAAGGCTCTTCTCCTTATGGATAATGCCCCTGGTCATGACCCTAAACTTTCCAGCATTTTGGAGTCTCAATTTGACTTTGTCAAAGTGTTGTTTTTGCCTCCCAACACTACATCAATCATGCAGCCAATGGACCAGAATGTTATCAGCAACTTTAAGAAGCTGTACATGAAGAAAATGTTCAGGTGTCATCAGGCAACTTCCACTGATCCTGAACTAACACTGGCACAGTTCTGGAAGACACAATTTAACATCCTGGGGGCTGTAAAATTGATTGTGTCCTCATGGCAAGAAGCCTCCACTAGATCCCTCAATTCTGCATGGAAAGCACTGTGGCCATCAGTAGTCCATGATTTTGAGGGATTTGAGGAAGAAGCAGAGTTGGACCAGGAGATTGTGTCCATTGGTCAGTCATTGGGCCTTGAAGTGGAGGAGGATGATGTAGAAGAGCTTGTGATGTCTCATGAACAGGAACTTACTCCTGAAGACTTGCAGCAACTGGATGAGATGTTAGAGGCTGACAGTGGTGAGGAAAAGAAAAGGGATGACCATTTGTCTATTTCAGATTTGAAAGATGTTGTTCACTACTGGGAGAAGTTCAGGAAACTGGCTTCAAGGCACCCTAATGTGGAAAAACAAAACTGGCTTTGTGTAATGTTGAGGACACAGTGGTCTCCTTCTTCAAACATCAGTTAAAGATGAGGAGGAGAGATGCCCCACAAACAAAAATCGACAGTTTCTTCACTAAAAGGCAGCGGGAAACAGATGCTAGCCCACAGCCTTCCACTTCAAGAAAGAGAGAGGATGTTCCTGTTGGAGAATGTCAGTCCAGAGGTTCCTTACATTTTCATGGAAGGTGACTCACCTTCCAAGAAGCAGTAAAATGCTTCTCCTCCACCTCCACTTCCTTCTCTTCTCCCTTCTCCTCCACCTCCCACTTCAAATTCACATCAGCATCAGCATCATCATCCAGGAGCCGTCTACATACACACCTCAAAGTAAGTGTACTTTACTACCTTTTTTGTTGACTTTATGCAATTTTCGGTGAGCTGGAACCAATTACCCAAAAACCCATTGAAACAATGGTTTCGGTTAACAAATTTTTCGGTTAACGAGCAACCTTCTGGAACGAATTGTGTTCGTTAACCGAGGGACCACTGTATAGCGATAATTTTTTTTTATTTCGAGAGAGAAATCAGGCTGGAAATATTTCAAATGTACCTCCATGGCAAACAAATGCGTTATTTGCTCACCATGGCTGCTCACTCACACATTCACGCTCGCCCGCTCAGTCTTTCTATTAGGTTCGAGTAAATGTCGCCTCTTTAATAATGATAAGAACATGTGGAAAAAATTACCATAATCGAACAACTCCTTCTGGTTAGGTATGTCTACAGCTACACAACGATCGACTCACGGCAAAAGCTCGACCCCGACTTACGACTGCTTGGACTTACGACCGCCGCAGTTGTGACTATTTTTTTTTCTTTTTTTTTTCAAATGACGCACGCATTTTCTATACCGAAATGTTTCCAGTTAATGTAGTCTCCATGTATAATTAGAAAATTATGGGGGCCCCATGTGCATTCAGCTGACTACATTAAAGGTAAGTGCTCAGTCACACTGTATCCATTCCTCATTATTTATTACTTTCACTGTACTGTATTTCATTGTAGATTTTTTATTTAAAAAAAAATTGATTTTTTTTTTATCTATGTCGGACTTACGACCATTCGGACTTACGACCTGGATTTGGGTCCCTAACCCCGTCGTAAGTCGTGGTCTAGCTGTATATGCAAAATGCCACCAGAATCACAGTAACATATACCGTAGTTCTCATGCTGTTCGCTAGTAATGAATGATTAGCCAAACAGAGCACACTCATGGTAAAATAGCGTTAGTAGGACTTAGCTGGTCATGGCAAAATATCCACTGCATAATAAATAAATTACAGAAGAAAGCAGAGAAAGTATGTAAACAAATATAAAATAAAGGAATAAATAAACCTCAGTCGTGATTTTGTTGATTAGCTGCTCATATTGTCTGGCCGTAACATTATGGTGAACGTGGTCTTCCATGTGTGTTTCAAGTGTAGTGCTATTGCATCATAGCAACTGCTCTGCAATTGGCTGAAGGGACAAAGTATTTGTAACATGTACTCCGATTGGTTGACAGATGTCAGTTGATGTGGCAGAATACAATATTTAGCCACAACAGCATGCAAAATTAAAGTTTACACTGCCCCAACTTAAGATTTAGGGCCAAGTGAGCTATCACTGTAGACTTAAGTCAAACATTAGTGCATCCATGCTCAGTTGGACAGAAGACAAATCTTTACCACATCAAAAACTACTACGGTACTTATAAACTATTTTTTCTTAAACATTTTGTATTGTCTGGGAGGCCATAACTGGTTTCTCCCAAAGGCATTGAAAGAGTTAAGGGTGTGAAAATTACCCTTTAGCATACATTCTCAGTTCAATGATCGCTGAAAGGGAGATGGCAACAAGAAGGGGGCTATGGAAGGCAGGGTGTCCTGGAGGAGTGGTGTCCTGGAGGTGACGGTGGAGGAGTGGTGTACTGGAGGTGTGGGTGGATGGAGGAGTGGCGTCGTTGGAGGTGATGGTGTAGGAGTGGTGTCCTGGAGGAGTGGTGTCATGGAAGTGATGGTGGAGGAGTGGTGTCCTGGAGGTGTGGGTGGAGGAGTTACGTCCTAGAGGTGATGGTGGAGGGGTGTCCTGGAGGAGTGGGTGGAGGAGTGGTGTCAGGGAGGTGATGGTGCAGGAGTGGTGTCCTGGAGGTGTGGGTGGAGGAGTGGTGTCCTGGGGGTGATGGTGGAGGAGTGATGTCATGGAGGTGATGCTGGAGGAGTGGTGACCTGGAAGTGATGCTGGAGGAGTGGTGTCCTGGAGGTGACGGTGGAGGAGTGGTGTACTGGAGGTGTGGGTGGATGGAGGAGTGGCGTCGTTGGAGGTGATGGTGTAGGAGTGGTGTCCTGGAGGAGTGGTGTCATGGAAGTGATGGTGGAGGAGTGGTGTCCTGGAGGTGTGGGTGGAGGAGTTACGTCCTAGAGGTGATGGTGGAGGGGTGTCCTGGAGGAGTGGGTGGAGGAGTGGTGTCAGGGAGGTGATGGTGCAGGAGTGGTGTCCTGGAGGTGTGGGTGGAGGAGTGGTGTCCTGGGGGTGATGGTGGAGGAGTGATGTCATGGAGGTGATGCTGGAGGAGTGGTGACCTGGAAGTGATGCTGGAGGAGTGGTGTCCTGGAGGTGACGGTGGAGGAGTGGGTGTCCTGGAGGTGTGGTGTCCTGGTGATGGGAGGAGGTGCCTGGAGGTGATGGTGGGTGAGGAGGTGGTGTCCTGGAGGTGATGGTGGAGGAGTGGTGTCCTGGAGGATGGTGGAGGTGGTGTCATGGAGGATGGGGAGGGAGTGGAGGGTCTCTGGAGGTGATGGTGGAGGGGATGAGTGTGATGCAGGGAGTGGTGTCATGGAGGTGATGGTGGAGGAGTGGGTCCTGGAGGTGATGTGGAGGAGTGGTGTCCTGGAGGTGTGGGGTGGAGGAGTGGTGTCCTGGGAGGTGATGGTGGAGGAGTGGGAGGGAGGTGATGGTGGAGGAGTGGGTCATGGAGGTGGAGGTGATGCTGAAGGAGAAGGTGGCCTGGAGGGTGTGGGTGGAGGAGTGGTGTCCTGGAGGGGGAGGTGGTGTCCTGGAGGTGTGGGTGGGAGGAGTGGTGTCCTGGAGGTGATGGTGGAGGTGTGGTCCTGGAGGAGTGGTGTCCTGGAGGTGATGGTGGAGTGAGGTGTCCTGAGGTGATGGTGGAGGAGTGGTGGCCTGGAGGTGTGGGTGGAGGAGTGGCGTCCTGGAGGTGATGGTTGAGGTGGAGTCCTGGAGGTGTGGGTGGAGGAGTGGGTCCCCCTGGAGGTAAGGGTGGAGGAGGTGGTGTCCTGGAGGTGATGGTGGAGGAGTGGTGTCCTGGAGGAGTGATGTCATGGAGTGATAGTGGAGGAGTGATGTCCTTGAGGGGTTTGGGTGGAGGAGGGGTGTCCTGGAGGTGATGGTGGGAGAAGTGGTGTCCTGGAGGTAAGGGTGGAGGAGGTGTCCTGGAGGTGGAAGGGCTGGAGGAGGGAGGTGGTTTCCTGGAGGTGATGGTGGAGGAGTGGTGTCCTGGAGGTGATGGTGGCGGAGGTGGTATGGGAGGGGTGTGGGTGGAGGAGTGGAGTCCTGGAGGTGTGGATGGAGGAGTGGTGTCATGGAGGTGTGGGTGTAGGAGTGGTGTCCTGAAGGAGTGGATTGTCCTGGATGTGTGGGTGGAGGGTGGTGTCCTGGATTTGTGGGTGAATAGTGGTGTCCTGGAGGTGTGGGTGTAGGGAGTGGTGTCCTGGAGGTGGGTGTAGGGAGGTGTCCTGGAGATGTGGGTGGAGGGTGGCCTGGAGGTGAGGGGTGGAAGCAGTGGTGGCTGGAGGTATAGGTGGAGAAGTGGTGGACTGGGTGGGGTGGAGGGGGTGTCCTGGAAATGTGGGCGGAGGAGTGGTGGCCTGGAGGTGTGTGGTGGACTGGAGGTGTGGGTGGAGGAGTGGTGTCCTGGAGGTGTGGGTGGAGGAGTGGTGGCCTGGAGGTGTGGGTGGAGGAGTGGTGGCCTGGAGGTGTGGTGGACTGGAGGTGTGGGTGGAGGAGTGCTGTCCTGGAAGTGTGGGTGGATAAGTGGTGGCCTAGAGGTGTGGGTGAGGCATGATGGACTGAAGATTTGGGTGAAAAAGTGGTGGCCGTGGGTGGGTGGTGGCCTGGAGGTGTGGGTGGAGGAGTGGTGGCCGTGGGTGGGGGCGCGGGCAACAGTACAAGCACATGCCGAGCACAATGTAAACAAAGCCACCTGCGACGCTGACTTACCTGTACTCGCCTCCCCCCTCACTGACAAGTGTTGACATACATGGGTATAAGTGTGTGGTTTAACTCACCTCCCGGGGTGGTAGAGAAGAGTGTTCCCCCTGGTGTGGTACTATAATCGTTGGGTAACTCCGCCGGTGAGTTAATGGTCACTCTCCGCGGGATGGTTTGAGGCTTAGCCTGAGCCACGGCCTGGCGAGCAACTGGTGAAGCAGACATACCTAGATATATTACAAAAACAATCAACAACCAGTACACAACTATAATGCAAGTTGCAAAATGCGTAACAGATTTATATCCTTAATGAAGGACGCACTACAGTATTTGAGCACAGGGGCTACGTCTACTACGTCCCACGACCACAACACTAGAGCACTGCGCGCGCCGCCCTCAGTATTGGAACCTGGCGGAGCTACGCATCAGCTGACTGTAAGGTTGAACACAGCTTTCAATAACATAGGGAAGTAAGTTTAATGACGCCTTGCCACCCTTATGGTGTAGGTTACCTTATACTTCTATGTACAACCGACCTTATTAACTTGAAGATACGAATTTTAGTATTACGTAGTAAGTAATTGAAAGAAACTTGATCGTAAAATGATAATTCATATGAGTCAAACATTTACACTTACAGTAAGAGCATGAATATTTTTTAATTAAATCTAAGGAATACAAGCTTAAAACATAAAGCATATCTTGCTTCTCGGGTCACACGATCCGAGAAAATTCATAACTTAAATGACCTCGTATTCATCTAGCGTTTGTCGACGTAGATATAAACGATGGGCCCTTTTGTCTTCTCCATGACAAGTAGTCAACATTAACTGAGGCAAATTTTCAAAAGTCTGGCAACAGTGTTGTCACTATTGGGAAGGCATTCCAATGCCATATTTTGTACCATATAAATTGTATTCTGATAGCCTTGACAAACTGCATGTTTCATTTTGTCAGATTAAATATCAATACAAATTTGAGTTATATTTGTGGTATGGGAAGGAAGTGTTAAATATGTCTATGAATAGAAATATAGTTAAAATTGGTATCACTTCAGATCTAGGTCACACTTATCAAGTTAATTTGGGTTTCACAGCCCATTCTCGCTCATTTAGCAGATTTTTAAATAAGAAACGTTATTTAATAACTCATGATTTGCACAATGGAAGAAAGTCAAATGAATCTTATATATTTTACATTGGTTATACTGTACATGTCAAGATATTTGTATTACCAACATCAATTTATGTTATCATTAATATATGGGGTAACTATTTATCTGCATTACGTTTTCCACATAATACTATAAAACTGCACGTAGAGCTGATCCTGTGTTGGATGAACAAGAATCACGTACGCGCGTCACAGCACGTACCAGATACCATGGTAGTCGCGCCACTTTTTTGTTACGTAAACTCAGTAAGCCCTGCGCCTCTACAACCACACCCAGAAATAGGTACTACACTACAGTAATTCATAATTTAACATACTGATTCCGGCATTCTCTGTTTAATTTTAGTCCTTTAACCCTCGTATTTTGATCCATTAATTTATTCCACCACCAAATTATATTTTTACAATTCTCAATATGTGCAGCTTGTTATGACATTTTTCATCACTAAACTACTTATGAATCAAATTAAATTGATATATGTCATGGAAAATTGAGTTCTGTGACGTGATGTGTGAAAGAGCATGGCATCCGGAAGGCTGAAAATATACAGTTACATAAGTGGGGAATGGGTCACTTGATTAAAAAATAATATACAAGTAACACATGTGATACAAATATGATATATAACCAGGTGGGGAGAAGGTTATACGACACTGAAGGCAGAATGCTTGGACTAAAACTAACAAAAAGAGGATATATAACTTACATAAAAGATAAAGAACGACAGACAGAAATAAGACTATAAAAACTAAACAATTTAAGAACCTTAGTATAAATAACAAAAGAAAGATTTATAGCCCTTGTCAAATTAATTATGGACTACCCACCCATCCCATTGAACACTCTTAGTGAATGGAGAATTAAAAGGTTACAAACAGTACAAGATATAGCCCTCAGATTTATTTATAACATAAAATATACAGACCACATCAATAATGAACAGCTACACAAGAGAGCAAACCTCCTAGCAATCATTGTAAAAACACACAACAAAGCCGCAAATATTTGGAACAAAGTGACTGACCTCAACACAGAAACTTACCAAAAACTGGATAAATAATATAGATAATGAAGAAATCCAAGAACATGGTTGGTTTAAATCAATCAGAAAGAAAGTGATTGAACCATCTACTTCCCCAATTTACACATAAAACATTAATAGAGAGAATAAAAGATAAAAGTGACCTACCAACTCCACTAAGAACCTGGCAGGCCTTTCCATACAGTGTACCTTTAGAGTAACATAACTCACATTTAACTAACACATTAGCAATTAAAAAGAAAAAAAAGTGACTTCCCTTCCAGCCACACAAGGACCTGGGAGGGCTCACTAACTCCACCACAGGTAAAAAAAAAAAAAGACCCTGCGAAGTAAGAAGTATCATAAGCAGCACCATATAAATAAACCATTACTAATACAAAGGTCCGACGACCCGAGGGAGCAAAACAAAGATAAAAAAAATACAATAGATAAGATAAAGCGATTTGGTTGAGCCCAGATTCTTTCTACTCCTACTGTATTTCAGTTTGCCCTCACATTTTTCTTGACTTACAGCTTCTTCAATCTTGAGCTGTGACCCCTTGTGGGGCGAGAGTCCGCCAGCTCCAAGTAAGGACACTCGACTGAGTAGTGCCCCTTGAGATGCTTATACACCTCAATTAGGTCACCCCTGTTATATATATGTATGTTTATATGCTGCCGTTATTGATTATATATACATTATATATTATGTTACTTCTTACCAAAGTCAGAAAGTGTTTAGGCTTGTGTAAACACGAAATGTGTTTGGCTCGTTGTAACCAACACAAGACAATAAACGCCCCAGCCAGACCGACCATGTGACTTGTCATTCCCCCATTAAATAACGCAAGCTACTACACTGGCGACGAGGATGGGATTCACAGTGTTGGTGAAGTCCTTGAAGAGAGGATAGTGACCACTGAAGGGAAGGCTAATCTGAACCTGGAGAATTTAAGTGAAGAGAGCAACCATGGCTGGCGTCAGTGGATACATCGGACGACTGGGGGAGTATGATACAGACAAGAAAGATTTCACATCATATTGTGAGAGAATGGACTTCTTCTTTTCTGGCAAATGAATTAATGGACGATGGTGGTGATGCTGAGAAGAGAAAGGCCCTTGAAGAGAAAAGAAAGGCAATCTTTTTGACAGAGGTAGGAGCTAATGTTTATTCTACTCTGGTCAATCTGCTTACTCCAGACAAACCCAAGGACTCCTCACTGATTCAGATTACCAAGATTCTGAAGCAACATTTTGATCCTGCTCCACTTGAGATCGCTGAAAGTTACAGATTCGGCACCAGAGATAGAGGTAAAGATGAATCAGGAAGTAATTATATAGTAGCTTTGAAGAAGTTATCCATTCACTGTAACTTTGGACAGTTCTTGAACCGAGCTCTAAGAGACAGGTTTGTAATAGGCCTGAATTATGAAAAAATACAGAATAAGTTAATAAACACCACTAACTTAACTTTTGAAAGTGAATGTCAGATAGCTACAAGCATGGAATTGGCCTAGAAAAACACCAGAGAATTTGTTCCCAATGCTGGTAGTGAAACAGTTGGCAGTAGTGGCTCAGTGTGTAAAGTAACTGTAGCTAAAGGGAATAAGGGGTCCGACTAATTACCCAAATGTACCCAAATGTAGCCGCAATGAAGTCAAATAATGGTCCTACATGAATAAATCGGACTGCCAATCACTTCTCAACTAGTAATTGGTGTCACAAAGTCACAAAAAATTGGAAAACATAATTTAATCTGAGTTAATAGATCGCGTGCGTGTACCGAGGGAGCGAGTAATTACCCAAATGTAGCATGAATGAAGTCAAATGAATCTAAGTTGACTCAAAAGAAGGGTGCTCTCTCTCAAATTCATTTTATAGAGAGGTTGGTTTCAGTAAGTCAGAGAAAATGGGATAACGGAGGACTGAGGTGTCTTGAAGTGATGAGAAAACGGACTCCTCAAATGGAGGACTCAAACGAAAGCAGAGTTACATGTTTTGTGGGCTATTGAGCGTAGTATGAATCATTTGATTTTGGAGCTAACTGACGTGTAAGACCGTGGTCGTTACACCTGCACTTCGGCACCTCAGCTACCCTGAGAGATTGGAGCGCCTGAACTTGCATAGCAAATACTGCAGACAGGCAAGGGGGGGACCTAATTGAGGTGTATAAGCATCTCAAGGGGCACTACTCAGTCGAGTGTCCTTACTTAGAGCTGGCGGACGCTTGCCCCACAATGGGTCACAGCTCAAGATTGAAGAAGCCGCAAGTCCAGAAAACTGTGAGGGCAAACTTTTTCGGAGTGAGGGTTGTGAACTCTTGGAACAATCTGACAGAAAGTGTTGTGACGGCACCGAGTGTGAGCTCTTTCAAGACAAGACTTGACAAACAGGTACATTCAGGAGCCGGTGCATGCCCAGTACTTGCCAACAGTGCGTAACAGAGACGTGACCGATCGCCCATGCGGCTAACGAGCCTGTGGGGTTCAGGTTATTTGGTTCACACTCAGGATGGAATGGAGAAAGGAAACTCACAATGTGCTCTCTATATACATGTTGTATTGGATGTACAATGCAGCTTGGTGCTGGGAAGGCAGCATGGTTACAAGCGTGATGTAGAGAGAGCTGGTTGGTGAGGACGCTCAGAGAAGGACAGCTTGTGGGTCGCCATGCTCGCCAGGCAGGCGGAGGAGGAGCGAGGGAAGGCCGCCAGGCAGCGGCGGAGGAGGAGGTATTGCTGGCTGCGGCTTTAGGTAGAAAGAGAGGCCAGGTCACCACGAGGTCAGGTCTTAAATAGCGGGGGTAGGCGTGGCTTATTAGTTGACCCCCGCTCCGTGATGTATGGCGGCGCTGGTTGACCTAGACCACGAGGCATACACTGGGGAATTGGTGGGGTCGGCTAGGCAGCGACAAACAGCGTTTGTAGGGGAGAATTCCACTACAAGCCGATCAGTGGTGAAGACGATAAAAGTGAAAACTAAAAGTGGTGAAGAGGATAAAAGTTTGCAGTACATGCCAATCTGTCCCTGTAGTGATTGAAAACGACGACGCACTGCAAAGTTGCAAACACGTAATGGAATCCTAGCTTTATACGTAATTTGCCCCAGAAATGTTATTGAAGAAAAGTACTTTAGAATTGTCAAAATTACTAATTGCAACTATAAAATTTCCGAGATTCGTTTAGTGGCAACAAGTGAAATAAAACATCATTATTCCAGTAAAATTGTTTTGTAAACGTTCAAGATATCATGAAAGGATAATGAAGTCTTTATCTAAATTGGCTCATATACAAATTGACTTGTAAATCTTAATTAAAATTGATATTATAATGTTTTTATAGACATATATCACTATTTTATTGAAATGTTTCGCCTACATGAATATACTTGAGATACAAACGCACAGTTGTATGTAAACAAAGGTTGGTGATGGAGGCGGGCGACCCACAGGACCAGTGCTGCCAAGATACATATTCACAAGTTTAACTCGTTACAGGGAACTTCTTCCGTTATAAGAAGCGGACACCAGCCTCCACCATTAGTTTCTCAGGACAAAATACCTAACAAACGTGTTATCAAGATGGTGATATCAATAAACACTAAAGACCACGTCATTTGTAAGGCAGGCAAGACGTACTGAATGGCTGAAGAAAACAAATATTTTAAATAAAAGTGGAAAAGGGAATGCAGAGAGGATGGCTTCAACTGATGTCATTCGTGAAGCTGCCATGTACTTGGAATATTTCCTCAAAGGAGTAAGTAAGAAACTTTGCAAAGCTGTAGAATGGGTAAATTTTTGGTATTTTTGCATTTGTGCACAACTTTTCTACCCCAAATCTATTATCTTATTCGAGAAACGTCTAATTTTAAGATAATTTTCTTCTATTACATTACCGTTGCAAACGTATAATAACGGAGATAGCGCATGCCAAATATTACTCTATTTTCTTCCATTAATCTTCCGCCATCGCCTACCCAACAGAAGTGTAATTCGGTCCTTGAATGCCTTGAATCCTGTCATTGTTTTCGCCTCTGGGGATATATGTCCGTTCAGGCAAGCGCTTCCACAATAATCCAGTTTCATCCGCATTGAATATTTGCTCAGGCAAATAATTTCCTTCCACAATCACACGATCTAGGTCCTCCTTAAAAGCTTCGGCGGCACCAACATCAGCACTAGCTGCCTCTCCACTCACCTTAACATTATGTAAACTGTAGCTGTTCTTAAATCTGTTAAACCACCCATGACTTGCTGTGAAGGTTTGTTCGCACTCATCTCCTGCCTGCTCCTTCAGGCTTTCGAACAGGTTTCTTGCCTTAGCCTGTAAGGTTAGAAGGCTTAAGGGTATACGCTTCTGTATCTGGTCTTCCACCCATATCACCAATAATTTTTCCATCTCGTGAATGGGACCTTGTCTTTCTTCGTAATTATAGTTCCCTTATAGGTGCTGATCCTTTCACTACATCATGAATACGTTCCGGGCAACCAGCTTTAGTATCAGTCCGCCAATACATTAATCGGTTCTAGGGCTTAAATTCCTTACTATTTTAGTAAATATCAAGAAGTTTATACTATTCAATAATTTTAAAAGTTTAATATTAAATTTTTTAGTCATTTTAACAATTATTGAACATAATTGAAGGTAAAGTGACTAGTTTAATGTGCGGCATCCAGCCTCTTAACACAGCAAACAGGCGTTAGTATATATATATATATATATATATATATATATATATATATATATATATATATATATATATATATATATATATATATATATATATATATATAGATAGATAGATAGATAGATAGATAGATAGATATATACTGTAGATAGATAGATAAAGATTTATTTGTGTAATAAATGTATGTAGTAGTACAGTAATCTTTTTCACTCAAATCCTAATGAAACACTAATGAATTAGAATACGGTAGCTGGTGTGAACAGTCGGAACAGTCCCACCACCGATTGTCTCTCGTGAAGCAAGCTTATAAATTAAAGAAAATACTTGCAGTGTGTTTAATATATTACAGTATATTATAAATAAATAAATAAACAAATAAATCGGTAAATCCATTTCAAGTAAATGGAAAATTTTTACTGACACCGACATTAGTTCCAGTTAGATAACAGGTGCTTAACTCACTAGTGTTTACACTACACCAACCGGTAACATTTGATAACATTACTTGAAGTAAATTGGCCTTATTTTAGAAAACCAAGGATGTGTAAACAGCACTGTTCAATGGGATGGTTGGTAAAGGACTACTGGGTTAGTAAGCTCCCAATGGTAAGTGTCACATTTGGGGTACCGGTCTTATACAGCGAATAGAGCTCAAAACCTACTTTTTAAATGGAATTTTTGGGTTCGTCTTATACACCCCGTCGCCTTGTAGGCCGAGATATACAGCATACTTTTTCTGTGAGTTGGAACCAATTACCCAATATCCCATTGAAATAATAGATTCGGTTAACAACCGGCTCTGTGGAACCAATTGTGTACGTTAATCGAGGGACCACTGTATATGAAAAGCAGATTAAAGAGCTTTATCAAAACATGTGGACAGCCCTGAGAATAGCAGACACTCTGGCTGTAACTGGAGCTTCAGCAGAGAAGAGTTTCTCAAAGCTTAAGCTTATCAAAACATACCTAAGGTCTACAATGGCTCAGGATAGGCTTACTGGTCTTGCTGTCATTAGCATGAATAATGCTGTCGGGAAGCAAGTGTCATGTGATGACATTATAGACGATTTTACTTCAAAGAAAGACAGGATGCAAAATTCTAGATACTTGATTTTAGAAATATTAATATGTAAATTACTAAAGGAATAATAAATTTGTAGCAATGATTTGCTTTCCTTTTGAAGAGAGGAGGGGCGGGATTTGGACGTTTTTCCGTGAGATGGGGGGGGGAGGGGGGGGCACAAATCATGTCTCGCCTGGAGCCCCTAAAATCCAAGAACCAGCTCTGACACACACACACACACCCAGAGTTCATGTAATTTTGCTGCTTTTTGCAACTGATAATTTAATTTCCATTTCAGATGTCTGATTGTAGTGTAATTGGGAGTTATACCGTTCAGTTTCTGGAGATGAAAAGCTTTAGTATGCGCCTTCAGACATCATTAGCTACACATCTTGTTCAACTTGTTACTAATATGAAGGTAAGGCAAAAAAGGATATACACTATGTGTGGTTGATCTGCATTCTTAGATTTTATTTTTTGGACATTATCTCATTGTTTGTTTCATTGGCTCTTGTTGCTTTGATAAATAATTCACCTTGAACGCCTTTCTCTTTTGTCGGATCACCAGTATGTCTTTCGCCAGGCGAGATCTACTGGTGATCTGCTCTCCTATTGCACCCATCTTTGGTCATCCTGTCTTAGGGATTATGGGGAAACTTTTGTCGTGGCTCTCGACATCTCCAAAGCATTTGACAGGGTATGGCACAAGTCTTTGCTATCTAAACTTCCCTCTTTTGGTTTCTCTCCCCCACTTTGTTTTCTCATCTCTAGCTTCCTTGATCCATGGCAGTTGTTGTCGAGGGATCGATTTCTTGCTCTTTCTCTACCAGTAGTGGCGTCCCACAGGGTTCTGTTCTTACACCAACTCTCTTCCTTCTTTTTCTCAATGATTTACTTTACACTACAACTAATTTTATCCATTCTTATGCTGATGATTCTACTCTTCACTGTTCCTCACATTTTCCCCTTCCTCCTAACTCTCAAACTAGATCTGTTTCTAGAACTGATATCATTACTTCTATCAATGCGGATCTGTGCATCATCTCTGAATGGGGAGGTACAAACTTGGTTAAGTTCAATAGTAATAAAACTCAATATTTACCAATTACACTTTATAAATTAGACGATCTCCCACCAATTACATTTCAGGACGCTATCATCCTCCCAAATTCTGAAATAAATATGTTAGGCCTCACCATTTTCTCCAATATGTCCTGGAAATCACACATCCTTAATATAACTAAAGCTGCCTCCCGAAAGTTGGGAATGCTGTACAGATGCCACAGCTACTTCACTCCTGAGCAGTTGCTTCAAGTATATAAGAGATTCATTCGTTCTAACTTGGAGTACTGCTCTCATATCTGGGGTGGCTCTTCTTCTGTCCAACTATTAGATAGGGTGGAATCAAAGGCATTTCGTCTTATTAACTCTCCTCCTTTAGTCGACAATCTCTCTTCCCTTTCTCTTTGCCCCAATGTTGCTTCACTCTCTCTCTTTTACAGGTACTTTAAGGGCAATGTTCTATTGATTTGGCATCCTGTGTACCGCCGGCAAGGCCGTGGGTTCGTAACACACGTCTTGCCCGTGGTGCCCACCGTTTCTCTGTGGATGTCGTTCACACGAGAATAACCCGTTATAGTACCTCCTTCTTTCCTCACACAGTCAAACTGTGGAATGCTCTGCCTTCTTCTGTGTTTCCATGCTCTTGCAATCTCTCTCACTTTAAAAAGCTGGTTTTCCGGCATCTTCGTGGTGTAGATTAATACAGTATAACCTTTTTTTCTATATTTACAATTTCTTTCCTTCTTTTTTTTCTTTGCCCCCCAGGCTCCATTGTGGGTCGTTTGACCTGTGCCCGGGTGGGCTAATTCCCGTAAAAAAAAAAACTTGGGTTCATACAAAGGAGTGTTAGTTAGAAGACTAGCAAAGTCATCCTAAAACTGTATCTTGCGCTTGTGAGACCACACTTGGATTACGCAGTTCAGTTCTGGTCACCTTATTACATAATGGATATAGAATTCTTGGAAAGAATTCAGAGGAGAATGACAAGACTAATCCCGGGCATTAGGAACCTTGAGTATAGAGACAGGTTAAAGCATCTTAATTTACACTCCCTCGAGAGACGTAGAGCGAGGGGCGACCTGATAGAGGTGTATAAATGGAAGTCAGGGCTAAACAAAGGGGACATTACAAAGGTACTCAAACTATCCAACCAGGAGCGAACTCGTAACAATGGTTTTAAATTAGACAAATTTCGATTTAGGCGCGAAATAGGTAAACACTGGTTTGGGAACAGAGTAGTGGATGAATGGAACAAGTTACCAAATATCATCATTAACTTGAATCCGCTGGATAGCTTCAAACATAGGTTGGATGCTTATATGAGCAATAGGGGTTGGGTGTAAATGGGACTGCCCAATATGGGTCAATAGGCCCGCTGCAGTTTTCCACCATTCTTATGTTCCTATGTTCACCCAGGCTAACCTCCACCACTCTGCCAGCTGCTCCCAGATAAACATACTCTTCCACTTACTTGTTCTTGTTTTTATCTTTAGAGTACTGTACAGTATACAGGTTTCTCTTTATCCTTACGACACATTATGTTGTTACTTGCATATAACACTTTATAGTAAATGACAATTATCTTGGTGACAACAGAGTTGTTGACAACCAGACTTATATGTCTGATTTTCAACCAAGAGAGTTCTGTTTCATATTTTTTTTATTGTTGATGTAATATTATTTTATAATCTTGTTATACACTTAAAGTTCTTAGCTGTTGAAGTGCAGAAATAACATAACACAACTGATTTTCGGACTTTCACATTTTTCGGACTGGGGTCTGCCCCAATTAGTCCGATTTATTGAGGTTTTACTGTACATAAAAATTAAGAAAATTGCATAAAGAATAAATGAACCTGACAATTTTGGGTTCTGAATTAAAGTCTCAGTAATAAATTAAGACAATATCCAGGTCTGGGTTTAAACCCTGGTTTAACTGGGTGAGGAGCTGCTTGTAGCATTAACACAGTTTATATGGGTAATGATGTATCCTTTCTCAATACAATATCAGCTCAGACATGTTGGTGGTAGATACCCTGCATATATGTCACCCATCTCACCCCTTTCACCATAAAATGGGGTTTCATAATTAAATTTTTTTTTTTTTCAGGGTCTCTTGCTGAAGTTGGATAATTCTCTGTTACCTGTTTGTAATGCAGAGGTTCAGACAGAGAACAGAAGTATGTGCTCCTTGTGTAGTTGTCAAGGGTCTGTGCATATACCAGTGGAAGATACCAAAGACAGATCAGTGGCAGCTCCTCAAGGGAAATCTTATGAATCACCAGAATTGGTCCAGTTGCTTACCTCAACACCGTTGATCCAGCTTAAACAAGAGATAACTTGTGTTTCAGATTCAGTTGCATCGGGTTCTTCTCAGTATCATCAAGTTGAGATGGCTGTAAGTAATGTGGATCTTAAAGATGTTAAATGTAAAGGAACATTAAAGACTAGTGACAATAGATTGAATACAGAATCACAAATTGAGAAATGTGTTGTGACGCCTTCACTGCATACGCACCTGGATGAACACATGGAGCTGGACTATGCTGCATCTTCACACCTTCAAGAGGAAACACAAGGAGAAATTCTATTAGACAATCTGGTTAGTTGTGGAATTTATTTATAGCACCTTCATTTATTTTTGGTTGATAGTTTAGGAATCAAGCTGGATTCCTTGCAAGACATGGAATATTTTGAATATAAACGTCATATATTTTGCACAAAATAATTTTTTTTTGCTCTTTCTAATCAAAATTCTTAGATTAGATCTAAAATTTGTATGTCTAATGCAAATTTTATGATGTTTTTATTCAAAATGATCATCAAATTGTAAGAATTCCAGCAATGTAAATTATATTCTGGCCAGGTAATTTGTATGAATTTTATGAGCTAAAACAAATATCTTCAGTAAATACAGTAAACAAATTATACTTCACCCGCATAGATGACCAAATTTACTGCATAATTAAAGCATTTCAATTCTGGCAAGGCACCGTGTAAATGACCAAGCGCATTAACCAAAACCGCGTAAATCCAGACTGCACTGTATATAGCGATAATTTTTTTTTATTCGTAAGGGAAATCAGGCAGTAAATATTTCAAATGTATCGCCATGGCAAACAAATGCGTTATTTGCTCACCAGAGGCGCCATGGCTGCTCACTCATGCATTCACGCTCGCCCTCTCAGTCTTTCTGAGTGAGTGACGAGAAAGCAGCCGATTCTGCTGCAGATTACGACTTCTAAGGTGAGTGTAAATTGGTTGCTAGTGACGTGAAAAGTGAAGTTAAGAAAATGGAAAGCTAAATGGAAAAGATTTAATATTGTAACTAATATTTTTGGTGTTCGTTATGTAGGTGTGGGATTGTCAAGTGAGGGTGGCAGTGTGGCGTCTGCTGCCGAGTCTGGTGTTCTCAGGATGGTGTGTCAGCTGCCGAGTCTAGTGTTCATTGATATTGAAATAGCGTGTTTTCTCGAGTCTAGTGCTCATTGGTACTTTAGTTAGTAAAAAAATGAACTCGTTAAGTTAAATTTAAGACACTTTTGGGGGCCTCCACAACCTAACCCTATTTTCCCCATTGATTACATGTACAGTGGTCTCTCGGTTAACAAACTCAATTTGTTCCAGAGGGTCGTTTACTCGTTTTTTGGCTTTACGCAAGGTACCAGGAACGTAACCCTCGCATAAGTTGCGAGTCTTCTGTACAATCAATCAATTATCGATGGCTTTTTAAGGTCCCTAACCCTATCGTATAACAATCATTGTCTGTATCTACCCGAAATTAAGAGTTAAAATATTTCTAACCTAATGATAATTACTGTTACCAGTACAGTATTTCTTTTATTATTATTATTTTTTGGCACTTAATGCATATAAGATTCAATGTGTATGTAACTAAATAAAATAAATGAAGAAAATTACATATATAATACCTGTAACATAACATAGAGCTTACAGGTGGTGTGCGATTGGATATATACCTGCCCGGCCCGGGGACTACTTGGTGATCATTTTAAAGAGGACTTAGGAAAACCGTATAATGAATTTCGGCTCAACACATACAGAAGATGTTTGTTATAGAGAGGCATTACTGTACTGTGGCTTATTTGCTTGATTCACTTTCTTCAATGTTACAAGAACTTCAGTTTGACATGAATAAAGTATACACACCCAAGTTCTTTTCACATTTAGCCTCCATTAAGGGAAGCGTCCGGCTGAAAATCGGAAAATTGCGAAAATATTCAGAAAATTCCTGAGGAAAGCTGATGCCTATGGCTATCTGCTGATGTATTTGGAATGTGTAATTCGTACAGGGATGTGATTTCTCCGTTTTTTTTTCCGGGTTTCGTTTTTTTACCTTTGTTTTAGGCCATCCACGTGAATCGCGTAGATCCGTTAAGAAAAATTTTAGGGGGACGGGGTGGTATGATCATGACGAGAGAAATGTTTGACAATAAATAATAATGGACTCTCTAGGGTGGATGGGTCTGCTGCGCGAGGACAATGAGCCAGTATGCTGAGTATAGTGGCTGTACACTACATGTTCATGCATTACATCATAGACTCTATTTCTCATTGGCTGTACAAAATCTAAGTACAGTAGTAGAATAATTTATTCTTTATACAGGTATTTGGCTTGGTTAATTATTTGCTGATTTATCTTTATATGTATTTGGAGGAAAAAATGGAATGTTAGGAAAAAAATTCATGCACCCTAAACAAAAGTGATAATCATAAATATCTGTATGTCACGTTCAAGTGGAGTAAATTACCCGTACTCTACATCAATTTCAACGTAATCTAGCGAGAAGTTATGGAGAAGTAGGGTTTTGAAAATTGATCGGAATATAAGGGAAAAATCAGGTACAGTATAGTCTGCATTTACGCGGTCAATTGAACCCGTGGAGGTCCGCGTAAAATGAGAAACGTGTAAAAGAAATAACAGAACATATGGGATTAATTGAAATAGAGACTGGGCCGACCCCCAAACTCCACTTTTTCCGACACAATATGTACGTTGTAGTAAAAATAGTATCTTAATTTTATGATGGTATGCACACACAATTAATATTTAAGAGAAATATCAATAATATTAGGTTTTTTAACACTTACGTTAGTAGAAAAGCTTGGTCGGCACACGTGGATGGCAGCTGGTTCCGAGGCAGAGGGCAGATTAGTTGCTCTCCGGTGAATCACTTTCACTACTCGCAGAGGTTTGCAGGGCCTCCCAGACAAACCCCTCAAAGTCCATATCCTCACTGTCACTATCACTGACTTGGGCTGGCTGTGGTTGTGGTGGGTTGCGGGCGAAGAAGTCCTTAATACTACATTGACGACTAGCATTGATGTTGTCGAGATAGATCTGGATATACGGCTCCATAACTTTCGTCAGATGGTTATTAGACTCTTCATGCCAATGCTTGTCTGGGTCATTGTCACGGATGAGCTTAATTTTCTCCCCCAACTCGATGATTTCCTTCACATTATCATGGCTTCATCCAGGTAATTCAAGGTTTTTCTCGGGTGGTGGGGGTCCAGCGGAAGCCATTGTGAGGGGAATAGCGGGCACAAGAGAGAACTGTATATGCGGACTGAGAACAATGAGACTGACCCGGCTAGGTCAGCGACTTCTACCCTCTGGTGGCAGGGCACGTCATGTTACATTAGACCAATCACAGCTAGCGGCGGAGGGAATGCGTGGGTGGTAAGGATGCGTGGCCCAATCACAGTCCAATACGTCAGTGATGTCAGCGATAACGTAAGAGCGACCTAATGCGCACCACTCACCGCACCGCTTCCCGAGTATGGTCAAGAATGGACCACGTGAGTAAAAAATGGCGTGGCGCGTCTGCACCTCTCCAGCCGCTCGCCGCGTAAATGATGAAATTTACCGCGTAATTAAAACATTTCATTTTGGCAAGGCACCGTGTAAATGACCAAAAGCGTAAAAAAAAACGCGTAAATCCAGACTATACTGTACCGTATTAGGGATTAGGCAGAACCGATTCAGGAGTACAGTGGTCTCTCGGTTAACGAGCACATTTCGTTCCAGAAGGTTGCTCATTAACCGAAAAATTCGTTAACCGAAACCATTGTTTCAATGGGTTTTTGGGTAATTAGTCGAGCTCACCGAAAATTGCCTAAAATCAACAAAAAAGGTAGTAAAGTACACTTACTTTCAGGTGTGTATGTAGAAGGCTCCTGGATGATGATGATGATGATGATGGGCATTAGAATGGGGGTGGAGGAGAAGTCACCCCATGACACCATTTCACCCATAAAATTTTAGATCTCTTGGTGTAATTAAGATTATTTTCTTTAATCAACACTGCACTGCATTATATATTGTCAATATGTAAAATAAATTTCAAATTGACCAATAATTTGCTTCGAAACACAGAAAAAAAGCATTTAGTTGAAGAGTGTCTCAAGCAAGATGTTACCTCCACTGAAAAGACACAAAGACTGACGCCTGTATGCTGTGTTGGCAGGCGGGATGGCGTGCCACAAACTAGTGACCCTACCTTCAATTATGTTCAATAATTGTTAAAATGACTAAAAAATTTAATATTAAACTTTTAAAATGATTGAATAGTATAAACTTCTTGATATTTACTAAAAGGGTAAGGAATTTAAGCCCTAGAACCGATTACTGTATTGGCGGACTAATACTACAGCTGGTGGACCGCCAAATGTAAGCTAAAACATGTGGAGGTCGGCTCGTAAGAAACTCGTTAATCGAGGGATTGCTCGTTAACCGAAGTTAAGAATCTTATGGAAGGTAACTCGTTAACCGAAATCTCGTTAACCGAGGGACCACTGTACTGTACAGTATACTGTACAATAATAAATAATAAACACTAAAATATTTTAACGCTTAATTTGAGGTGTTTAATGTCTACATTCAAATTAATCGCTATCTTGCAAGGATTCCAGCAATGCAAGATATATTCTGCCAAGTTTAGTCTGTGACATTTTATAAGATAAAAACTTTAAGATTAAAACTACCTTTACCGCTGGGAAGGGAGAGGTGAGGTGTTGACAGCCAGGCAGGGGGGATGAGGGGTGGGGCGGGTGAGGTGAGGTATTGACCAGCAGGCTGGGAGATTGCCCAGTGCGTAGTTATCAGTCATATAGAGGGAGTTTAAGTTTTTCGTTTATATAATGTCAATGAATTGACTTGGCAGAATATAACTTACATTGCTGGTATTCTTGTAAGTTGGCGATTAATTTGAGTATAAAGATGCTATAGTTTGCACTAGACATACAGTTTTTTATTATTATTTAGTACATTTGAGTACAGTAGTACAGGTTTGTCCTGAGGACACTTATTTCTTTTACTTTTTTACAGTATGTATTTAGGATGGTGTGTGCATGTATGTATTTAGGATGGTGTGTGCATGTAAATGAGTAAAAATAAATGAAGAAAGCTATGTATGTCTATCTAAAAATACAAGTTGAAAAACTTGTACAGTACTCCCGCTTTATCGACGGATTTTTTATCGACGGTTTCGATTATCGACGGATAATAAGCCTCAATCATCACACTGGTATATACTGTACACTGTATTGTTTACTGTAAGGACCGATGTTCACTTCAATAAATGAAATCGTAAGTTTGCTAGTATTTTTGTCCACTTATTATATTATTATTTATACACTATTATTTAAGGTTATGTGTAAAGGAAACGCATTAATGCTTAAAGGTACATTTATTCAACATATGCTAATAATAGTTAGAAAAATTACGTAACCATCACGGTATCGACGGCCGTCAACAGAACGTAACCCTCGTCGATAAAGAGGGAGTACTGTACTTAAATGTACTACTGTACATTAAAGTACTCAAATTTTTATCTCTTGTGCAAAATAAATGATGACCATATTCAAATTAGTTGCTGTCCTGCAAGGATTCTAGCAATGCAAGTTATATTCTGATGAGACACAACTGACACCTCGCACCTGCGTGGGTCAAGCTTCGGCCACGTCGGGTCATGTTCAGCGTCACTCTGGGTATGTCGTGCACACGAGTGATGTTCCACGAAAACTTTAGGTTTTAAGAGCCCTTTGGATTTTGTAATTGCGGATAAGGGATTGTGGACCTGTATTATAACTCAATTTGGGGGGGGGGTGGGTGGCGTTTAGCCCCTTGTCGCACTCAGCACCTCATATATTACATGTTGAATTGATATATATTATTGTTTTAAAATTATTTTCTTTTTTCTTAAACAGGAAGGGTCTGATGGAACTCAGCCCAGTGGGTTGATGTATTCTGTATATACTATGAACCCCTGTGGATCCCTGCAGTTAGTAAGTAGAGTTCTCAGTAAAAGTTCTTCATCAAGAGATTCACTGGATGAGCCAGTTGAGAGAGCCACAATAAGAATAAATAATATGAAGGAGGATGACCACAGAACTCAGTCTCAGCTTGAATCCCTTACACTAAGAGGAGAAGAGATTCAAACCTCTGAACCTGACATTAACCTGGAAGAGATGGTGGTAGCCCCAGACATTCTGGGTTTTGAAGGTATTTTATATCAGATTTGAATATTATTTTATTTGTAATTATCATCGTAATTGCACAGCTTGTATTTTCTTCACTAATGATATAACTTAAGAAGCTACACTTTCTGCTTCACTTCAGTACTCCTTGGAAGATTATCTCACAGCTTGTTCTTGTGTGATTTCCTTGAACATGTTACCATTTGTCATCCAGTCATTTAAGTCATCTCCAAAAATTGATAAATCTATTTTTTCTTTTCTTCTTCTTATTATTATTTGTTATTTATTCCTCACATTTACTGGCACAGGTAAACCTCAATAAAAGATGTGGTTAGATTCCTGAAATTCCCATCGCTATATGAAATATCGTAGATAGGGATCGTAACATGGGGTTCAATGGGATACATTCCCAGCTAGTCCCCAAACACACATGTATCACCAACAAAAATATTCTTACACTGATAAAATCAATAGAAACCAATTAAACAACACTCACCACATCATAATGAACAAGCCTGGTCATCATCACATGTCCCTTGTGAGGCCAAGGAGACTCTTGTAGGTGGAGTGGAGACGTCACTCTGACTCCCACACAGCCTCTGGGGAGTCTCATGATGCTTCACAATGTCAAGCTTCACCTCAGAGACACGGTTGTCTTGGATGCCTTGGCCTTCCCAGACATTTTCAAAGTTACACTGCTCACTTGACAGTCACAGAAACAGAGCAAACCCACTTGTCACAAAAACAGAGTGAACAATGATAACAACAGAGGCGAAGCACTTTACAGTCACAAAAACACAGAAAATATCATTTCACAGTCACCATAACACAGTTCAGTCTTAATGATAGTGCTGTCCTCTCACTATAAGAAAAAAATACCGATGGTAAGTACAATGTACATACAGCCAACGATGGTGAACGATAATTATGGAGCTACATTATGGCGGGGAGATGTGATTGACACAGTACCAAGAGCAGGACTGTAGTGCGCGGGTTGGCCGTGTGGCGGCGCGCGGGTAGATATTGCAGCGGCTCACAAGTGCAGTGAGATATGCATGGTGCATAGGGTTAAATATTGTTTCTATATAAAATATCACTGACTTGACATAAATGAATACTCTGTATACAGTAATTTACATTGCTGGAATCCTTGCAAGACAGTGATTAATTTGAGTATTGTATTGTTATGCATGGCATATGCACAGTGGTATGTTGCATTGTGCATAGTGAAATATTTTTAGGCATGTTACCCTCAATAATTATGTGTGATCAGGGCTGGTACTTGATACATAAAAATTTTCTGTATGTATGTAGGTATTTTTGCTGCTTAATATGAGAGTTGTTTAATATTAGTGTTAGGTTTGTAGTCCCCTGGAATATGGAGCTTTGTCAGTCATTGGCAGGCCTTGGAGGTGGAAGGACATTTGAGTTTGTCTGTGGTGGATACCTTTTCAAATCTGGTTTAGTTGAGTGTTATTTTACTGTATGCACCGGCGGTCAGTAATATACAGTCGGCCGTTAACATACACGGGGGTTAGGTAACAGAGATACCTGTGAAGGTTCAGAATCCGCGTATTTTTGCTGCCCCTTCCCCCCCTAAAAACACCCCTGGCCCCCATGTCCTTATTTACCGTATATACCTGTGCGTAGTTCGAGTTTTTAAGACCAAAGTTTTTGGCAAAAAATTGGGGGTCGACCTCTAAACGGGTAATAGTTTCGTTAGGTTGAAAAATATTTACCAGTAACTACCAGTAAACAATGGAAACGACGCACCACCAGCTGTGAGTATCGGTACAGTTGCCAGGGCAGATCTCTTGCGTCGTCATAGCTAGCCCAAAGTGGCCAGATGCATGGTATGGTATACACAGGACGATGTAAAACAAGTACAGTAGTACCCCGATTTACGCGGCCAATTGAACCCACGGGGTACCGCGGAAAGTGAACAACAGAACATATGGGATTAATTCCAATAGACACTGGCCCGACCCCCAAACTCCACTTTTTCTGACACAATACCTATGTTGTAGTAAAAATAACATCTTAATTTTATGATGGTATGCACACACAATTAATATTTAAGAGAAATACAGTCGCCAGGTTAATGTCCATTCAAATAATGGACTCAAATCCCCCCCCCCCTCTTCCCAGCTCACTAGCTCCTACCTCTCTGAGAAATGTTTGGGTGAAAACACTAGATTTTAACGTTTGGTAATAAATAATACCTCAGACTAAAGTTAGGATAATATAATTGACATTTCTGGATTCCTTGCAGGTCAGGGAATATTTTGAATGTAAACTTCATATATTTTGCACAAAAGATAAAATATTTGCTTTGTGTAAACCAAATTATTACATAAGATCTAAAATTTGTATGTCTAATGCAAAATCCATGATGTTTATATTCAAAATGATCATCATATTGTAAGAATTTCAGCAATGTAAATTATATTCTGGCCGGGTAATTTGTATGAATTTTATGAGCTAAATAAAAAAAAAAATTATACTTCACCGCGTATTTGAGTAGATGCACCGCGGAAAGTGAAAGTCTGGTTCTGGTAAGGTACCGCGTAAATGAGAAATGGCGGAAAGTGAAACCGTGTAAAGCGGGTAATACTGTAATAATAAAGAACCATAAAGAAATACAAATTGAAAAAAAATTTAATGAGAAACAATATACAGTATGTATGTTGTGTTGTCAGTAGTAAGAGAAACAATTGAGACCCTGCAATTGTGTGTAAATGAGGCAAAAAGTCAGATCAGCAACCTGGGACTTGGTCACAATTTTCGTGATGCCATATGACAGCAGGGTCTACTGTACAGGTATACTGTATACATAAATATTACATAAATTATTTCTGCAATTGTTCACAAACAAAACACATAAATCAATTGAACATGTGATGTCAAACGTGAACTGTAAACACTGCATAACCCCGCGCCAAGCCACAACACTGTACAGTACAATTTAAACGCTACGTATTTAGTTTTTCTCTTTTATTTAAATTTTTACAATATATATATATATATATATATATATATATATATATATATATATATATATATATATATATATATATATATATATATATATATATATATATTATATATATATATATATATATATATATATATATATATATATATATATATATATATATATATATATATATATATATATATATATATATATATATATATATATATATATATATTGTAATTTACATATTATTCATATTATGCTAGAGCGCCCACAAAATGTTTGAGTCCCCCTGTAGAGATGTCCGTTCTCTACCCACTTCAGGATGTCTTAGTCCTCCGTTTTCTTTTTGTGTACTCTCTCAGGGACTCAAGTATTTCTGTATATAACATAGGATGATAAGGGAATTTGAAATTATGAGTGAATGAATTTATTATACAGTGATCAATTAACATAGTTTTGATGTGTTTAAGTAGTATTCAGGCGCCTTCAACCTAGTAATGTTACGATATTCGTATCACTCACTCTAAACCACGAATTCCATCCATACAGAGAGAGAGAGAGAGAGAGAGAGAGAGAGAGAGAGAGAGAGAGAGAGAGAGGCCAAGCGCTCTGTTTACATCACACACACATAAATATTACATAAATTATTTCTGTAATTCTTCACAAACAAAACACATAAATCATTTGAACATGTGATGTCGAACGTGAACTGTAAACACTGCATAACCCCTCGCCAAGCCACAACAACCGTTCGAGTGGAATCGCGTTAGAGCAAACACGTTTTACAAATATTGTTCCTCTATTCATCAATCGTGTTAAGAGCCAATTCGCGTTGTCAAAACACGCGCTATAGCAGAACTCACTGAATATTTGCTTTTCTCGGGCTTTCGCATTTTTCGGACTAGGGGTCTGCCCCAATTAGTCTGATTAATTGAGGTTCTACTGGAATGAAAATTTTTTTCCTGTATTTGTTAGCAACGTATAGTTGAAATGACGTATATCTGTATAATGTACAATGAGGGATTTGAGGGATGGAACCCTCTCATGAATTGTGTTCTGTATGTTAAAAAACTGGCCTGATGTCTCACCTGAGAACATGAGTATGTTTTGTTGCCCAATTTTGAATCTCTAGCAAAACATCTAAATGTTATTGTTTTTGTTTCTTAGATTTTGGTTTTCAAGATTAACCTTTAGGCCCCGGGCGACGTTCCAAAACGTCCGCCTATTTTCCCACTTTTTTTTTTTTTTTGAAAAGTTGATTTTTTTCTTCACGATTTAACCCTGCAAGGTGGGGGGGGGGGTGTGTCTGCCAGCAGCACCCTAACCCGGGGCTTAAGGGTTAACGAACCTGTGGGCTGGTGACTTGACAGCATGACCTGCTCAATATTGAATCAAGATGAAGATAGAGTTGGTACTTATAATGCTTTTGAATTCACTGTACAGTATATGCTTGTCTCACATTAATGAAATGTCAATTTTTCAGAGAAACAGTTGAAATCTGCAAGTAAAAGAAAATCAAGAAAAATTGTTGCTTCACAAATGAGCCCTGCGGGAACAATACTAACTGACATTGTGAAGGTTTGTATATTTAGACAGTAGAATGTGATAAATTGTTAAGGTTTGTATTTTTAAACAGTAGAACCACAGAAATTGTTAAGGTTAGTGTATTTAGAAAGTAGAACTTCAGAAACCAGTTGTCTGGCAGTCAAAAGACACTGATACATTTTGAAAATGATGAAAACATAACAATAATATCAACTTGGCACCCATGAAGAGAAGACAGTGTAATTTGAGCCTTTATTAGCTGTGCCTGATCCCTTCATATGATGAGTTGTCAGTTGGGTTTGTGTGTGACAGTGATTCCTTTGTTATTCGGTGGATTTGTATTGAGTAAAAATGCTTACCAAGTGGTCAGTATCAACTACCCCAGGATCTACACAATAATGAAAGTGAAATTGTTCACCTATTCCACCAAGAAAGCTACAGCCACATTTGGTTTCTATGATTGTGAAGGTACTGTAGTTCATAAATACATTTATTTTCACAAATATTTAGAGGTCAGGATTTAATTAAATTACACTACAGGTAGTTCACATTCATTGCAAGGGTATTCTGGTGTTGAAAACCTATACAATTTGTAAAATTGCAGATATGATTTCCCCATATGAAACAATGTATCACACTCACGCACACACGCACACACACACGCACACACACACACGCACACACACACACACACACACACACACGCACGCACACACACACGCACGCACTCACTCTCGCACTACTATTACATTTTTTTTTTTAACGTGGCCTCCAGCCTCCCCCAATAGCCACACATTTGCCGCCATTTTATTACCTTAAAATTAAATATCCTCATACATAAGTAGTTACCCTAGCTTTGTTGAGTTAGTTGAGCCGCAGATCTATGCGGCATTCATTGACTGTTGCCTCTTAGTCAATATCTGCAACTGTTGCCGGCTTTGGGGCCGATGCTCTTGTTCCCCTGAGGCAGAGCAAAGCAGACATAAGGAGAGAGAAGGACAGTTGACATCTCATCCAGGCTGTAACATAACTTTTAGGCTGACGCAACAGTGTCTGTTACCCGGCATAGTGTTCCGCACTTCAGGCGACAGTTGCGTCTGCCTCCGACATGTGCTTTGGTCCCATACAGAAGACGAAACTAGTTCTTATGAGGAAAGGGTGGAGAGGTGACAGGCTGGACTGCTCTGTCCGGATAGTAGGGGCATATGTGCGCGCATGGGTGTGCACTATTGTGTAGGCCACCCCCCTGAGGGCGACAGTCCAGACATCAAAGGGATACACTGGGAGCAAGAATTGTCACATCTAACACTTGTTTATACATCCTTGGCAGAAATAATCACTATTTCCATGGTCGCACTGATGTAGGATTAGTTATACATACAGTGAGTTCTGCTATAACGCGTGTTTTGATAACGCGAATTTGCTCTAACGCGATTTATGAATTCGGAACAATATTTGTATAACGCGATCGCTTGTTTGCTATAACGCGATTTTTGCTTACTATTTCTCCAATTTTGTGGTATTAACTGTGAATATGGTAAAGAAGAATATCTCCAAAAAGCATTCTGATGATAGAATTCCCGGTGATTATCGTAAAAGAAAGGATATAACACTTGAAGAGAAGCTTGATGTTATCAACCTCAAAATCACCCTTCTCCCCCATCAAGTTACATTCATATTTTTTCAAGGTAAAGTGTTAAATTTACTGTATGATTTCATTATTAGATATGAATGTAACATTTATTTAGACTGTGCTATCCTTTGTGTTAGGCTAACTACTAAATTTTTTCGATTTCGAGTAATCTGCACCTAACCCTATTTTCTCCATAAGCCCTGTTATTTCTATTACGCGATTTTCTATAACACGATATTTTACAAGAACACAATTATCGCGTTATAGCAGAACTACCTGTACTCAATTGGTTGGCTGTCACTACATGAAGTGACCGTTACTTGTGGGAGGCGACGGCAAGCGTAGAACACTTGGCCTTCTGTCACTGACTGTAGGGGAGAGAGTCGCGAGGCCACCCTGCAAAAGTAGGCCTATCAACACTGGCACCTGCACCAGCCGTCCCGCCAAGCACTCACAACTCACTTGGTGATCGCCGGTGAACACAAGGCATATTTGCGATTAATGACATAAGGGATGAAAAGAACCTTCGGTGACAATGCTTAGGGTGACATCCAATATTCACCGACACACTGTGAAATTCCCGCTCCCACACTCAGAATATGTCCCCTCCAATAGCACTTTAGATCACGGAGGACACTCCACCACACCCACGCCGCGCTGGCAGCCTACTACTACTACTACTACTACTACTACTACTACTACTACTACTACTACTACTACTACTACTACTACTTCTACTACTTCTACTACTACTACTACTTCTACTACTACTACAGGTTGTACCTCTCTAGTCCGGCAACCTCGGGACCTGACCGGTGCCGGACCATGGAAATTGCCGGACCATGGAAATTCACCCTTTTCCTGGGTAGATAGTGACTTGTGCTTATGCTTGGAAGCACTAGCACCACTTTCTCTGCATCATGGTCTCTTTGAAGACATTGAAGGGTTAAATATCGTATAGTAGCTTCTCAAATTTTGCGAGTTTTTAATTCGACGTTTTTTTATTTGAACACACCAAAAAACAAAACAATTTAAAATTTTGACAGCGGAAACTCGAATTTCGACGTGTTTGAACGGCCCACCAACGTTCAGACGACGTGCACAATCATGTAAACCGTCATTTCTCTTATGTACAAAAGATTCATTATTGTTTATTACTGAATGTCTTTTTGAATGAATTAATGTTTGTACGGGTCTTGGAGAGTTCACTTTAACATGTTTATTATTTTCTTTTCAGCTGGGACCTGAAGACCTTGGGAGTGCTACCTGGTGTGCAATATGTGAAAAGGAATTTCCTTCTGCAGGAAGTCTTAAAGTTCATCTCTCACGTACACATAGTCAAGTTAAATGGTGTCATACATGCACAAAGGTTAGAAGAGTTTTAATTTTTCAAAATATTTTTTGAGGTGCAGAAGCATAGCAATAATATTCTACGTTACACTGTATGTTTTTCTTGAATTTTTTACCTCACTTCAATTTTCCTCACTTTTTCATAGTTGCTAATCATATTTGGGTCTATATCTCCTCTTCACCCTCTTATTGGTTATTAACAGTAAATCCTCGATATATCCTACTTCAATATATTGGAATTTGCCTTTTTTGGACTCTGAGGTGCTTTAGTCACCAAAAATACTAAAAAAAAAAAAAAAAAAAAAATTGAATGAGCAACACATTCTCACTGAATACTGCACAGTGGTTTAATCAGATTTTCTATAGGCCTACTGAAAACCAAGACACTGACCCTGGCATTTCAAGCACCCTCGTCCATTGAAGAGGGTCGTCGTATTTCAACCTCTTCAAAGGAAGAGGGTGTTTAAAACTTAAGGCGTGAGTATGTAAGTGGGCTCGGGGGCTGATCGGGTGTTGCCGCATCTGTCAGGTTTATTTATTTATTGATTCAGTATTATATTTTCATATGATTTTCCTCTTATGGTTTATCATGATTAATATAACATCTTCAGTAATAGAGAAAAAATACAATACTGTATGTAATTTGTAATATGACTTGAAAATAAGAGGATAAGCTGTATCAGAAGGCTGTTTACTCAGGATGTATTCGTGTGAGAGCTTTCAGTAGACCAGCTTACAACAGGGGTCACTATAACACAATGTTTAGTATTTGATATGAAGATATCTTCCGAACTTCGTTATTTACTACCTTCAAGTGATACATGATGGCTCGATTTAGGTACTTGTACACTTAACAACTGCTTAATAAATAAACCAGGGTACTGTATATGCATAATACTGTACTGTACACTACAATATTACTTATTAGGTGATGATAAATACACTGCAGTAGGATTTATTAAATGGTGGTAAATACACTATAATATTATTTAATAAGTAATGATAAATACACTACTCTGTACTCTGGAAAACAGCTAACCCTATCAACTGTTTGGACTTTGTAAACAAATGAGTCATTGTATTGAGTGTGGGATTTTTTTTTTCAGGAAAGTTGATTCTTTTAGGATAATTGTAGATAGTAAATTTAAGTTATTAAAATATAATAAAAAATAATAATATAATTACCTAAGCTAGCCCGGTATGCTTAAAATAGCGGTACCCAAGAAAACGTGATCACCTAAACTTTAAAGAGGTACTTAGCCATTATTTTAGGGGCTGCTATGAGTTGAAGAGAGTCTTGGAGGAACTGAGAAGCTAGAATATCTCTGGATTGCCGGCTGTCTGCTAGATTTTTTAGTCACGTCTGCCTCCCATGAAGTGTGAAATGAGGATGGTGTTTCTACCGCCTTGTACAATTCCGTGACCCAATCGCGCAGTGATACATAAAACAAGAACTAAATATTAATTTTTATTTTTATTTACAAAACTATTTCTTAATAGAAATACATATTTAAATTTTAAGTTAACTACCGCCACCGATATTGTGTAAATAAAACGATATTAACGTGATCCATAGAGAAAGAGGAATACCGCACTACTTCCCGTCTTGCGGGTGCCAAATAGTGTTATTACAGTGAGTTCTGCTATAAAGCGTGTTTTGACAACGCGAATTGGCTCTTAACGCGATTTATGAATAGAGGAACAATATTTGTATAACGCGAACGCTTGTTTGCTGTAATGCGATTTTTGCCTACTATTTCTCCAATTTTGTGGTATTAACTGTGAATATGGTAAAGAAGAATATCTCCAAGAAGCGTTCTGGTGATCGCATTCCCGGTGATTATCGTAAAAGAAAGGCTATAACCCTTGAAGAGAAGCTCGATGTTATCTACCTCAAAATCACCCTTCTCCCCCATCAAGTTATATTCATATTTTTTCAAGGTAAAGTGTTACATTTACTGTATGATTTCATTATTAGATATGAATGTAACATTTATTTAGACTGTGCTATCCTTTGTGTTAGGCTAACTACTAAATTTTTTTTGGATTTCGAATAGTAATCTGCACCTAACCCTATTTTCTCCATAAGCCCTGTTATTTCTATTATGCGAATTTCTATAACACGATGTTTTACAAGAACACAACTATCGCGTTATAGCAGAACTGACTGTACAACCAAGTCTTGTACACTCCATGTAAGCATTTCCCTAACCTAACTAGCTAATTAAATCATTAATTAATTAGCAAATTACAGTGATATCCCTGTTAGACGGAACAATTGGTGCAGAGCACTTCCGGGGATGAGAGATTTCTGGCTAACCGGAAGACTTTCCTAAACCCTGAAAAATCGCCCATCCCCGGAAATATTTCCGATTACTGGAAAAAACTTTCCGAGTGTCTAAACTAAGTATCTTGCACAGACAAACACTAGCCCACATCCTCAGAATGATATGGTCGTGAATGAAGCTGTGTGTTACATCAAGGACTGATATTTTCCACTACCTTGGACCTGTGGGGCATTAGTGGATCTCGTGTAACTGACCTGACCTGACACAATGTCAGGTGGAGGTAGGGTGGGGTATTAGTGATCTCATATTACTGACCCTTTGATACAATGTCAGGTCACCCATTGTTGGGTGGGGGATGAGTGAGTCTGAGGACCTGAAGATGTCTTGAATAAACATGAAAGATAAAATACAGTATTTTTTATACTTACACTTATCGCATTATATCCCTTCACCATTACCTTACTTAAGATTTTTGAACGTGGAGTGAGAAAGCAGAAAGGCGTGGGTGATTAGAGAGATGGAGTGGAAAGAAGTGGTAACATGCACCAGTGTTGCCAAGCGCTAAGCTCCTCAACAGCTGTTCTCTTAAATCACCACCACGTAGTTAACAACGCATAAATTTATGTCATACAATATGGGGTGTGTGGGTGGTGTTAGGGTGTGATGTTGTGGTATTAATTAATAAATAAGCAATAATATTGTGTCGTCAATAACAGTCGTTTGATGAATAGTAGCGTACTACATTTGTTACTACTATTCATCAAACTACTGTACTGTCATTAACAATACAATATTGTTTATTTATTATTCATTAACTAATACCCCAACACCACATCATTCACACACACAACATCTAGTTTACAGTCTTTTGTGTGAGACACTGAGTTGGACGGAGGCAAGGGGAAGGCAAGGAGGCTGGCACTCCCCTTTTCACCAATGATGAGCCTCTTATGGTGTATGTTTTATCATGGTTAATATAAAATATTAAACACATTAGCACAAATTATTACAGTAAATATATCTTTAATGATTAATCAAAAAAGAATAAAATATTTTACAATAGGAATGGCAGGCAAGGAGAGGAGAGGAGAGTAGGGGAGAGGCAGGAACCATTTTGTGGGGTGTGCAGTCAGTTCCCTCCCTCCTTCCCTCCCCAAACCTCCAACACAAGAGGACCCTGGAACATGACGCAATATTCCGTCATGTTATAGCACAGTTCATATAAGGAATAATAATCATCCCATAGATTGGGAAAACAGTTTAGAAGTGTATAAATCACCATGTGTCACAGAAAGTTTGATTAGGGAAATGAATTCTATAAAGCTTAGTGATGGTCAGTACAAAACTGATATGTTACACAAATTTATTTGTCAGTGGTCCAAGGTTAAAAATGCTTTGAAAGCCTTCGAGGTAGATGTACGATAGATGATTAGTGGGTCTCATATATGTTACATGACTTGACATGATTAGTTACATGGCCCATTCTTATAAGCTCCTCTTATATGTTTGCGATGGTGGTGGTGTGTGGATTAGTGGATGTCATGTGTTTGACCTGACCTCATGTTTTGTAAGATCACCCTGTGTACATAAGCCTCTCTCAGTCTCAGTCCTTGTAATTCAGTTGCCTTTGAAGATTTTATAGCACAGTACAGTCAGTCCTTGACTTACGACAGGGTAAGAGACCGACTACCAGGTCGTAAATCGAATTGGTCGTAAGTCGAAAAGGCGAAAATAATACATAGTAAATCTAAAATGGGTGTCTCTTTTTCTTCTCAGCACCACGAGAACTCTCACTTTTACGCTTGCCAGCCATTTTAAAGGGAATTACAAACGAAATTTTGTCAGTACACAGCATGATCACTAACTCCGGGACTCTAAAATACTTAATTTGAAAAATATTGTATACGACTGCGGCGGTCGTATGTCCGGATGGTCGTAAGCCGAGTAGGTCGTAAGTCGAGGAGTACCTGTATTTAATATTTTATATTAACAATGATAAAACATGCACCAGATGTGGCTGATCATACAAGAATATATAATATAATAAATGTTGGAGGTGTGTATCGCTGTACTGTATTGGTATTAATAGCTGGGGCCCTTTTCTGGAAATTTGTAAAACACATTAATGGAAATTAGAAATTAATAGATTTATAAATTGCAAGAAGTTGGATGGTCCATCATTATTTTTATTTTTATTTTTCATAAATACTGTACAGTATTATTATTGTTATTATTTTATTATTTTATTTTTGTGTATTTTTTATTATAAATTTTATTTACTATGAATTATTATTATTATTATTATTATTATTATTGTTAATAATAAACTTTGATAGTTGCTTTATCATTAACAATTAGTTCTAGATTTATATCTTAGTAAAGAAAATATTAAAGAATCAAATTGTTCATATGAACTCCTTGTATTTCATTGGGAATATACGAGATTGTCAAAAAGTTCTCAGAATGTAGCTATATCATTTATTCAACATCATTACAAAATGGCTGACCTTATCAACCTCAAAATACTTCCTGTCCACACCCTCACTTGTTTCAGCAGTCTTGCCACTGTTGGAAGCACCTCAAAAAGTCCTCATTTGGTATAGATCACAAAAAGTCCATCGTGTGAGCTGTAATATCATCCACCAAGACGCTTCTTCTTGAGCCCCATTTTCAGTCCCAGAAACAGCCAGAAATTTCACGGAGAGAGATCTGGTGAATATGGTGGCAGGTTAATGACCGGTATCTCCTTCTCGGCCAAGAACTGTTGCACTGCTAAGATGGGACTTGGTGTATTGTCATGATGCAGGAGCCACCCGTTCCTCTACTTTTCCAGTCGTTTTTATCGAATTGCGTCCTGCAAACTAATCAGCACATGTGTGTAGAACTTTTTCAAAGAGGTATTTCTATAGGCAGTTTTCAGGTTTTGAAGGGTTTTCACCACCGTTTTCCCGAGTCTGCACATTAATTTAATGATAGCGCAGTGTTCAAACGGGACAACTTGATGAGCATCCACCGAACACCAACACTCAACTGACACAATTACACTGATATATCTCAGCATGTTGGCACCTGATTATACAGGCTTATACCCTCTACCGCCTGTTTATTATGTTCACGCCAGTTTGCACATGACTGCAATTCTGGGAACTTTTTGAGTCAACCTTGTTTAATCTGAGTCAGAAATATGTTAAATTCTTTGTGCCCACAGTTTAAGAACCACTACTCTGCAGTATATTTTACCAGCATTTAACAGCATTTTAATGTACAAATAGTTAATATACCGGTAATGTATAAATAGTCATTTGGACAAATGGACAAGATTTTTTGTCTCTCTGAAAGCTTGTAAGTAGAATGTTAGTAAGTACAAGAACACCTGTATTGTAATTTTACAATATTTTTTAAATTATAGCCTTTACAGTCCCAAGATAATGTGAGAGGTTAGATGGTTATTGTATGTTCTGTTTGACAGACAATAAATTCCGAGGAAGAGATGTGTGACCATGTTCGTGATTGTCATGGAAACCTTCCCTTTATCTGTGTTGTGTGTGGACAGAGTTTGAGAACAAATGCTGCCTTTCAGAGACATATGGACATACACAAGGGGCTACGGGGAAGTGCCTGTGAGGTAAGTGCTCACATTTTTAGTGATGTTATTAAGAAAAAATTTCCACCAGGTGGGAAATGTAAAAGAGATTAAGTAATGTAAATTTGGTACAATAAGACCTTATCCAACATGAAGGTTAGGTTCCTCGAAAACGACGTGTTAGGAGAATCCACGTTTGAGGAACTTTATATTTACTGAGAAAAATAAGACTTGTGGAATGCCACCACATAAATTCTCACCAGCTGACTCACAGATGTGTGGCTGCCACTGTGCCATGCTGGCTGTGTGTATGACGTGATGTCACATCGAGAGGGAGTGCAGCCACACAGTTATAGCCATAACCCCTCTGCCTCAACACATTCACTTCCCACATTATACACACACTGATGCTCTTCATTTTTCTTATTTTATAGTTTTATATTATATTTTCTTTATTTCTAAGCCACATTAGAGTATTGTAATGATTTTCCAGAACCTTAATGGTTTCATTACAAGTACAGGAACAATATACGAGGCTGTTGAGTCAGCCAAACAATAATTAGCCAAGGCTTTGGTTATAACCGCCTCCACACACGCTCACTTCTCACACATACACACCCATATTCATCATTTTTCATCTTTTATATTATATTTCTTTATTTGTAGGCCACATTAGAGTATCATAATGATTTTTCCACAACTTTTATGGTTTCATTACAAGTAAAAAAAATACGAGACAGGTGGGCTACTGCTGCTGCACCCAGGCCACTTTGTAACTTATCAACAATTTTAATTTTCTTTTCTAATGTCATCACTTAACAGTTTTTCTTTACTCCACCATCACTTGGGGATAATGTATGTTTAGGAGCCATACTGTTTAAAGGTTTGTTCCCCCCAAAACAGCTATTTGCCCAACATTGGACCACAGAGCATGGCTTCAGATTTTCTCCCTTGAAGACCATTGCCATGCATTTCACCCGCCTTCGAGGTGTTCACCCAGATTCTTATCTACAGCTCTATGGTCGTCGTGTGCCATGTGTCACAAAGACCCGTGTTTTGGGTATTATCTTCGACAACCGGCATAAGTGGCAACCACATATTCATTACCTCCAAACCTCAAAACGTCTTGCCAGCGTGCTCTCAAGTTATTGAGAGTCTTGTGGCACATGTCATGGGGTGCTGACTGAGGAACTCTGCTACACCTTTACCTCATGCAAGTTAGACCCAAACTAGATTATGGGCGTGAGGTGTACTCCTCAGCCACTGAGGCTAGACTTAATACACTGAACTCATTTCATCATGCTGGGGTGCGCCTGACGACCAGTGCCTTCAGGTCTTCGCCAATCCTGAGTCTGCTAGTTGATGGTGATGAGCCGCCCCTTGATCTTCAACATCAGTACAGTTGTACCCCGCTTAACGCGGTTTCACTTAACGCGATTTCTCATATACGCGGTGCCTCGCCAGAACCGAACTTTCACTTAATGCGGTTCATCTACTCATATATGCGGGAAGCGGCGCGGGCACGATGCGCACAAGGTTGCCCAGTCATCAAAACATTACCGAGTTCTTCACCCGCCACCCACCACAGCCGGCCCAAGCCAGTGATAGTGATAATTATAGTGAGGATATGGACTTTGAGGGGTTTGACAAAGAGGCCCTGCAAGCCTCTGTGGTGGATAGTGATACAATTGATACCAGTGATACAGGTGAGGGCCAATAATCTGCCCTCTGCCTCGGAACCAACCCCCCATCCCCGTGTGCCCAGCCATCTTTTCTACTAATGTAAGTGTTAAAAAACCTAATATTATTGATATTTCTCTTAATTATTAATTGTGTGTGCATGCCATCATAAAGTTAAGATAATATTTTTACTACAACATAGTTGTGTGTCGTCAAAAAGTGGAGTTTGGGGATCGGCCCGGACTCCATTTCAATTAATCCCATATGTTATGTTATTCACTTTACGCGTTTCTCACTTTCCGCGGTACCCTCCGGGTTACATTAACCGCGTAATATGAGGACCAACTGTATATATATTTATATAACTGTTTAAAGATACCAAATTAAACTGTAAGGGTGCCACTTACAATGTGATGGTCCTGATTAGACCATATTCCTGTTAATTCTTATGGGAATTAATTCCCCTTTATAAGTGGTTTAATTATCAGTGGCTTCTTTCTGGTCCCTATAACCATTTATAATGAGGGCTCCCTGTTGTGTAAATAGTAATAACATAGTAAAACAGGTATCCTGTACCTGCAAATTAGTGTTGTTTACCTCATACTATTGTGTCACAAACACACCATTTCACACACATTCTAGACTCTTCCTAGCCCTTGTGTTGCCAACCTGTTGTAAGGATATGCATTTATTTCCTGTTTATATCATGCATGGCCTGTTTGAAAGACTATAATTTTTTTATTTGCTTTTTAAATGTTCTCGAGTATACCCGTTTTTTTATGGGGGGGGGGGTGTATGCTTACCATAGCCTGAAGCCCAGAGGCTAATAGAGACAAACTAAAACATAATTGATTTTCCTAGGGTTCTATATCTGCCTAATCTTTGGGGCTTTTGTACACCTCTTTCATTCCTTGCTGGCTTTTGATTATGAGAACGGCTTAGCTTATGGTGGTGTGCAAGAAATGAAGGATTGATCCTGAAATTCTATTTTGTAGCATAGCCTTTTGCCAGATGTGTTAGATACTTTAGCTTCATAGATTAGTCATTAGGAACTGACTTCATAGATGTTAATTGGCCTGAAGTCAATATAATGCATAGAAGTTCAAGTGCAATAGGTATAGTGACTGAGCAGGCAACCTTTACACATGATCTCCTCCATTTGGGGGTGGTGATGTGAGAGGGCAGGTGAGTGAAGCCCTTAGTGCAGGGTTTCTTAACTGTGGTCCATGGAGTGGCTTGAGGGGATCTGTGAACCGGCCCCATGAAGGATGGTTACTTCTGCTCAGAGGGCCTTAAGTTGAAACATGGATTTGTAATCCTTTCCTTGCTGACATGGACTGTATCAAGGATGTAGACCTTGCCAAAGATGAGTTCATTGACCTGAGGACAAAGAAAATAATACAACATGATTTCAGCTAAACAGCTGGCAAAGCGAGCTATGGGAGCTCTGAATCTGTTTACTACTACTGTACAAACCTTTCTACTTCAGAGTTTCTGCATTTGTTGCCATGAAAACGAAAAGTTGAAATTGATTGCCTGTCAAAAATGATAAAAGACAACTCCACAATTTCATGTTCTTATTCAAGCCAAACAACAATAGCCTTCTTATTGAAATTATCTTTTGAGCAGAATTAAAATTGAATTTTGGTTTAATATGCACAATTTGGATATACAGAGTATTTAATTTTTTCAGGGAGTGGCCATTAAATTTAGCATGAAAAAAGAGTGAGGGACATAATTCTTTGTAAAGATTCTATTTATATTATATTTATGACTATGTGAAGAAAATATCCTTCCAGTGCAATAAAATATATTCAATGAATACAAAATTCTGTGTTTATATAAATTTTCTGGGAATGGGGTCCATAGCTTTCAACAGATTCTCATGGGGTCTGTGACTCAAAAAAGGTTAAGAACCCCTGCCTTTGTGCCTCAGTAACCAACCTGTAGTGTGAGAGTCAACTGGTTATGAGCTTTATTACAAGATGGGGTTTCTGGATCAGTCATTCATATTTTCTCCTTGTTTTACAGATTTGTGGCCAGACGTTTTCTCGGACAGAGTATTACCGAGAACATAAAAGGATTCATACGGGCGAAAAGCCATATGAATGTGACACATGCAAAAAAACTTTCCGTAGATCAAGCAATTTATACACTCATATGAGAGTAAGTAATAATGCCTTTGTATTGCACATAGATTGCATTGATTATTGCTGTATTTTCTTTATGACTGTTATCTGTATTCTTTTTTTATCTTACAGTCATGCGCCGGTTAACGTCCTCGATACGTTCTTGGAAACGTGACGTTAACCGAAATGGATGTTGTCCGATCATCACATAAACTTTTTATTTATACTTATGTGTATGTGGAAAACTATATACGTACATATACACTTTTACTGTTAAATCACTACTGTAATGTGATACAGGTGATTAATTTTTATCTCTTGAGCAAAATACATTACGTTTATATTAAAATTATTCACTGTTTTACAAGGATTCCAGCAACACCAAGCAGATGGGGGAGAGGGTGGGAGCGAGCGAGGGGGCGTGGGGGGAGGGGAGGTAGTACGTTTGACAGTTGGCACAGGCCCAGGTCTAACGCGTGTATATTTATCAGTTCTAAGGTGACTAAGCTTCTCTCTTATAAAAATCCAGTGAAATGACCTGGCTGAATATAATTAACAGCTGGGATTCTTGTAACATACTGATTAATTTGAATATAAACATGCTATAATTTGCACTAGACAAAACATTTTTAGTACCGTAATCAAATTAGTACATGTGCACTCCAGCTTTGCACTAACGTCATTTATTTCTATTACGTTTCTTTTAGTATGGTGTGTGCATGTAAATGGATGAAAATAAATGAAGAAATCTATGTAAATCTACCTAAAAATACAATTGAAAAACTTTTTTATAAAATGTACTACAGTACTATACACTAATGTACAAAAATATTTATCTCTTGAGCAAAATATATGACATTTATATTCAAATTATTGGTTGTCTTGCAAGGATTCCAGCAATGCAAATTATAATTTAACTTTAGTCTGAGATATTATATAAGATAAAAACTGTAAGCCTAAAAGCCTGGCTGGGGGGGGGGTAGCCAGCCATGCCACCCAGCGAGGGGTTGGTGGGGGGTGGGGGTGTTGAGGTGATAAGTTTGAGGTGAAGGTCTCTGTGTGTCTCTGTCTGTTGCACAGAGTCGTTCATTAACCAAAAATTTCCTTAACCGAATCCATTATTTCAATGGGATATTGGGTAATTGGTTCCAGCTCACAGAAAAGTACATACAAAGTAAAGCCAAAAGCTCATAAAGTCAGAAACACTTCTAAAATTACCCTAAATCGCCCTTAAATCACTACAGTATACTCTGGATTTACGCGGTTTTTGTTTACGCGTTTGGTCATTTACGCTGCACCTTGCCAGAATGAAATGTTTTAATTACGCGGTAAATTTCATCATTTACGCTGGTGAAGTATAATTTGTTTACTGTATTTACTGAAGAGATTTGTTTTTAGCTCAAAATATGTAATTTACGTTGCTGGAATTCTTATAAGATGGTGATTATTTTAAATATAAACATCATAAACTTTGCATTAAACTTACAAATTTTAGATCTAATTTAAGAATTTTATTACAAAGAGCAAAAATTTTATCTTTTGTGCAAAATATATGATGTTTATACAGTATCACCCCGCTTTACATGGTTTCACTTTCCGCGATTTCTCATTTACGCGGTACCTTGTCAGAACCGGACTTTCACTTTCCGCGGTGCATCTACTCAAATACGCGGTGAAGTATAATTTTTATTTTTTTTTAATTTAGCTCATAAAATTCATACAAATTACCCGGCCAGAATATAATTTACATTTCTCAGTGAGGTAGGAGCGAGTGAGCTGGGAAGAGGGGGAGGGGGGATTTGAGTCCATTATTTGAATGGACATTAACCTGGCGACTGTATTTCTCTTAAATATTAATTGTGTGAGCATACCATCATAAAATTTAGATGTTATTTTTACTACAACATAGGTATTGTGTCGGAAAAAGTGGAGTTTGGGGGTCGGGCCAGTCTCTATTGGAATTAATCTCATATGTTCTGTTGTTCACTTTACGTGGTTTTCACTTTCCGCGGTACCCTGTGAGTTCAATTGACCGCGTAAATCGGGGTACTACTGTATTCAAAATAATCCATGTCCTGCAAGGAATCCAGCAATGTCAATTATATTATCCTAACTTTAGTCTGGGGTACTATTTATTACTAATCATGTAAGCATACTGTTTACCCCCAAACATTTCTCTGGTAGGTAGGGAAGGAGGGAGGTACCCAGTGAGCATGGGAAGAGGGGGGGAGGTGGGGTATTTTGATTGATAGATAGTGTCTGGGTGAAGTATAATTTGTTTATTTACTGAAGATATTTGTTTTAGCTCATAAAATTCATACAAATTACCTGGCCAGAATATAATTTACATTGCTGGAATTACAATTTGATGATCATTTTGAATATAAACATCATAGATTTTGCATTAGACATACAAATTTTAGATCTAATGTAAGAATTTTGATTAGAAAGAGCAAAAATTTTATCTTTTGTGCAAAATATATGACATTTATATTCAAAATATTCCTTGTCTTGCAAGGAATCCAGCAATGGCAATTATATAATCCTAACTTTAGTTTGAGGTATTATTTATTACTAAAAATGCAAGCCTACTGTTTTCACCCAAAAATTTCTCAGAGAGGGAGGAGCCAGCGAGCGTGGGAAGAGGGGGGGGCCGGGAGTTGAGTCCATTATTTGAATGGACATTAACCGGCGACTGTATTTCTCTTAAATATTAATTGTGTGTGCATACCATCATAAAATTAAGATGTTATTTTTACTACAACGTAGGTATTGTTACGGAAAAAGTAGAGTTTGGGGGTCGGCCCAGTCTGTATTTCAGTTAATCCCATATGTTCTGTTATTTCATTTATGCGTTTCTCGTTTTACGTGGGCCTCCACGGGTTCAATTGACCGCGTAAATGCAGACTCCACTGTAGTCCAGAATGCGACGTCTAGCTTCATTCCTAGGTATGTTAATGCCTAGCAATAACTCGCCAGGCCAACATACAGGCAATTAAAACATCTAATAATTACTTAATGCGTAATATTAGGAGGACACGTCGATACCTGGCATTTAATTGCAATTCTCAAAACCCCCTCCCGCACCCTCCATCACACGCATTGCTACCCTCATCTCTTGTAGAGCGAGCTGTAAACACATGTCAACTCTCGAGGGGTGGAGCTGGGTGGGATGCCAACGTCGCATTTTGGACTATATCACAAAAAGTGGTATTTCGAAAAAAACGGCTTTCTGTTCAATCCAGAATGCAATGTCTAGCTTTGATTACCCAAGCAGGAGGTGGAGAGGGAAGTGACTTTGCATATAAGGCCTCGTTAGCTTAGGTCCAGATGATAATTATAATTTTTATTTATTTATTTTTTAATATTTTCAATATTAGGAACATTTACCGGAAGGTAAAATGTTAGTTTACATATCCCAATTAGGATACTCACTTTACTCTGATGAGGAAGAAGAAGGTCCTGGTTGTGGAGAGTAACTAGGTGTGGGAGGGGACCCCAGCACCACCACATGTGAAGCATCTTCCAGAGATAGATGAAGATAGCTGTTTTGAAAGGTTTTTGAAGATTTCCAAAAGCCCACTTCTTTGATCTGACTGAGGCTCATATGCCGCAGAAAGGCCACAGACCCTGCATATTTCTTGGTGTCATGTGCCAAAAATTTCTTACCAGGGTCTGCTTTACTCACTAACTGAGATAAATATTTTGTCATTTGATTAGGAGACAATTTCTTACCATCCTGCGATGAGAATACATAGGGGCTTCGATTAGGGAATCTGGTTAACCATTCTTGAAGAGTCCTAACTGGGCACAATATATGAGGAACCCTTGTCTCATCCATCAGCCATTTTGTCGGTAAGTTGAGCCCTAAAATCCTCCCTTTCATTTTTTCTTAGAATCTCCGTAGGAAAAAGGGTGACATCTTCCTCAGAAAATACCAATAATGATGGATTATTGGAAATTGAAATCAGTTCACTGATTCTCATACCTGATGCTGTTGCTAGAAGGAAGGCTGCCTTCTGGAGCAATCTGTCCCGGTTCAGATTTATATTGAAATTAGGCCCCATAAGAAATTTAATAACTTTATCTAGAGACCAAGGTGGGATTCTCTTAGGCCGAGGAGGTCTTCGAATAAAAAAGGACGATCTGAGCCTTTGATAAATTCTTGGGTTCAAAGTAATATTAAAACCCCATGCCAGAGGGTCAACCAATGCTAATTTATAAGATTCAATTGTCGATCCTTGAACATCTTTAACTCTGAACAGAAAATCTAAAAATTCTAACACAACTGTTTCCGACAATGTGATTGGAGTCGTTCACCAAATAAATTGTTGAAAAAGTTTCAAAGCTTTCTCATATTACATAGAAGTTTGGGGCCTATGACCTTCTATCACTTGGGTAACGATATTAGAATTACCCAACAATCTATTTAAACATCTTTCGAGAAACTCCAAGCGTGAAGTGCCAAGGATATCTCGAACTGAGGGTGCAGTACCTGTTCTAGATATCCTTGTTGCAATTGTAGTGGATGCTGGCACCAGTCCAACAGATCGAGACACCACGGTTGTAGGATCCAATATGGTGCAATTAAGAGGACCTTCCCTTGGAAGGATCTGAGTTTGTGAACCACTTTGGGAACAGATACATTGAATTCCAATGGTTCCAATCTATGAGTAGAGCATTTCCTAAAAGATTCGATCATTCCAGAGATGCATAAATTGGAATCTTGTGATTGTTTTGTGAGGCAAAGAGATCTATTTGTGGAGTCCCAAACCTCCTCACTAGACTCTTGAACGTTGATATATTTAGGAACCATTCTGTTTCCGTCGATACTGGCGTGAGACGGGACAACGCATTTGCCCAATTGTTTTATACTCCCGGCATGTGAGTTGCTTTGAGGTAAAGTGTTTGTGTTACACAAACTTTGAAAATTTTTTCCGATAGGTTTAGAAGAGGCCAAGATCTGGTTGAGCCTTGATGATTGAGACAAAACACTGCCGTTCTGTTGTTCATGGCAAACAGAATCTTCATGTTTTTGAAATTTGGGTTTGCTAACAAAAAGAAAGGACTACTGCTAATTTTTTTATGTTTATATGTTTGTCCCAAAGGGAGTTGCTCCACTTCCCTTGACGGAACTCTCCTTTTGAAGAATGGTATCCCCATCTTTTTTCGGACGCGTCTGTACAAACTACCAAGTCTGTATGAGAGGGAACCCAAGAAGATTGAACCGATTAGATTGTCCCAATTTTACCACCAAGACAGAAGATTCTTGATCTGAATAGGGGGAGAGGAAGCAAAATTTCTGTTTCTGTGAAGCAAATTCGACCCCAGATGAGTTAGATGCTTTTTCCTTAACTTTCTTTGCACAAAAGGATTCTACTTGGTTTATCACATCTGTTACCTTTGCTCCTGGTAGACTGACTGACTGCTGATTTGTGTCCCAATGGAGACCTAACCAATCCAATTTCTGACATGGTGTGAGATTGGATTTGACCTGGTTTATCTTTAATCCTAGGTTTTGAAATAGTACTAGTGTACGTTGGGTCGCCCTTTGACAATCTTCGAAAGAGTTTCCCGCTATCAGCCAATCATCTAGATAAGCAAAATTTCTTATGCCCTCCTTCGCAAGGGTCTCTCTGGGGATGTTTGCCAGTTTTGTAAACACTTTTGGCATAATTATCAGGCCGAATGGCATCACTGTGAATTGATAACTTACATCCCCCACTGAAAATACTAGAGACTTTCTATACCTGGGAGCAATAGGCATCTTCGAGATCCACTTTTGAGATCCAAGCATTGGGCGGAAGTAGATGCCTCAGATGATCGTAAGTGAGCATCTTGAAACTTTTTCTGGTATTGAACTTGCTCAGGACAGAAAGATATAAAATCAACCTCAAGTTGTCACTGCCCTTCTTGGGGACTGGGAATAGGCGAGACATGAAACATGTCTCTGACTGCAACAGTTCTATCACACCTCTGTTTAACAGTTGAATTACAAATTCTGTGAGTAAGGGGGTTGGTTTTTGACCCCTTTTTGGTAAACCTAGGGGAGGGCGCCTCAACCAAGTCCATGTGAGGCCCCCTTTGATTGTCTTGTAAGCCCATATGGAAGAAGTCCACCTGTTTTCCCAACCCCCTAGACGACCCAGCTGTGTGGCTTCAATGGGAGGGAGTGACTGCTGATGTGGTGGAATAAGGTCTCCTTCCACTTCTGAACAAACAGACACCCTTACTACGTCTTGAATTGTTTCCCCCTCTAAAGTTTCCTCTAGGTTGATAACTGAACCTAGCAGCTGGTCCTGTTCCCCTGTTAGACCTTCCTCTTTTAAATTTCCAAAAGGTCTGAGGACTCCTGGGAACAGTAATATTAATAGCTTGCTCAACAGCTGATCTATACTTATCTAATGTTTGTTCATCAAACAAAGCAGGAGAAAGAGGGGAAGAACGTAGCAATAAATAAGCACAGGTCAGTGCATGAATGGAAAATGTTAGAAAGTCCTGAAAAGATATGTGAACAGTTTCAGAGGATTTAATAAGATGAAGTAATTTCTGAGATAAGTAACAAGATAGTGGAGTTGGGTAAACATGGACATGACCAGGCTAAATGTCCACTGGCTGACCGCATGTAAGGCGTGGATGTTCTCTACACTGTCCCTCTCCTGGTTTGATGACTGTTTCGTTCCCGATGTAAAGAAATTCTGTGAGCAACAGAATGTGCCATTCAAGATTTTGTTGCTGCTGGACAACGCACCAGGACACTCGCCCCTACTGTTAGATCGTCACCCTAACGTAAAAGTGGTCTTCCTTCCTCCCAACACTACGTTTATATTACAGCCCATGGACCAAGAGTTAATCTGCAATGTAAAAGCTGCATTCTCAACAAAAAAATTCCAGCTCCTGAACGACTACACCAACACCAGGGAAGAGTTGCGTATCCTGAGTGACACCACCACCGATAGCAAGAGCGAAGAAGACGAGGATCAACAGTTGGCAGAGCAAAAAATACTTTTCAAACAATTCTGGAGAATATTTAACATCAAGAAAGCTGTGGACTTCTTGGTGGAGGCATGGGATCAGCTGTCTGTAGCAACTGTTCGTCACGCATGGAGACATGTGTTGCAAGGCATTCCGGGCGTAAGGCAGAGTCAATCTGTGACTGGTGAGGTTCAGACTGTTACAGTAGCAGTGGACCTTGCCAGAGAAGCTGCGCAGAGTGTTACAGCTGCAGGCTTCTCCGAGACCACCAACGACGACATCCTGGAGGTGATAAGGGATCCTGATGTGACTACCGACGAGATGGTAGATGATGATGACGTTAGTAAAGAGGCAGGTGGTGCGTCATCCCAAGAAGAACACTGCTTATCCCACAGTAATGTTAGGGGTGCCATCGAGTGTGTCGAGAAAATCAAGCTCCTCCTTTCCGACGACCATGACACAAACAGGTATGAAATCGTCACTACCCAGCTGTTGCAGACTATGGAGCCCTACATCAAGGATTATCACGATAACATAAACACCAGCCGTCAGCAAAGCATAACAGAGTTCTTCGCCCGCAACCCACCACAGCCAGCCCAAGCCAGTGATAGTGACAGAGGTAGAGACAGTGAAGATGACTTTGAGGGATTTGTCAGGGAGGCCCTGACAAATGTGGATGACAGTGATGGTGACTCACCTGAGGGCCAGTAGCCTCCATCCCCGTACGCCGACCCATCTCTTCTACTAACGTAAGTGTTCAATCTAACTTTTAGTTTTCCTAACCTAACCTTTATTTTTATTAACTTAACCTTTCTTTTTCCTAACCTAACCTCTTCTATATTACGTGTGTGTGCATACCATCATAAAGTTAAGATAAATTTTTTACTACAACATAGTTGTGTGTCGTCAAAAAGTGGAGTTTGGGGGTTGGCCCGGTCTCTATTTCAATTAATCCCATATGTTATGTTGTTCACTTTATGCGTTTCTCACTTTCCACGGTACCCTGTGGGTTATATTAACCGCGTAAAGTGAGGGTTGACTGTAATATGATTTTATAATGCTTATCATTCATATTTTTAATTGTTTATTGCATTTTAGTTTTATTATTATCATATTTGTGCATCATGTAAACGTTTAAAAGGTATGTGCGGCCACGATCCTGCTACACCGTATATCCCATAAGAAGTTAAATTTGCCCAACGCACCATTTTTGAGAAACCTAACCCCTGCATTGGGCGAGGATTAACTGTACCCCCATTTAGTAGTCTGCATTATGAGAAGCTGCCAGACTATGAGCTCTGACAGAAATGGGTTTTCAAGATAATTGATCCATTTTTGTAAGTTTTAATAAATGTTCTGAAAATATTTTATAAATATGACTTTTTACAAAGTCTAGTATTATATTGCACTTCTTCTTCCAGATCCACAACATTGAGGAACAACGCCACATTTGCAAAGCTTGTAACAAGTCATTTGCTCGAGCTGATAAGTTGAAGGACCACATGATTCGTCATTTACAAATAAAGCGTTATGCCTGTCGATTATGCCCAAAAGCTTATAATGAAAAAAGAGACCTAACAAAACATCTAGAAAAAGTACACACAAGCCATAACAATGTTGATACATGACAATTTGTTACAGTAGGAAGGTCATATATAAATCTCAACCATACTTTGCATGTTTGATCTTGACCATCAGTACTGTATTGCTGTTTTCAACTGGTACCCAAGTACTCTTTATATTGTAAAGTATTGAAGTATGGAAAATGATCATCATAGTTAAGTGCAAGATGTAAACTGGGTGTTGTAGAGTCTAGTTGTTGCAAAGAAAGAATAATTTAAAGTTGAAAAAGACAACGCAGTTTGTTTATTGCATCTCTTGATTCTTCCATTACAAAATAGAACAAAAATATTATCTACCTCCTAAGTTACTTTTAAATGCCAGTTGCCAATCTTTCTTTGAGACTTTGTATATATACTGAAGGTAAAAAAAAAAAACAGTATTGAAGAATATAAGTAAAGTTTTGCTGCATAATGTGTACTATTTAATTTACATGCCCTACATTAGTAATGTTCTGGACTATCATTTCTTGGACATAAAAAACAGAATGGTACCCTTAGCCAGGTTGCTTTAAATGTGGGGTGCATACAACTTGTCACTCTACCAGGTTAAAATATTGATCCATTTTGCATTTAAAACTTTTGCAAATGAAACTGGAAATGAATTACCCTGTATTATTTCACATCTTGCTTGAGTTTGAAACTCGCATGTTTCGAAACTAAAGATTTATTTTACACGAGCTGTTGTTCGCATGTTTCGAAACTAAAGATTCATTTTCACGAGCTGTTGTTCGCATGTTTCGAAACTAACGATTCATTTTCACTGGCTGTTGTTCGCATGTTTCAAAACTAAAGATTCATTTTTCACGAGCTGTTGTTCACATGTTTCGAAACTAAAGATTCATTTTCACGAGCTGTTGTTCGCATGTTTCGAAACTATAGATTCATTTTTCACGAGCTGTTGTTCGTCTGTTTCGAAACTAACGATTCATTTTACATGAATTGTTGTGAGAGGCCGGCAAGGCAGGCCGTCTCACTTAGCCTGGACCTGCCATGCCGCTGACACTCGTCCACTCTGTGAGTACGATTAATAATTAATATATATGTATATAGTGTGTTTAGTAGAGAAGTGGCATACTTAACTGGTGCTACAAGTAAATACCGTAGTTTATTTAGTATGAAATGGAGGACGTGTTCAGACTTTCAGCTTTTTATGTATGGAGTGGCGGAGTTGCTGCAGTGTGGTGGTGTGGTGACCTGTGTGGCCTGCCACTAGCGACCTAGCTACTGGTATAGCGTGTTATCTCGCTTTGTGTGTACCATTAGTCCACTACAGCAACTTCTCAACCTTGTGCTCACACCCTCAATGATGGGTGCAGCCTCCAGTGTAACCCTGTGTACATGAAGTCCAGTTGGCCGGAGTTGCCAAGTGACACCAGGCCCCACCTCTACCACCCATGATTTATATTTTGCATGGTCTCCTTAATATGCTGCCACTATTCTTAATTTATTATTGTTGATACATTTTTTTTATAATTATTTTTATTTTTCCTTTGGTACAATCATTCATAGTTGAGAGATAAATGCAGAGTTAATCATAAATAATTGGTGTGAAGGTGTAACAACCTTTTAACGAATGCCTTGACAGACCTGAATGAAGAATTAAAGGATGTGGTCCACATTTTATATCTGAATAATGAACAAGTGTCATATGAGAGTCATTCCATTAAAACACCATTGGCAGAAACTGCCCAGACCTAGAGGGCACTATCAGGGTAAATTACCCAAGTAGACAACACAGCGTTGCTCTGTTCAACAAAACCTGGATCAAATCATTGCCTTGAACATCTATCTCAGTGGTTACTGGGAGAGCCAATGAGGCTTTAGGAACATTGGGTTAAAACCATGAAATAGGCTAAACCATTCAAAATTCATTGTTATCAACAGGACTTCATGCTTATACTTTCTTCAGTTTTTGCCAATGTTGAGCAACTTCAGAGGGAGTCTCAAAATGCTGACATTATTTCCCTGCCTCATTTACAGCACAAGAAGGTGTTAACAAAGCAACTACCCTGTACTTGCAAAGCACAATTTAAATTATCAGCAATAAAAGAAAAGTATCACTGAGTAGAATATTCACTGAGTCTTAAGTAAATTGCCTCCAATACTTCAAGTTTTAGGAAGTCTTTCCTTAGACCAGTGGTTCTCAAACTGGTGTGCACACCATTTTTATTGGATGCACAGCACTTGATCAAATTATCACAGATATCACAAAAGCAGGCTCAGTTGATGGTATTTGTGAGGTACTGTACCAATACAAAGGAGATAATGTATTTGTGAACATTTTCTTCTCTGTAAGCTGTTTCTAAAAATGAATATGAGTACAGTATACTCTCGATTTAACAGAATCCGATATACCGAACTTTCGATTCAGCGGAAGGAGTTTTTTCAATTATTTTTCACTCGATTTAGTGGACTGATTTGCTAAATTGAGGCTAATTCCATTAATACGCTCACACCTATGGAGACACCTCACACACACGATACAGCCTACAGCGAATGTACTATATGTATAAAAACGATAAATAATGATTGAAGATTCTCCCCCATTTTAGCAGCGAGTATTTAGGAAACTGTTACCAGTTACATTCTTTTACGTTTATTCTTGGATTATGTACTCTTAATATGATATACGTATATACTGTATATATACAGTGAACCCTCGCTTTACGCGGTTTCACTTTACGCGTTTCTACATTTACGCAGTACCCTGCCAGAACCGGACTTCCCACTTTACGCGGTGCATCTACTCATATACGCGGATGAAGTATAATTTTTTTATTTAGCTCATAAAATTCATACAAATTATCCGGCCAGAATATAATTTACATTGCTGGAATTCTTACAATTTGATGATCATTTTGAATATAAGCATCATAGATTTTGCATTACATACAAATTTTAGATCTAATGCAAGTATTTTGTTTACTCAGAGCAAATATGTTATCTTTTGTGCAAAATATATGAAGTGTATATTCAAAATATTCCTGGTCTTACAAGGAATCCAGCAATGTCAATTATATTATCCTAACTTTAGTGTGAGGTATTATTTATTACTAAAAATGTAAATATACTGTTATAACCCAATCATTTCTCTGGTAGGGAGGGAAGGTGGGGGTGAGGGGTAGGGAGGGAGGGAGGGACCCAGGGAGCAGGTGGGAAAAGGGGGGGAGGTGGGGTATTTTGATTGACAGATAGTATTTCGGTAAGTACCGGTATATTTTGTTTATTTATTGAAGATATTTGTTTTAGCTCATAAAATTCATACAAATTACCGGGCCAGAATATAATTTACATTGCAGTTATTCTTACAATTTGATGATCATTTTGAATATAAACATCATAGATTTTGCATTAGACATACAAATTTTAGATCTACTTTAAGTATTTTGTTTACTCTGAGTAAATATGTTATCTTTTGTGCAAAATATATGACATTTATATTCAAAATATTCCTGGTCTTACAAGGAATCCAGCAATGTCAATTATATTATCCTAACTTTAGTCTGAGGTATTAATTATTACTAAAAAGGTAAATATTCTGGTTTCTCCCACACATTTCTCTGGTAGGGAGGGACCGACCGACCATCTGGCGAGGTTGGAAGAGGGGGGAGGCAAGGTGAGGTACTGTGATTGACAGATAGTGTCGTGAAGAATATTTTTTTTTTTATTAACTGAAGATATTTGTTTAACTCATAAAATTCAACAAATTACCCGGCCAGAATATAATTTACATTGCTGGAATTCTTACAATTTGATGATCATTTTGAATGTAAACATCATAGATTTTGCATTAGACATACAAATTTTAGATCTACTTCAAGTATTTTGTTTACTCTGAGTAAATATGTTAGCTTTTGTGCAAAATATATGACATTAATATTCTAAATATTCCTGGTCTTACAAGGAATCCAGCAACGCCAATTATATTATCCTAACTTTAGTTTGAGGTATTATTTATTACTATACCTTAAAATCTAGTGGTTTTCCCCCAAACATTTCTCAGAGAGGGAAGAGCCAGGAGTGTGAGAAGAGGGGGAGGCAGTTGAGTCCATTATTTGAATGGACATTAACTTGGCGACTGTATTGCTCTATTTCTCTTTAGTATTAATTGTGTGCATGTACCATCATAAAATTAAGGTGTTATTTTTACTAGAACATAGGTATTGTCGGAAAAAGTGGAGTTTGGGGGTCAGCCGGTCTCTATTTCATTTAATCCCATATGTTATGTTGTTCACTTTACGCGTTTCTCACTTTACGGGGGCCTCTGTGGGTTCAATTGACCACGTAAAGTGTGTGTGTGTGTGTCTAGTAACGTCAATATAATGCTCTATTAATGTGTCCATGCCATTGAGTGACTAATAAATAGTTGTACTTAGAATTTGTGTTTAAAAAGATTTCCCCTAAGAATATATTAAAAGTTAAATACCTATTCGGCCACTCTACCAAACTGTCCTCACTTTACAATCCTGCAACTATAAATTCTTACTTTTACTTTCTACCTAAGATCCCCCTCATTACAACTTATTATTATAAAATTGTGAAATAAAAAAAAATAAAAAAATCTTATTTTTAGAGTACAGGGATTAATAATATATAAATACTATAAAGACTGGATTTCGGGAAACTGCTTTTGAGCTGCAGAAAAAATTACACTTACTCTCAGTTATAATTCTATAACAACGTCTTAATAAATATGAACAAGTTTGAACCTCGGTTGAACATTTACTCCTCTTTTATGAAAATTTAGAATACACAGACACCCCATATTATTATCAAGCAAGTCATTACCACAGCAGAAAAACACTATCATACAGGGAATTATTTCCGTGTTACAAATAATCCGTACAAACTTCTTTAAGTTCCTTTACCTTATTTTGTATTAAGAGTATATTAAGAAACTTGGTCAGTAGACCTGTATAATAGAGTGTACAGTATATCATTTTTAACTTTAGGAGACAGTTGGCCGTGTCTGAGTCAATGCGTACTTTTGTTGTTTTTTCTTTTGACGAATGATGTTCACTTTGTTATAACACCACAATTCAAAGCTAACTGTAATACTTTAATTCCTTATGGCCTCAATTTCTCTTCAATCCAGTTCCTGTAATGAGTGACGTAGGTGTAGACGCCAGGTACACTCTGTTGACCACAGTTCGTTGGGCCGTAAGACACGACACCAATTTGGAGGTATGGAGGACCTGTCGGCCCCGGCAATATCAATGGTCCGCCAGAGTCGCTCCCGCATGAGTCCTGTCCTGCCCGACCTCCTACACAAATCTAAAAAGCAAAGCAAGTTATACCATAAAGTAACACTCTGGGAGGTGCAGATAACAGTGTGGATCAATATACTGTTTGATAAGTTACCAATATTCAAGTTATGTTTACAAACTTCAGCATGTATAAGAGGTCAGTGGATGACACTTAACATATTAGCTGTAAGTCGTGAGTTGGTAGAAAGACACGAGAGGGTGGGGAGTTTCTTAGACAAGTGTGAAGAATGAAAGATGTGAGCAACAATAAAGTTCAAATAACTAGAAATTGTGGGGTGTATAAGTGTCTTGATAAACAACATGTAACAACATTACATGCATGAGTTGTTATCTCACTATGTATAATTTACACTCATTCCTTAATGATGCTTTCACAGGGAAGCGTCTTATATTGTACACCATATTAACTACATGGAATCATTTATGATAATATTATCTATTATGTTTAGATTAATAAACACAATTACTTACTTGTTCATTAACTATATCTCCCCTGTAGGTGGCATTGCACTGTGAACGATCTACAAAGGGTAATTCAACATGTAACAACCTATTACTTTTAGTTCCATTCTCAGTGAAGCCCCACCCTGCTGCTATAGGCTCATTAGTAGATAGGTTCGTCACGTCAATATTTTGAGGAGGCAGACAAACCGCATGAACCCAAACTGGAGGAACAAATCAAGGAAAATACATTATTATCGTAACCTGCAAGTGGTTAAGGTTGGTAAATATTAATTTGCTTTATGTAAAAACTTTATAATAAGGTGTTTTCCTTCTCATCCTCAGTCATTTGTAGGAAATTTCTTAAACAAATATTGCAGCAAGTAAAAATGGGCAAAGTTGATTTACCTGAGAAATAATATATTTTGTTATTTTTAAACATACCCAAGATTTATTTTGAAAACAAAATGAGGTTCCTCACATTAAATAGATTTTTTTTCTAATAATTTGCCAGAATCAACTGGATTTCTATAAAATCCTTAAATCCATTAGTGATTTTTAAGACGGCACCAACTTCCGTTCACTTACATCCAATATCAATGGGGCTGCTGACTCGGATAAGGGCAATGTCATCAGAAAACTTTACTCTTGTATTATAGTTCGGGTGAGGAATGATCTCTTCTATAGTAAAATCTTGAACTGAGGGAGCGCAAATAGCAGGTCCAATATTTGTTCGGGCACAGTCCAGGTCGGTGGTCAAGTCCCATTCTCCAAGTCGGACGACTTCTCTGTAATAAATTTTAGCAAGATATTGGTGCTGCAGTTAAAGCGTGCTGACCTGTAATCTAAGATTCCATTCAGATTTAATAGAATTTATTGTTTGGTCAATTTGACATCACACTGAATAAATTTTCTAATAAACCTTTATGTCATTTAAATTTATTAAATAGTATATTTATACATGTTATTCATACAAATTATTAAAAAAAATTACAAATATTTTTACTCATATTTAATAATTCATCGCAATTAGAAATGTATATATTCCTACACCAATAAATTATACAAATATGCACATATGGAAGTATTGACTCTCTTGTAGCTTCAGTCTCCTATTCTTTATTACTCAACCAACTACCATACTTACAGCTTCTTGTTTCCTAATACAGACTCCAGTACGCAGTGAGCAGCTGTTAATATGTATCTTTCGTTGATCACTGACCCACCACACAGGAACTCTGTTGTTGAGGATCCCACGGCTGAAAGGTTTATGGATGAACTAGAAAATGTAATAGTCAGGGTTTTTCATTAGTTGAAAAACATGCTTTAAAAGAGATAAGTCTTAGCTGCTTGGAAAATTTAATAAGGTATAATAAAAAGTTTCAAAGTCTGGCAGTAGACGGAGAGAAATAAGCCTCAAAATAACCCATTGCAATAATTATATATTTGGCGTCAAAACATGATACTGACTGTTTCTGTTCTTTTGTTTCACCTTAACACAACTCATGATGTATTGCTTCCCTCCCTTAATATATTTATGTATATCAACACCACTGTATAATGTACTTACAGTATACAGTATTATAAATTTAAGGAAAAAAGAAAAAAAAGAAAAAAGTGATAACAGTGGTAACATTCTGATACGTTCTTACTAACACCATGTTATGTGAACTATTCCAGATGATACTAAATGTAACTTGATACTTCATTGAGATAAATGTACAGTCTATATTAGGTGCCATTAAGAGAGCTCAGGCTCTCAATTGGCTCATCCATGCCAATAATGTTATTTTTATCGACTCTGTATCTGAATTTTTCTGGGTAAATTAACTGTTTCAATATCAATATCCTCAGACTATGTATTCACAGTAACACAATTATGCGCCGGCACAGTTGCTTGTCGAGTACTTTATAGTCTACATAGAGACGGGGAAAAGAGGCTTTTAAGAGTAGAAACTGTAGTAAAATCTACAGAATAGAGCAGGGGTTCTCAACCAGGGGGGGAATTCCCCCCAGGGGGGGGAATTCAGGTTTTCAGGGGGGGGGGGAAACTGATTCGGGAGCAAGAGATATGTTCGATGAGAAATCAATCACAGAATTTTGGCCCTTGATTTGCGATTCCTACCCAAAAGTGGCAGAAAGAGCTATCCGTGCATTGCTTCCGTTTGTGTCGACATATCTTTGTGAGTGAGGCTTTTCAACTCTGTTGCAAATTAAAACGAAGCAACGTAGTAGATTAGAGGTAGAAAATGACCTGCGTTGTGCCCTTTCAAGCACTCCTCCGCGTATCCCAGAATTGGCGAAGAAAAAACAATCACAGGTTTCTCATTGACTGTTATCTTCATCTGAATAAAATTAATTACAAATTTACAATATCCTGGTATTCTATTGAACTTTTTGTTTATCGCATTATGCTTCAGTTTGGTCTGTTAAGTAATTCATTATAAATAAAAAAAAACTATTTTACTTTTATTCAAGTTTTATGAATCCATCAACATTTTCAATTGGAATTTAATTTGTAAAACTCCACTATAAAAATAATCCATGTACTAATATGGAAAAAATAAAGGATTTTCAGTATTATATGCATATTATTTGGAATGCACTTTTTGAGGCAGACAATCTTGGAAAGGAGGAGGGAATAACATTCTGACATATGGTGAAAGGGGTGCATGGGGCAAACAAGGTTGAGAACCACTGGAATAGAGAAAGGGAACTAACATTGTAGCAAACAGGGAGTGGTTTAAGCTTAGAAGTTAGAAGGAACGAGTTAAGTAGGTCGGTGAAGGTAGAGCCTCACTGCATATGGGAACATTACTCGTATTCTACACACAGGAACGAGTCACTTCTATGTGTATTTGATGTAATTCCTTAGAAAAGAAGAATCTTCAAAGTGTGTAACAAAACTTCCCTCTATTTTATCCTGTTTAACTGTGTGACATGTGTTGATAAGAGGTTAACTGGATATAAAGAATAATTTATTGTTTGAGGCAGAATTACTGTACTGTATAAACAAGGTTCTGGAAAGAGGTACTGATAGTAACTAAGTTCTGCCGATTGAGAACTAGAGAAGTAGATTTAATTAAGTGATAGGAAAAAACTAGAATAACATCTAGTAGGGGAATATTAGGGTGTACCGAAACTTAAGCTACTCTCAATTTAGATTTTTTAAACAAATTATATATTTAAAAAAAAAAAAACTAAGTCTATACCAGTGCGAAAAAATGAACTCCTGTTTCTAATTACCCTCCTTGTGTATGAACCCTGTAGTGCAAGAACCCTGTAGTATATGAACCCTGTATGTAAGAACCCTGTAGTGTATTGACCCTATCATGTGTAAGAATCCTGCATTTAAGAACCCTATAGTGTATGAACCGTGTAGTGTATGAACCGTGTAGTGTATGAACTGTGTAGTGTATGAAACCTGCAGTGTGTGAACCTTAAGTGTGAACCCTGTAGTGTAGGAGCTCTGAAGTGTGGGAATCCTATATAGCAGTATGAATAGTATAGCATGTGAACCCTATAATGGTAACCCTGTAGTGTGGGAACTCTGTAGTGTGGGAACTCTGTAGTGTGGGAACCCTGTAGTGTGGCAACCCTGTATGCCTAATTAATTTAACCATTGCCTATTTCATATCATAATTTATTAGACCATATGCGTTCATAAAAAAAATAGATTTAATGGGTTGGAAAATTAACAACTGTAACAGTGAAAATTAAATCAATCTAAATACTTTCTATTACTTTCATATCTTGTATCTTCAAATACCAGAAAGCAGTTTCTCCTCTTTTTCATTTCAGTAATTTAATATTCGGTCACTCACCTCTGTATCCTAATACAGCCATCCAAGGATGACTATCGATGGGTGCTTCTGTTCCTCCAACAATCCTGGTCAATCCTTCGCTATCCCCACAGTTCCTGGGCAACAGGTTGGTATTTCGGGGACAACACACCTAGTACAGGATATAAAAGCATTATTTTGTAATATTCTCTACTGTCGGAAAATAAATGATTTTATTTGACTTCCAGATAACTTTTACAACTTTAATATGATTGAAAGGTATTTACCGTTGGCTCCCTGTTCCTGAAAGAGCAAGTGACTCGCTGCAGAGCGGCAATGTTCTCAGGAGTGGCGTTACTCAGTAGCCGCACCAGCTGTGGGCACTGTCGTAGTGGGATACATTCATGTTGGCAGGTCACTCCTGTTGACAAAGATATAATTCTGATTCAAGTAATCGATCTGAATAATTAATTATGGCCAAGATTGAACTGTTCGATAATTATCAGTTTAATACAAATATAAAAGAGAGAAGGAATGAACTTGCATGCCATGACGAAGGTTGGAGAGACTTAAGAGCTTTTTGTCCTGAGCAACACTACGTAGCCACCTACGCCTTTACATCCCCTATTCCATAACACTCTATCTCGACCATTCTTGTCGGATGACTATATAACCTGAGATAAACCTTTGGAGTAATAATATTATTGTACAGATTATTTTTTTAAGTTTCTCATAATCGCCTGTGTTTAGTTTATATCCCTTCCTGGTGCTTCTTTTATGTCCCTTATTGACATATTCTGTCCACATTAGTATCAATGATGAATAGCTGCTTGTTATTGATCGTATGATTATGGTGTACGCATAATCGATTACAATACAGGTAACCATAAACGGAAGCGATTATATTTTTTGTTCTGCTTTATAATTATTGAAATTGATTACACAAACTGCAACTGTAATCAGGACAATTTCCATAATTATTTTTGTATATTCCCCTTATGTTTACCATAATGTGTAAATGCCACACATTCCTAGCTACTTGAATAACAACTAGAATGGTCGCTTGTCGTCTGTGTACTAGGATTAGTAACCGGTCAGTCAGGTACTGTACACACAATCTACCTAACTTACTACCTCAAGCCATAGTCAGTCAGTGTCAACATTTTAAAGGAACCGCCAAACTGAGTGGCTCTACACGTGCGGTCATGACCTCTGGGACGCTAGGGTCACCATTACTCTAAGAAAGGGACCAGCTGTCAAAATCCCTACGGAAGTGATCCATCACCTGATGACGACATGTCAGACGATAGTAGTGAACCCACTCAGTCGGAAAATACTGTTCATGAACTGAATGACATACAGTTAACAAATTGGAAAGGCATGTCGGGGGACGATGCGGAGAAATGGGTCAAAGAGGTCTACTCAGAAGTGGTCAGGTGGTCGCCAGCTAACCTTTTTGATCTACTCAAGTGCACGGCCACCAAAGAAATGATCCGGGAGATGACCAAAATGGCCAAACTCTAACCTAACCTAACCAAAACTGAGCATGATAGCAGCCATGTTGACAGTCTGAGTTGGCTGGGTAACTAACCAGAAGTGGCAACTGGTTGTTTGGTCCAATGTTTACATCGCTTACATTTGACAGTTGTCACTTCTGGTGAGTTACCCAGCCATGGATTCACTCTGACCTGCTTCCGTTCGTCAGTCAATCATAGCAGCTCAGACTGTCAACATGGCTGCTGTCTTGCTCAGTTTTGGTTAGGTTAAGTTAGAGTTAGGCCATTTTGGTCATGCTGTGGGGCCGTTTTGGTCACAGAAGAGAAAGAAGAGAAAAGAGAAAGAAGAGGAGAGTGGGGCCCTTCTGGTTTGGGCCGTTTTCAACTGGGGCCGTTTTGTCTCGAAACCAGTCAGGTGGATTCCAGCGAACTAAACAAGATTCGACGGTCCATTACGACAGAACGGCAGCACACCCAAAATGATAAACTGCAACAGCTGTTGCAGCAATTGTTTGAAAACTTGAAGAAAAAAATAGCTATAGCGCAGGAGGTGGGCGCCTCGAACTGGCTAACAACGTTACTGATAAGGACAAAGGGCTTCATCCTTAATAAACAAGAATTCACAGATGCCATTGCTCTAAACGGCAGGCCAGTAGAAGGTTTGTCCTCCCAATGCGCGGGTGGCTCATCTTATGACATTGACCACGCCATGGTATTCAAGAAAGGGGGCTTCGTATGAACGAGGCATGACGGAGTAAGGGATCTCACAGCAAATATGTTGAAGGAAATCTGCCGTGATGTCAGGGTAGAACCGACCCTCTTTCCATTGGACTGTGAGAATTTCCAACATAGGACTCCAAACACATCCAACGAAGCCCGTGTGGAAGTCAGTGCTCGAGGATTCTGGACGCGGGGACTTCTGTAGTGAGACTTCTTTGACATAAGGAATTTCGATCCCATGCCTGCATGTCACCGTAACCTAGTTCTGGATGCTGCACACAGGAGGAACGAGAATGACAAGATCAGGGCATAAGGGGAGAGAGTTCGGAATGTTGATCAAGCCAGCTTCGCTCCTCTGGTGTTCACAGCCCCTGGTGGGATGGGACCAAGCGCAAAATGTTTCGATCCCAGACTTGCGGAGGTGTTATCTCAACAGAAGCAGCAGCCCAGAGTTACATTACAGCCTGGTTGAGGTGTCGACTGTCCTTCTCTCTGCTTAGGTCCGCGTTGCTTTGCTTCAGGGGAGCGAGAGCATCAGCTTACAGTAGTCGAAGATATTGACTATGAAGCAACAGTCACTGAATGCCGCATAGATCTGCCGCTCAACTAACACAACACAGCCAGGATAGCTACTTATGCATTAGGACATTTAATTTTAAGGTAATAAAATGATGGCGAAGTTGTGGCTATTGGGGGAGGCTGGAGGCCAATGGGGAAAAAGTAATAGTAGTAATGCGTTGCAATATCTTGTGTGTTGGAGTACTGTGTGTCTTGAAGTACTGTGTGCTGTAGTACTTGGCTTGAAATTTCGTAACATTATATTGGTAAAAGAACGGTGACGTTATCTAATCTTCTTTGTATTGTATTGGTTGGTGTACCCCAACCCTCGTTATTGTTTGCTCACTTGTCACTATAATTATGATTAACGTAACTTGTTTGTCTGCTTGGTTGTGAATATTCCCAAATCGGTTAATACTTGTGAACTTGTCTTTTGATTCGTTTGTTGGTACTTGTCAAATGCTTTATTTCTTTTGTTAAATGAATTGTATTTTAATTTGTTCTTAGTTTATTGCTTATTCCTTCCATTTATTAATTTCATTGGCAACCTTGTTATTTTTTACTGTTACTGGAGTGGTGAACTATGGTTTGACACAATCTAGGACCACCAGTCCGTAATGGAAACTGCCGACATCTTTGTTCCTACCTGGAATCGTCTTATGTTAAAAAGACCCTTCATCTGGTACTGGACGTCCACCCCGCTGGCTAAATTGGCACTGACACATCCTTGTTTTACCCCCATTTGGATGGGGAAGAACTCGGACTGGGTGCAATTGCGCAGGACACTGCCGTTAATGCCATCATGGAGTTGCCTCACAATGGCGTTGAATTTTGATAGGCAGCCAAAATGGCTGAGGGTCCGCCAGAGGGCTTCTCTTTTGACGGAGTGGAAGGCCTTGGTTAGGTCGATGAAGGCCATTTATAGGTCACAACGCTGTTCTCTGCACTTGTCCTGCATCTGGCGGGCAGCAAAGATCATGTCAGTGGTGCCACGTGATAGCCTACAGCCACATTAAGATCTGGGGAGGAACTTTTCCGCCTCAGGAAGAAGTCTGTTTAGGGGGACTCTGGTGATAATCTTGCCAGCTACGAACAGCAGCGAGATCCCGGGGTAGTTGCCACATTCTGACCGGTCTCCCTTGTTCTTATAAATATTGACGATGGAGGCGTCTTTAAGAGCATGGGGGCTTTACTCTCTTTCCCATATATTCTCCAGGCGAGAGTGGAGACGGCCGGTAAGCAGAGGTCCTCCAGCTTTATACACCTTGGCTGGGATTCCATCAGGTTTTGAGGCTTTGTTATTCTTTTTCTGTTTGATGGCAGTAGCTTCCTTATCCAGGGATGGAGGATAGCTGAGGTGGGTCAGCTCTGGATGCTGAGGGACCTGCTGGGTAGTCAGGATATTCACATCGATGTTTCGGTTGAGCAGAGAACGGTAGGTGCTCCTTCCAGTGCTGAAGGATATCTTTTTCACACAGTCACAAAATAGTAACCTATCACTTACGAACTCTTAGATGAACCTTAAAACCTTATCACGGTAATTGGAACATAACTGATTTCGATACCAATTTTACAACCATATTTGACTTTATATTAACCGGAAAATTTGACAAACATTTCTTGGAGAAATAAAGAGCCGAACTTTAACTCTCGCATGACTTATGGGTAAAGAATCTTATAAAGAAATATCTGCGTAATGTTTACCTGTAACACAAATTTGGCGTTATTTCAAGTTTAATTCCTCCATAGAATAATATAATGAGGAAAAATATGGGATGATAGGTATTGAGAAAGTTTGGTTTGGGTCATTAACTTCCGCAGCATAAATAACGTCGTCTGGTACTGTATGTACATCGTCAGGCATTAATCATAAAAAGCTTAAACTGACCGGCTCACGTTAATCTAATTAGTAGAGTACTTATTCTGTTGTAAATAAGTTCGCATTTTTATTTTTAATAAGTATAATATAAGTTATGCAAATTACGTGTTAAATCTTTCAACGTATAAGGTCGGCTTCATCCATAGGTGACCCACCTGCAGTACGTAGAGGCTTGGTAGGTGAGCTTTATCCTCCCTAATATTTATCATCCAGTCATCCTTATACAACATCTAAGGTTACTTTATTTATAAATAATAACTGACTTCTAGTTCCTGCCAGTCAAGGGCAACACGTGTGAAACACACAAAAATAACGGTGTGCTCTCTCCGTATGTGTTAAATTACTTCCTCTTAAAAAGCTTCTCCCTCCGGGAAACTCAGTGATGTAACTACTGTAGAAGATGCTTTTATTTATAAGCACTCCAGCATCACAAGTACATATTCCACACAAGTACTTATTCCAGAAACACTGAATACAACACATCACAAGGAGGCATTTACTGGCTGTGGTAGCGAAGAGAAAGACAACAAACTAGGCATCCACAATACGTACCAATAAATCATTTTAAAACTTTTCTTACCAGAACGTTTTTTATCATTTTATATTTGTTTGTTACAGTCATGCTAACCTTGTTACGCCCCTAAAGACCTTCGTCATTGAGATGCAGTAGCATATAACATTAGAATAACTTACTCTGGGTGTGAGCCATCTGGAACAGCGGCAGCAGCAACAGCACTACCAAGGCACCAAAGCTGCATCCTCTTTGTATGTGTACCATACTCTGTATTGGAGTAAATAGAAAAAATAAGACTGAGGGTAAACTGTAGGGAAAAAGAATGTCTTTTTAACAAGCACTGGTGATATAAGTATTAATAATAGCACCTTTGCTTTAGCCGTGAGTATTTGGTTGCTATACAACACTCTGTTCACAAGTTCAAAGGTGTTGCTGCAGTTAAGCTCGTTTGCAATTAGTTAACGTGGCAACCATACAAAAACATTAACTGTACAAGTAACTTTACTAATGATTTGGAAGTGTGGTTCAGTCAAGGCAAATATCCTACAGTGACTACAGCGAGTTGTAGGGTCTGTAGTGGTTCTCTCCCCTACAAACTGCGTAGCTGCATCCCACCTGCGACGCCTTCCCTAGCAACCAAACGAGCGGCGTCACCAGATGCTACAGTATCCTAGCAACCGAGCCAAAGACCGGTTATTTCTCGGGTTTTCCCAACATGACTCATAGATGACTCACGGCTGCTGGGTATATAAGCTCTGTCTCTCCATTGAGATTCATTCTGGCCTCACTTCTACAACATGCAACATCTCCTCCTCCGCCGCTGCCTGGCGGCCCTCGCCTCTCCTCCGCCTGCCTGGCGGTCCTCGCACCCGCCAGCGAGCATGGCGACCCACCAGCTGTCCTTCTCTGAGCTTCCTCACCAACCAGCTCTCATTCTGGCCATTCTACTTGAACACGCAACACCTCCTCCAGCAAGCTCCACGCTGTCCAGCATTCATTCAACCAGGAGGCCAGCAACAGGCAACATCTTCTCTAACGAAGCTCCTGCACATCTACCTCCTTCAACACGCTACTCACCGAACGTCTCTACTGAGCAGCTCCTCACCACACGGCACCTCCAGCACCAGACTGTCCATCATATAACTTATATTATACAAGAAAACCACCTTAGAGTTTCCATCCATCCTGAGTGCTAGACAACATTATACCATGATTTCCTACAGGTCCAAAGTTTATGTATTGTAAATTAATAAAGATATGTCTATTCTCTTATAATGGAAACATTTGGATACACCCCATTTCATCTCCAACCCGGTTCGTCACCAAAAAACCCGTTTCGTCATAAAAAAACAAACATTGTCACCAATATCAAATCCGTTTCGTCACTATTAACGGTCTGGTGATGAAACAGTCGCTGGTATTATTGACAAATTGTGCGTTATTATTTTGTACGAATAGAAATTACACATGTTTACATACAACTCGAGAATGATTGTTATTATTTTACATGAATATTAATTATTTAATAAAGAAAATATTAAATAAGTTGATTACAATGGTAAATAAACAAAATACAGAACAAATGAAGGTGTTTTCTTCTTCATTACCACCTTCAGCGCGGGTTGCACTCAGACTGTCGCGTGATTTCTGTAAACAACGGGCAATTATCAGGCAAACCACTCTATGGAAACGATTGGCGGTTAATTAACATATTCTCTTGCTATTTTGATTTCATAGTCTCTCTTTGCTTTCCTTACATTTTTCTTAACATTCCTAGATAGTTCATTATACCTATTTCTGAGCTGCTCCTCCCCTCCCTTTAATTTCTTATATATTCCTTTCTTTATTCCTATGTCATGTTTAAGTTTTCTGGTCATCCACCTTGGCTCATTCTTATTTGACCTAATTTTTCTGTATGGTATATTTTGTTCTTGTGCTTTATGTAGTATACTAGTGAATATATTATAGTCATGATCAATTGTTGTGTCATCTATGACCTCACCCCTTCCTACTGGGGACTGACGTGACTGTTCCCAGGTGACCTCAACTAGGTACCTTCTTAACCCCTGATAATCCGCCAACCGAAAGTTTGGGACTCTGACCATATTGTCATTGTTTTTCGTTTCCCAATTTAGGGTGAACCTGATTTTTCTGTGATCACTGTAAGGAGTTACAGGAGTCATGCAGGATGAATATGAAGGACTGTATACTGTATATATTTTGTTTTCACAAAGAGATTGAAGACCCTTGGAACGTGTATCAGCTCGGGCTGTGCAAGCGAGAACAATACTGGACTTCAAAATAACTCTGGGCAACACTATGGGGAGGATACTACACAGGCCACTTGTCTCTTAGGTAGTTAAATCTGGTCAATCATTGCATTCGAGAAAAGTCAGTTCGTAACATCCATGAGGACCCTAGAATCAAACTTAGGTCTTATTGCAACTATATCTTGCGCTAGTCAGGCCGCACCTCGATTATGCGGTTCAGTTCTGGTGCCCCTATTATAGAATGGATATAAATTCACTAGAGTTGGTGCAGCGAAGAATGACAAAAATGATTCCGGGACTTAGAAACCTTCCATATTAGGATAGGTTAAAGAAACTTAACTTGCATTCCCTAGAAAGACGAAGAGTGCGGGGAGATATGATAGAAGTATTTAAGTGGGTGAAAGGAATCAATAAAGGGGATATAGATAAAGTTCTTATAATATCCGAGCAGGATAGGACTCGGAGCAACGGATTCAAGTTGGATAAGTTTAGGTTTAGGAGGGAGATAGGAAGAAACTGGTTCACAAATAGGGTGGTGGACGAGTGGAACAAGCTTAGCAACTTTGTAGTAAGTGCGGGAACTCTGGAAAGTTTCAAAAGGAGGCTGGATAGATTTATGGATGATAGAGAGTGGTAGTAACTCTCGACAGGAGCTGCCATGCACAGGCCAACCGGCCTATTGCAGACTCCTTATTTTCTTGTTCTTAGGTAAACAATATAATTATATAGTATATCACTAAAAACAGCATTGCTGCATGATACAATGTCTTTACATACCCTTTTCACCATAAATGTAGAATGCATTTGATAATTGATTGTAGACTGATCCACCTAACACTCGTAAGGATTTTCACAATGTCTTCAGCTCACTGTTAATGTCTACAACCGACAACCTTCCAACGCAGCAGCTCAACGTTCACTGAGGCAGGAATCAGGGTGCATGGGTGTTTTGTATGAACCAATGAAGAGCTTTTCTAGGCATTTGTTGTGTTATAGGGCAGATTTAATATTCGTCGTTATGGTATCATTGTAGAAAAGTGAATGATTTTTAGCCGTATTGTAAAAGAAGAAATAAAAAACAATGAGATACAATTATGGTACAGCGCCATATAAATATACTGTAAATGGCAACCGTTTGACCTTTGGAGCGATTGTCCGACTTTTTCTACTTTAAGGAACTTTTCCTAGTTTAAGCTGTACAACTGGGACGTCAATGTTAACCAGGTGTATGATTATAATAATAATAATAATAATAATAATAATAATAATAATAATAATAATAATAATAATAATAATAATAATAATCGAGAACTTCTTAACATGGGGAAGAGTTCAATTATTTCAATCTTGTTGTAAAGGATTAAAGGGACAAAATGAGCAAAATCTCTGCCTGGCTAAATTATTTTTTAATCATTAATTTTTTTACATATAGTCTTGATTTTTTAATTATCATTGTTAGGATATTATCAAATTAATCTTACCTGTCTTTTCATTCATTTCATATTGTTACCGCCACAGTAAGATAAGCTAGAAGAGAGAGAAAGAGAGGGATAACCATAATAAGATAAACTAGGCGAGAGAGAGAGAGAGAGAGAGAGGGGATGAGATGAGATAAGAGATATAGTGTTGACAACGAATTTGCTGACCAATCTGCTGAGGTGTTTCAATACGAAAACATATAGCCCTCGCCTCCGGGCTGAGATTGCCCTCGAGGGCAGTCTACTGATTTCTACAGGACAGACAACACGTTGGTTCAGACCACTAGACCCTAAAACGTGAGTGATCGTGAAGTATTAGAATCTGCTAAGAAACTCTAAATAACTTTAATAAGTATATTTGTGTACTGCAATTTGATCATATTATACCAATTGTCTCCTGTATCAATAGTTATAACTTGCGAGTTATATTTAAGATGTTAACAGGCTATGTACTGTATATTGATTGTATTTCATAATATGTGTCCTGAGATAACAGCATTTGTTATATGAGAAATGTTCTTTAACAGGTTTTGACCGAATTATATGGTACGCGTCAACGTTGAGGGTTTATTTCTCCAGCAACAAACCAATAACGCTCCTATGAGCGTTAACACATATATTTTTTATTGTGTTTCCACTACTGCTGAAGGTAACTATCGGTTACAAATATGTTCTGGACATTTATTATTGCGTCATACAGAGTATAACCTGCCATATGAATCGAGGTTTAGTGGTGAGTGTATGTGTGTGGAGGAACGTGAGTAATACTTGAGGGTGGAGAAATTTGTGTAGTAGTATGTGAGAGTGGAGAAACTTATGTGAAACTTCTACATTATGATGGTATAAAGTTTAGGCAAGTAAACGATCGAAGTTGTACAAAAAGGTAAGATTGACTGGGAGTGAATACACTGGTTGATTATAAGTTATTGATAAATTTTACAATAGTTGGGACTGTTCCTATTGCGATCAATACATGATCGTATGGGCCGGATGCGGTTGTGGTGTCGTACAACAATTCTCGGACGAGGGATCTTGGGTGGTAGTAGGAGCCGGTGTCGAGGATGGTACAGAATTTTCTCACCAAATTTGCAGATGAGGTCGTGGTGATGGTCAGAGAGAGCCGAGAGGGTCAGTATGTTGAGAGCTTCTTGGTATGTGGAGTAGGAAGGGGAGAGAATAATCTTGCATGCCCTCTTTTGCACTTTTTCTAGGTGTTTACGTTGTGTGGCATTTAGGGAGGAAGACCAGGTAGGGGAGGCATAGGTGAGCTTGGGAAGTATGAATGTTGTGTAAACACTGAGGAGCTCGGGTGCAGGAACTCCAAGGGACTTGAGTCGGCGGAGGAGGTGGAGACGGAAACTGGAGGATTTGACAACTTCACTGACGTGTGGTTTCCAATTTAGTTTGTTGTCTATGGTGACGCCGAGGAGTTACGTGGAATCTACAACCTGGAGTGTGTTCGGACCTAAAGTAATGGAAGGAGGTGGGACAATGTCGGGGGAGAGGTTGATGTGCATAACCATGGTCTTGGTATGGTTGATGGTGACACGATTGTTGGTGGCCCAGAACAAACTGTGTGTGTTCTAGTAGTGTACTGTGTATGCTGGAGGACTATGTGTGTTGGAGTAGTGTTGAAGTACAGTATCATGCATGCAGCTCCCGATTGTTTTCTAATCAAAGTTATAACAAGTTATCTTGCCATTTTATCAGTATTGTTGTGTCATTCAGGTTTGTCAAGGAACCTTGTTCACCAGAAAATCATATATTTTTTTTTTTTATAATAGCAGCTCCTTGATGACCCTCCCTCACCAGTAGTACTGTACTTATATTAAGTGTTAACCTGTTCACATTCTATGCATATATTTCACTATAACTTTTATTATAAATCTGTGAAATAAAACACAATTAAAATTATAAAAAATCTTATTTTTAGAGTTAAGGAATTAATAATATATAAATACCCTATGCACACTGGATTGCAGGAAAGTGCTTTTGAGCTGCAAAAAAAAAAAAATACAATTTCTCTTAGCTATAATTCTATAACAACGTCTTAATAAAAATGAACAAGTTTGAACCTTGGTTGAATAATTACTCGTCTTTTATGAAAAATTAGAATACACAAACATCCCATATTATTATTAAGCAAGTCATTACCACAGCAGAAAACACTACCATACAGGTAATTATTTCCTTGTTATAAAAACTCCATAAAAACCCCATCAAGTTTCTTTATCTTCATTTTGTATCATTGTATTAAGAAACTTTAGGAGACAGTTGGCCGTGTTCAAGTCACTGTGTACTTTTGTAATTGTTTCTTTTGGCGAAGGATGCTCACTATGTTATAACACCACAATTCATAGCTAACTTTAATACTTTAAATCCTTATGGCCTCAATTTCTCTTCAATCCAGTTCCTGTAATGAGTGACGTAGGTGTAGACGCCAGGTACACTCTGTTGACCACAGTTCGTTGGGCCGTAAGACACGACACCAATTTGGAGGTATGGAGGACCTCTCGGCCCCGACAATATCAATGGTCCACCAGAGTCGCCCCCGCATGAGTCCTGTCCTGCCCAAACTCCTGCACAAATCTACAAAGCAAAGCAAATTTTACCATAAAGTAACACTCTGGGAGGTGCAGATAACAGTGTGGGTCAATATACTGTTTGATAAGTTACCAATATTCAAGTTAAGTTTACCTATGTCACCATGTACAAGAAACATAATGACACATGATTTAGCGGTGTAATAAGAGATCAGTGAATGACACTTAACATATTAGTTGTAAGTCGTAGGTTGATAGAAAGACACGAGAGGGTGGGGGGTTTCTGAGACAAGTGTGAAGAATGAAAGATGTGAGCAACAATAAAGTTCAAATAACTAGAAATTGTGGGATGTATAAGTGTCTTGATAAACAACATGTAACAACATTACATGCATGAGTTGTTATCTCACTATGTATAATTTACACTTATTCCTTAATGATGCTTTCACAGGGAAGCGTCTTATATTGTACACCATATTAACTACATGGAATCACTACAGACAATAGATTAATAAACACAATTACTTACTTGTTCATTAACTATATCTCCCCTGTAGGTGGCATTGCATTGTGAATGATCTACAAAGGGTAATTCAACATGTAACAACCTATTACTTGTAGTTCCATTCTCAGTGAAGCCCCACCCTGCTGCTATAGGCTCATTAGTAGATCGGTTTGCCACGTCAATATTTTGAGGAGGCAGACAAACCGCACGAACCCAAACTGGAGGAACAAATCAAGGAAAATACATTATTATCGTAACCTGCAAGTGGTTAAGGTTGGTAAATATTAATTTGCTTTATGTAAAAACTTTATAATAAGGTGTTTTCCTTCTCATCCTCAGTCATTTGTAGGAAATTTCTTAAACAAATATTGCAGCAAGTAAAAATGGGCAAAGTTGATTTACCTGAGAAATAATATATTTTGTTATTTTTAAACATACCCAAGATTTATTTTGAAAACAAAATGAGGTTCCTCACATTAAATAGATTTTTTTTCTAATAATTTGCCAGAATCAACTGGATTTCTATAAAATCCTTAAATCCATGAGTGATTTTTAAGACGGGCACCAACTTCCGTTCACTTACATCCACTAATATCAATGGGGCTGCTGACTCGGATAAGGGCGATGTCATCAGAAAACTTTACTCTTGTATTATAGTTCGGGTGAGGAATGATCTCTTCTATAGTAAAATCTTGAACTGAGGGAGCGCAACTACCAGGTCCAATATATGGTCGGGCACAGTCCGGGTCGGTGGTCAAGTCCCATTCTCCAAGTCGGACGACTTCTCTGTAATAAATATTAGGAAGATATTGGTGCTGCAGTTAAAGCGTGCTGACTTGTAATCTAAGATTCCATTCAGATTTAATAGAATTTAGTGTTTGGTCAATTTGACATCACACTGAATACATTTTCTAATAACCCTTTATGTCATTTAAATTTATTAAATAGTATATTTATACATGTTATTCATACAAATTATTAAAAAAAGTTACAAATATTTTTACTCATATTTAATAATTCATCGTAATTAGAAATGTATATATTCCTACACCAATAAATTATACAAATATGCACATATGGAAGTATTGACTCTCTTGTAGCTTCAGTCTCCTATTCTTTATTACTCAACCAACTACCATACTTACAGCTTCTTGTTTCCTAATACAGACTCCAGTACGCAGTGAGCAGCTGTTAATATGTATCTTTCGTTGATCACTGACCCACCACACAGGAACTCTGTTGTTGAGGATCCCACGGCTGAAAGGTTTATTAGTTGAAAATCATGCTTTAAAAGAGATAAGTCTTAGCTGCTTGGAAAATTTAATAAGGTATAATAAAAAGTTTCAAAGTCTGGCAGTAGACGGAGAGAAGTAAGCCTCAAAATAACCCATTGCAATAA